TGAAGTTAACCACCGCTGGTGTTGCCATGGCGACAGGGCTGAGGAAACAGCCCCCTCAGAAATATGCATATTAAAGCAACTGATTGATGTACTAATCACATTATTCTACTTATAGTATTTATTATTGTTGTCATCCCTCCACCCCGATTCGCTTGTTTATTTTTGTGTATTGCGGCATTTGAGCCCAAATGTGGTGTATTATATAGGCTGAAGAACACTTTGTACTTCCAGTGAATCATCTTTGCCAGTGTATTTTAGCAGTAAAACATTTCAACACCTTCTAGTTTTCTTACTGTTGATGAGAGTTTTACGTCATCAATATTCCCAGTGGAAGGCTCTGATTGGATGCTGCTGACTTTGAACACAATGTGGATCATGATTGGTATTGGAGTTCCACAATGTTGATTTAAATTACCGGTTGAAAAAGTTAAATCTAAAATCAACAATTTCTCTGGAAAGGGTTGAGGCGTGTGTTCCACTTAGATATTTATTTACAGTCTGGTTTTAACCAGTGTTGCCACGGTCCCCCTTGTTTTTCAAGTGTCACACATTTTAATTGAAGAATTCCTGTGAAATGTGACATGTTAAACTCTCTGCAACTGGCGTTTCATCTACATTTTATTTTCAAGACCTAATCAAATCCACCTCATCCTTCCCTGCGCTGGTGTAAACAGGCCACGCTGGATGCTCCTTCAGGATCTGGGGAGGGAGGCGGCAACTGCGGGGCTTTGAACAGCACCCGTAAATCTTTTCCAATCCCAAAGGCACAGCATAGCGTGGGCCGATCTGGCCTCTCTGGGTGCGTCCCAAAATGGCACCCTATTCTCTATATAGTGCACTACTTTTGACCAGAGCCCATAGGGCTTTGGTCAAAAGTAGCGCACTATGGAGGAAATATGGTGCCATTTGGGGGACACTCTCTCAGCCTGGGTGATCATGGCTTCCCATAAAACAGCACTAATGGAGATTAAACGACGACACACACAGTTCAGAAATATGGCGATAAAAGACAGCTTTGAGGATTTAGCGTGGTTGCTTCAAGTCTTAGGGTGGTTGAAGAAATAAGAGGTTTTGTGTTGTTTTTACTCAATTTGGCCTCCGCTACACCTTTTTCGATACATCTCAAGGTGAGTTGTGAATAAACATAGTTGGGATGTACAGTGCATTCGGAAAGTATTCAGTCCCCTTCACTTTTTCCACATTTGTTAAGTTACAGCCTTATTCTAAAATTGATTAAATTATTTTTTCCCCTCATCAATCTATACACAATACCCCATAATGACAAAGCGAAAACACGTTTTTAGAAATTTTAGCCAATTTTTCTTTTTTTTAAAACCAGATACCTTCTTTACATAAGTATTCAGACCCTTTGCTATGAGACTCGAAATTGAGCTCAGGTGCATCCTGTTTCCATTATTCATACTTGAGATGTTTCTACAACTTGATTTGGAGTCCACTTGTGGTAAATTCAATTGATTGGACATGATTTGGAAAGGCACACACCTGTCTATTTAAGGTCCCAAAGTTGACAGTGCATGTCAGAGCAAAAACCAAGCAATGAGGTCAAAGGAATTTTCCGCAGAGTGCCGAGACAGGATTGTGTCATGGCAGATATCTGGGGAAGGGTACCAAAACACGTCTGCAGCATTGAAGGTCCCCAAGAACACAGTGGCCTTCATCATTCTTAAATGGAAGAAGTTTGGAACCACCAAGACTCTTCCTAGAGCTGGTCGCCTGGCCAAACTGAGAAATCGGTGGAGAAGGGCCTTGGTCAGGGAGGTGACCAAGAACCCGATGGTCACTCTGACAGAGCTCCAGAGTTTCTCTGTGGAGGTGGGAGAACCTTCCAGAAGGACAACCATCTCTGCAGCACTCCACCAATCAGGCCTTTATGGTAGAGCCCGCTTGGAGTTTGCCAAAAGGCACCTAAAGGACTCTCAGACCATTAGAAACAAGATTATCTCGTCTGATGAAACCAAGATTGAACTTTTTGGTCTGAATGCAAAGCGTCACGTCTAGAGGAAACCTGGTCCCCATCCCTACGGTGAAGCATGGTGGTGGCAGCATCATGCTGTGGGGATGTTTTTCAGCGGCAGGGACTGGGAGACAAGTCAGGATCGAGGGAAAGATCCTTGATCAAAGTACAGAGATCCTTGATGAACACCTGCTCCAGAGCGTTCAGGACCTCAAACTGGGGCGAAGGTTCACCGTCCAACAGTACAACGACCCTAAGCACACAGCCAAGACAACGCAGGAGTGGCTTCAGGACAAGTCTCTGAATGTCCTTGAGTGGCCCAGCCAGAGCCCGGACTTGAACCCTATCTAACATCTCTGGAGAGACCTGAAAATAGCTGTGCAGCGACGCTCCCCATCCAACTGAACAGAGCTTGAGAGGATCTGCAGAGAAGAATGGGAGAAACGCCCCAAATACAGGTGTGCCAAGCTTGTAGCGTCACACCCAACAAGACTCTAGGCTGTAATCGCTGCCAAAGGTGTTTCAACAAAGTACTGAGTAAAGGGTCTGAATACTTATTGGTTTTGCTCTGACATGCACTGTCATTCCGTCGGAACTTTATATAGACAGGTGTGTGCCTTTCCAAATAAAGTCCAATCAATTGAATTTACCACAGGTGGACTCCAATCAAGTTTTAGAAACATCTCAAGGATGATCAATGGAAACAGAATGCACCTGAGCTCAATTTCGAGTCTCACAGCAAAGGGTCTGAATTCTTGTGTATATAAGGTATTTCTGTTTTTTATTTTTAATACATTTGCTAAACATTCTAAAAACCTGTTGGTTTTGTCATTATGGGGTATTGTGTGTAGATTGAGGATATTTTTTAAAATCAATTTTAGAATACGGCTGTAACGTAACAGTGGAAAAAGGGAAGGGGTCTGTATACTTTCCGAATGCACTGTATATCTGTCATTCTCATTGAAAGCAAGTCGTAAGAAGTGGTAAATATGTTCTATGTGCGTTATTTCTATGCTTCCCGTTTTTAAGTTTTGTTTTTACTTTCAGTTTTATACACCAGATCAAACAGCTGAAAATACTAATTTTGGATATGTAAAATATATTTCACAGCAGTTTAGATGGTACAATGATTCTCTACAGTCTACACTATACTTGCTTGTTTTGTCAAAAACTGAAATTAGGCAAACTATTAGAATATTAGCAACCAGGAAATGGCAGAGTGATTTCTGCATAGTGCATCTTTAATGATAAGAAATGCCTAAAAGTTCATGAATGTAAGTTTTTACGAGTGATCCATGCTCAATCAAGCACAATCATTAGGTGAGACAACAATGTTAAGCTGCCCCTTTAAGGGACTGGCCGTTAGTGTTAACTTGGGCACTAGCTTGTCTGTGATGAAAAAAAATCTGACTGTTTTCCTAGCAGCAAACTCAAACTAACATTGAAAAACAACCTAGCGTGTGAATAAAACAGTATAACAGGACAAGAAACACAAGGACAAAGTCACACTTTAGTAGCCTTTCTTGTCAATTCGACCAACTTCTACATGTGGCCTTCGGATAAATATATAAAAACTGTTCCCAAATGCTCTGTGTGACCACCTGCCAACGTGGCTGGTGAAATAGACATTCTTATCCGTCAATTAAAATCCACCCGCATTTGGCGGGTGTTAATTTCCACCCTGTTTCCTATACTTCCCGGTCGTGTCCCATAATCTCTTGACTAGGCTTCAAGGTTATATAATCAAATTCACGAAAACAAGGTAATATAAGATATATAAAATTGTATTTGTGTATTTATTTGCTCATACTCAATGCCTTTTATTAAAATATTTGAAGCTGAAGAAGTAAGACACTTTGCCGACAGTTAGAAAAGTCTAATTTGAACTACATCTCCTGCAGCCGTGTTAGCATGCTGGAGCGTGCCTGCTCGAGTTGAGGACTCACAGGAAGGTAAGAACCCGCTAATTACAGGCCCTATGTTTTATATTAGATTACGCAGTTGTTGTTTTTTAACTAAACGTTGCCAAAAAAAAGACCGGCAGGCTGTCTCAAGTGAGATTTATACCGCTGTTGGGAGTTGTAGTTCATGTGTGTAGTTCTAAGGAAACGGTTACTTTTTGGCTTTGTGCTGCTTCTTGGCCGTCAAATAAGTTGAAAACCGGCATATGGGAAGTAAATTCACTCGGAAACACGTATTCATTTTAATAACTTATATTACTTTGATGCAAATTTGAGATTTGTTCTTAGTCTATAAAACCAGGATCCAGGAAGTGTCACTTTGATACCGTATTAGAAGAGCTCCTACGCAGCACTGCTCTGGGCTTTCAGACACGCGGCAGGCTTTCAGACCCCACCATGGGATTGGCACCATGCTCGAGCACTGGACCTGTGTGTGTGTGTGTGTGTGTCATAGTAGTGTATGAGTTTTGCAAGTAGTACTGTGAGGTTGTTTCACAGCTTCTGAATGGTTTTCCTACCTCTCAATGCTCTCTTTTGCAGGTGATGATAATAGACAGGTTATGAAGTGTTTACATATAGAGCTGTAACAATTGATGTCATCGTTCACCTTAAAAGAGAATTACCATCAATGACCATGATGGAATATATATGCTATAATACCCCACACCTTTTGGAGATCTAGTAGATTGGAACTAACAGAGCTGGATAGTGGATCTAGCCCACAACAGGAGTTATGACTGGTGACATAACATGTGATGGAAGTTTCACATGGGTGAGCTGTGATGTGATGCCGGTATAAAATATGCATGAATCTGAAACACTGGCCATAAAATAGAACACATTTATAGGCAGCAAATGTGTCGTTTTGGCTAGATTGCTGTGTCTACATGGCCACTTTAAACATGGACGCTTTAGTGATATTTTGCTCCACCAACCAATAACCTGCCTTTTTGTTCAAGAAAAAGCCCCGTCCCATTCCTAGTATGCCACAAAACTTATGTTGAAGGATTATGGATAATTTATTTACTAGTGGTGTGTCTAAGTATGAACCAATGGTGGAAGAAATGTCGGGCAACAGCACCTGCTTCTCTATGGGAGGGAGCCGAGTGAGGCCAGATTGATCGAAGTGAATTACTCCTCTGTTTCTCTCTGGGTGTGTCCCAAATGGCACTACTTTTGATTAGGGAATAGGGTGCGATTTGGGACGCAGACACAGTGCTTCTCTGTTTTTTGAAGGCAGGCAGCAGTAGCCACTAATCCAGTGGAGAGAGGGTACAGAGTGGCTTGTCTCACTGAGTGACTGATAGTCTCTCAGCACTAAGTGCATTTCCATCCTGCTATCCCCTTCAGCCAGCCTGCATGTCATCAGACCTGCTTTATGCCTACCCTGGCCTCTTCATAAAGACAGACTCTGGTGGAAGTATGGGATGTAGCTTAGGATGTTGTCCAAATGGCACCCTATTCCCTATGTAGGGCACTACTTTTGACCAGAGCCCTATGGCCCCTGATCAAAAGTAGTGGACTATAAAGGGAACAAGGTGCCATTTTTGTGCACTGTTTACCCACTGTGTGGTCTCATACAATATCTGGGCCTCTATGCCATTTCATTTGAAGTGAGCTCGCATAGACGTACGTTTATTTTGTCAATATGGTGTGAAAGGTGGACACTGGTGGCTTCTATGCGTGTGGCCAGCAGGTCTCACTCCTTCAAAATGCAGATCCTAGCAGATGAACCTCCGCTTCAGCAAAACTGGCTAGTTACACTCTGATCAATCAAACCTGTAGTTATTCAGGTGTCCTGAATAAGAACTGCATAGAATACACTTTCACCCATGTTTGGTGCATTGCTCACTGTGTGAGAGAAGGCTTCTGAGTTCTTCAGCTGATCTCTCATCACGGACCTTCAAAGGCCTCTTCCATCCATTTAATCTCTTTCTCCGAAGCCAGCTTAAGATGGGAGATTGATTAGTCATCCTTAACTGTAAACCCGCCTGGAGTGATCATCAGATCCATTAGGGGAAAGAAACATTATTTCTCATCTACTTTATGAGAGGCATTGGGAGTTCGCTGTGTACTCCGTCGTTGTTCCAAATGGCCTCCTGTTCCCTACATAGTCCCTATGGGGTCCTGGTCAAATGTAGTGCAATATATAGGGAATAGGGTGCCATTTGGGACGTATCTGGCCCAGGTGGAGATGAGGGGAAACTCTACTGATGAGTCTGAGTACAGAAGAGAACAGTGGTGGGGTGCTGGGATGGAAATGGTGATTCATTCAGCCCTCTAATGCTGTATCGCATTAGTGGATACTCAGACTGCTCTCAGGGCAGGTCTATCGGTTTTGACTAGCAGAAGTGACTTTTCATAGCAGGTTAGGAGAATTTACATGGCAGGCAAGGAGAATTAGGTTAGAAAAATGGTTAGGGTTAGCTAAAATTGTCCCCAACACGACTCAAACATATCTAGCTACAACCAGGCCTGCCCTGAGAACAGCTTGGTTTCCACTAATGCAATGCTGCTCCTCTCATCTCATCAACCCAGCATCAACCATCTCTCCTCTCCTCTGTCTCTCTCGTTCACTCTTTCATACGCACACACTTATACATCCATACTAGGTGTTTCTGTTGATGTGTTGCCCTTGTACACCCTGTATCCTCCAGGTTTCCATCTGTTTGTTTTTCTCCTCTCTCCCTTGTGTGTTCTGTTCTACGGCTCCTACAGTAAACACTCTTAGCCTTGCCCTTTGCGAACCCTGTACATTTAGTAATGCGCGGGTTGACTCATAACCCGCAGTCCCCGCAGTTATATCCGCGTGGTGGGTGGGTTTAGGGTCATGAAATATTCTGTGAATGAAGGGCGGGTGGGTGGTGGCGGGTTGAATAAAGAGAAAACAATACCTTTAAAAAAATCCATAAATGTATCATTCTTGTGCAATTTATATCTAAAGGCTACATTTAGCCTAAAATGGCTTTAGTGCCTAAGCTTTAGGGCCTAACTGTACGCGCGCCAAATAGCCTAATGCTTTTGGGAACGGGCAGAAAAATTTAACGGAGGTAAAAAGGACAATGTCGGAGTTTAATTCAATAAGAGAAAGCTGCGAAATGGAGAGTTGAAAATAAAGAGAAGGGAGGGCCAGAAAAGTCATGTTTGGAAAATATTTGGTGAAGTGGTAAAAGAGGATGATAGCAGTGCCGGCTATGATACTGTATGTGTGATTGTAAGGCACTATACAAATTCGACAGTCACAAGATGGGGACTTCAAATAGGCCTATGGCACGTCAAGGGAACTGTAGCCTACTGTTCAGATGGGTTAAATGGAAACTGAAATCTGGACACTGACTATAGGTCTATAACCTTTCACATAGCCTTAATATTAACAGAATGAAGCATTTCTTGCAGTAAAGTGATACATCAAATGTAGGCTAAATTGGAGAGAATGCGAGAGAATGCGAATGCGCAGTTATATACCGTCTGTAGCGGTGCTATCTTTATCATCATCATAAAAGCTGATTTAGTATTTCAATCACATAACATTTGCATCAAAGCCAAACTTAAATCTTATCAGAAACATGTTGGGTCGTTTTCACAGCTTTCTATTTCCTTACAACCAGTCAAACTGATGTCATTTGGACATTTTGCACAGAAAATCTTTGTAGCTTTTTTTGTTATTGCATTTTCTCCCCGGTCCCTAAACATCTTTGCTCCGCAAAAAGAAGAAGAGATGACAGATTTTCACTTTATCACATAGTTGGGTGGTTGCGGATGGGTTATTAGCAATTGGGTGCGGGTGAACAAACAGCTGACCCGCGCACCATGACCGTGCAGCAGGGCTTGACATTAAAGTTTTTAGCCACTTGTCCTTTGGACAAGTAGGACTGAATTTAATAAAAATACTTGTCCGAAAGCTCAAGTCACTTGTCCAAAACTAAAACATGGTCTGTAATACCATGGGCTAAAAAGGTGACTGAAAATTGTGTTGTATGATGCAAGGAACCACTTGACAATGTACTATATCGCCTGCCGTTGTGGCCTTGAGCAAGGCACTTAACACCCCCCCCCCCCACCCCAGTGTCAAATAGTACACCGTCAACCCTCCATCTGGAAAGCTACTGGGTGTGCAGGCTTTTGAGCCAACCCTGCTGTAACACACGAGAGTCAGCTTATCAAGGTCCTGTTGAGCAGCAGATCAAATGGGATCAAATAGCTAAGGTGGGTGAGGTAACTAAGATATGTATCTCTTTGTAAGGTTAAAATATTAAGTGTTCAGGGGAGATCTTGACAGCATAGGAGTTACTTGTCAATTAGGCTATTCTAAGAATATTTTTTTACTTTGCCAGAGTTACATGGCCAGTATTGAATAGAGGGGAATCCTAGCCAATTTTGAGCGCTTGAGAGACTGTTTTACAACTGCAGTATGCAGCATTAGTTTAATCAACTACGCACCCGTATCAACTGCATGTTGGCCATTTGCGGTTAAACACGAGTGCCGGTGGAAAGTTTATTTTTGGACATCGGACATGACAGTGACATTAATACATGCTAATAGTTAACTAGCGAGATAGCCAATTCAAAACAGTGTAGTTTGGCTGGTTATCTAGTTACTCTGTTGTATATCATTATTTTACCTGCTGCACAAATGTCTCTCTCGCTCTCCTTTGGCATCGGCCCACTGGCACACACGCAGGTGATGCCACACACTTTTCCAGGATTTTCATTGCTGACCAAAAATGAGCTATAACCCAATAACTGGCCATTAATATCAACAAATGTTCGCTGTAGGCTTGCTTTGATCTCAAAATGCATCTCGCAACTGCATGATTGAAAGACCGCCCGTGCCTGTCAATGCAGGCCTGCAATAATTATACTCCGATGCGCTCTGCAGAGATTGGGAGGACAGTACGCAACACATTGCATCCGGAGGACACTTGGATCCAATTCTGATCGGAGTAGCCAAGTTTGATAATGTGGTTTTCTTTACTTGTCCATTCTGACAACTTAAACCTGCTTGTCCGACATTTATTTGTACTTGCCCCAGGCAAGCGGACAAGCCTTTAATGTTGAGCCCTGTCCAGCTCGCGTTGGCCATGTTGATTTCTCCCATACTGCTTAATTTCTCCAGAATCACCAATGCCGCCCTGTAAACAAACAGCCAATGTTTGTGTGCACTGCAGTGTTCCTGTATCTCCTCAGTTTCCTCCATAGACTTCTATAGACCTGACGACCCCCCCCCAGAGCAGCGATGGCTGTGAATGAGCCTTTATCACTGATGCTGCTCACAGCCATTCCAGTGACATTATAAAGCTGATGTATATGAGAAGCCATGGGAGCCTACCATAACACTGTCCTCTATTCTCAGTCAGCCAGGTGTTCCCTATGGAGCCCAGACAGAATGGGCTCTTCTCTGTCTCCGACTACGCCCCAAATGGTACCCGATCCCCTTTATAGTGCACTGCTTTTGAGCAGAGACCTATGGGCCCTGGTAAAAAGTAATGCACTATAAAGGGTATTGGGAGCCATTTGGGACACGGGCTCTGTTTGACACGTGTCTGTTCAGCGGGGGAAATCTGCCAGTTCTGTCTGAATACGAGGCATGTTAACCCCCCCCTCCTCCCCGCCACTGGAGGTGATCTCTGTCTTTTGACACACTACACCGCACACACACCTCCGTCCCACTGACAGGATGACAAGCGCCCCACGGGACATAGAGCCCTGCTGACGGAAGGGCAGGAGGCAGACAGTGACCGACAAGGGGGGATTACTGTCACACACTGTGTGTGTTAGTTCTACATGTGGGGCCCTGTTCACACTGCCCTTATCTGTCAGAAAGCAGCAGAGGAGAGGCAGCCCACCGACATGACAGAGCATGCATAGCTTTGCCCGCATATCACATCCCCTACTGGCTACTGCTCTCTCACTCACACAAAATACTGCTGCAGGAGCAGACATTCAAACTGTGTGGTGTCTGTGTCTGTGAGAGACAAACAGAGCAAAGGCTCTCACTGTCACACCTTGAGCCAAGTGGCCCATGTGTTATTCACTACATCACCCCACATCCAACCATGACACATTTAAATGGCTTAAGGAATTATTACTCTACAAAAATCTAAATGCATTATGCAACAATTTCAACGATTTTACTGAGTTACAGTTGATATAAGGAAATCAGTCAACTGAAATAAATAAATTAGGCCTTAATCTATGGATTTCACATGACTGGGCAGGGGTGCAGCCATGGGTGGGCCTGGGAGAGCATAGGCCCACTTACTTGGGAGCCAGGCCCACCTACTGGGGAGCCAGGCCCAGCCAATCAATTATCTGGCAACAACTCTGGTGGACATTCCTGCAGTCAGCATGCCAATTGCACGCTCCCTCAAAACTTGAGACATCTGTGGCGTTGTGTTGTGACAACTGCACATTTGAGAGTGGCCTTTTATTGTCCCCAGCACAAGGCGCACCTGTGTAATGATCATGCTGTTTAATCAGCTTCTTGATATGCCACGCCTGTCAGGTGGATGGATTATCTTGGCAGAGGAGAAATGCTCACTAACAGCACAATTTGAGAGAAATAAGCTTTTTGTGCATATAAAACATATCTGGGATCTTTTTCAGCTCATGAAACATGGGACAAACACTTAACATGTTTCGTTTTATATTTTTGTTCAGTATATAATATTTATTATTATTATTATATAAGTGGGGATGCTTTTCTTCTCCTGTCAGAGATGCGCCACTTGTCTGGTTGAGTAGTGGAGACGTGAGGGGCTTTTGCCAGGAAATTAGATTAGTTTGTGCTGGAGGAGAAAGTATGCTTGTGTATTACAGGGGTAGCTTTGTTCTTGGAACTCTGTGTTGTCCAGTAGGCCTTTGTCCTAGCTATTTTAAACATAGTGGGACAAAGTCTTTACTGTCTGAGGGGAATCCTCTGTGTGTGTGTGTGTGTGTGTGTGTGTGTGTGTGTGTGTGTGTGTGTGTGTGTGTCCTGAAAAGCGTAAGAGGGTCTAGAACGTACACCATTAGCCGTCTTTCTCTGACACACACACACACACACACACACACATACACACACACGTTTGTTTTACTATCCTTCTGGGGACCAAACAATTGATTCCCATTCAAAATCCTATGTTCCCTAACCCCTGAACCTAACCTTAACCCTAAACCTAACTCCTAAGCCTAAAATAGCCATTTTCCTTGTGGGGACCAGTGAAATGTCCCCACTTGTCCGAATTTTCCTTGTTTTACCACCCTTGTGAGGACTTCTGGTCCCCACAAGGACAGTAAAACCAAAAAAACACCCGCACACGCACCAATCAGTGTAAATAATGAGTGAAACCTATGTGGCAGCTAGTTGGGAGTCTGCATGAGGTATTAGTGTGTATCTCAGCAGGAGAGAGGCTTAGTGAGCCTGGCTTTGTGGCTTCTAGCGCTAGCTCCATTAGCATGTGTCTGTAACCACGCAGAGCAGACATCACAACCACACAGCAACAACAGGGTTCCTTCTGCTGCCTCCCTATCCTTAAACCTTGTTAAGTCCTAGGGTGCGTCCCAAATGGCACCCTATTCCTTTTAAAGTGCACTATATTTTCCCTAGGCCCATAGGGCTCTGATCAGAAGTAATGCCCTATACAGGGAATAGGGTGCCATTTGGGACTCATGCTTCATTAAGGCCTAAGAAAAGACCACAAAAAAAAGAGGCCCATTTACCTCCAGGAGGCTGACCACATGTTTATTTTATTCCCCTTTAAAAAGACTGGCTGATTTAAATAAATAAATAAGAGTGGGGGGGAAGTACATTTCAAATTCCCTTTAATATGGGATGATGAAAACGGAGTCCCCTTCAAACAAGGCCGGCTATTAACTACACTACTCGCAAGTGTACACATTACAATGAAACACACTCAAGGCGTACAGAAAATACTTCCTCTGCACCAGGGGCTGATGATGATGCTAGTGCCTAAATAAGGAAGGAAACCCTGAACACCGGCTTTTCAGGATACCCATACTTGCGTCCTAAAATAGTAGGCCGTCTGAGGATGCTCAAGAAAAGTTTAATAGTATGCGACATTTAGAAAATCCAGTGTACTTTCAATGCTCGGATGCCATACTCTTTTCAGATTTGACAACAGCTGATCAATTTAGATATGGGGATGCGCTACCGAAATCAACGAATAGCGGGGAACAACCCAATCACGCATGATGCATTCTCAGTATGTGAAAATTGAGTATGTGAATTTTCAAAAGTTGAGTGTGGTTTAAGTGCCAGGATGTTCTACTCATTTCGGCTCTTCATCTAGTAGAATTCGATGCACACTTTTCCACAATGCATTGGAAGAGGTGGGCTGCGAGTGATAGTTGCTAGTCTTCAAGTAGCCAAACAACAAAACTAGGGTACTTAATTGGCAAGATGACGAGTAGCGTGGTGTTTAAATGTAGGCTAAGTAGTTTGAAAAGTTTGTCTGATTTTAATTTATATATGTTACAGCACTTTGGTTTCACCAATAAATACTGTATGTTGAAATGGAACCAAATGATCTGTTTGTGTTCAGTCCTTTATGAATAGGATAGATGGGCTATATGGGCTACAGTATAGGTTGAATGTGATAGCCTGCCTATAACCAGCCTGAGTAGGCCTATAGCTCCTTTCCTATTCTGTTTTAGAGAAATTAATTGAATTGGAAATGAGCTATTATCAGGCTGGTTAATGCGATCCAGGTCTGTAAATTTGGGGAAAATCCACCCGCCTCAGCCAGTCAGGAGGCGCTACTGCGTTGTGGCCGTGACATACTGCGTACTTTTCACTAAACGGTACGTGCTGAATAGTATGCGATGATGAGTACATAGTATGCAGTTAAAGTATGTAGTACGCTAGTATGGGTATTCGGACACGGCCACTGGGTTAACTGTGAAATTTAAAGCAATCCCTTATTGGGAAGAGCATCTAGAATAACACCAGATCAGTTGTGTTACTACTACGCTAAGAGACAAATGATAAAATTCACTGTGTGTGTGTGACATGGTGCTAGTAGGTATGTATGTGGCAAGCGCTATCACCAGGTTCTCACAACAGAGCCAATCTGGAGCAACAGAAGGCTTTATGAGCACAATGATTTGTGTGTGTCAGAGACACGGGCTAATGGAGTAACTTATTTTCCTTGGTGCTTTTTCATCTAGACTTCGACCCACATCAGTGGGCCGCCAGTGTTTTATGTTAATGTAAGCTCTAGTGTAATTGTGTTTCCATCAGGAGTGTGACACTAAAGACTCGGGGCGAGCAGAATCAACAACCTCTGCATCATTAAAGACTGTTGCTTTTGTGAAGTGTTAAAGTTCAGTTAGCCATTATGTAAATGCCAGCTGAAAAGTACCCAGGACATTGCCTTGGCTCCAAGTTCGAGCAGGTCCGCTGGAGCCATGGCCCAGTGAGACACTGGTACCAGCCCCCGTAGATGGAAACGCGTACACACACACACACACACACACACACGCACACACACACAGGCAGTGCCTCTTGGTGTGTTTTTATCCAGAGCTCATTTTGTGAAAACGATAGGTTAAGGAAAGATAAATATTTGAATGACAAAACAATGGAACTGACTAATGTTTACTTGTGGGAGAATAGGAGTTGGAGAGGAGCGAGAGAGCGAACAAACAGAGAATGAGACGTAAGATGATTAAAAGGTCTAGTGGGGGCTCAGAACTCATTTCAGAGGCAGAAAAATGCACCGCAATAAATAAACCAGCAAGGCAAGGGGGAGGCTGCTGAGTTGAAAGATTACAGCGGAGTAGAGCGCGGAAGAGAAGGCAAAAAGCCCTCGTTCTGTGATTCCTTCGTCTCTCTTCGTCTGCTGTTCTCTAGTGGTTTTCATTAGCTACATCCTCCTCTCTAAAACAACCAGCCTCCCCCTCCCTCTTTCACGTTCCTCAATGATTTTTGTTCTTTCTGCAGTTCCCATTCCCCTTACACATACACTCACATTCTTTTTCTCCCTTCTTTTTCCCCTCCTCCTTCCCCCTGCGTTCTCTTTTCCGTCTTCTGAATTTTTTCGCTCCTCTTTCAATGTCTAGGCTCCCGTCCTCTCCCCTGTGCCCGTGCTTTGATAGTGGGGCTGTGGTATTTGAGGGAGTGAATGGGAGTGTGGGAATGCAGGGTGTAAATTAGAATGCAGTGTGTCCCCCTACACACACACACACACACACACACACACACACACACACACACACACACACACACACACACACACACACACACACACACACACACACACACACACACACACTGCATTCTAATTTACTTGCAGACTGAAAGGAGAGTGTTGTTTATCTTGAGCCCTAGAGGCTGATCTACATCCTGTGAATGTATCCTCCCTCCTCTCTCTCTCTCTCATTTCTCCTTTTCTTTTTCTCTGTAGCTCCTTTGATTCTTCTCTCTCTCCTCCGTGCGCTGCAGCTCACTCCCCATAATTAGAATGTGCACAAGGGGGACGGAAAATGAGCGAGAGGGAAACGAGAGCGGGAGGAATGGAGACTAAGGCAGGCAGCGAGAGGGGTGGGGGTGTGTGCTGCCGAGGCAGGCATAGCTGGGAGCTGGTTGGCTGAGCTGTTGGCAAGGGGCGGGGGGGATGGGCCGCCGCGCTGCCATTGGTTGGCCTGGGTCCCAGGGGCAGATGGGGGAGAGAGGATGGGAGCTCCAGTGCCGTGTTCCTCTCCTCTTTTTTTTCCCCCCCTCTCCTCCTCTCTGCTCTGCTCTCCTCCTCTGCTCTCCTCTCCTCTGCTCTCCTCTCCTCTCCTCTGCTCTCCTCTCCTCTGCTCTCCTCCTCTGCTCTGCTCTGCTCTCCTCTCCTCTGCTCTCCTCCTCTCCTCTCCTCTGCTCTGCTCTCCTCTCCTCTGCTCTCCTCCTCTGCTCTGCTCTCCTCTGCTCTGCTCTCCTCTCCTCTGCTCTCCTCCTCTCCTCTGCTCTGCTCTCCTCTCCTCTGCTCTCCTCCGCTCTCCTCTCTTCTGTGAGCTTCTACAGGGAGCCAAGCTCCGTTCAGCAATAGCTCATCAAACCCACCACAGCACTGAGGTGGAAAAGCAGCACAGGGCTGTCTGTTATTACCCGCTGTGTGCGTACGTGAAGAATTGGAGGGAAAGACTCCCTCCCCACTATTTCTTGATCTTTATATCACTACCACTCAATGTGCTGTGCTGTTAGATCTAAGACTGCATTGTAAGATTAAATATAAGCTGAAATAATATTGTAGTTGGAGGGAAGGTTGTACACAGACTATTATAGGAATGAAGCAGAATTGATATCCATTATGCCTTAGAAGCATGGCTTGGTTTAAGCTGTATAAACATATACTGAAATGATCAATGACACATCTTATATTTGTATACTTATATCTCAGTAAAAGTAACCCTCCCACCCCAGTCTCCTATATGGTTATTTATATTGGGGAGATGCGGGACAACTTAGTACCCTCGCTTATATGTGAATTAGAGTTTGGAGCAGTCTGACACGGGTGAACATTGATCGTATTCGCACCAGTATAATTTGCATGTCGGCCGCGTGGGAGGAAAAACTCCCTTGGTTGCACACCTTATCCCCAGAATTTTTAAGACTGTCCCCTTCCAGACTCTTGACAGACAGGTGAGTCTGCCAATGAGATGTTGCCGTGGGGTGAGACGACCCTCTGGAGAGGGCCCATGCCATTGCAAAGGAAAGTGAAGGTTAACATGGGGGCTTTACCAGAGATCAGATTAGCAGGTCACAGACACAGAGGCCTAAACTGTGTCTATTCTGCATCCCAAATAGCACCCTATTCCCTATATAGTGCACTACTTTTGACCAGAGCCTATAGGGTACTAGTGCACTATATTGGGAATAGGGTGCCATTTGGGATGCAATCTGTGTGTGCCGCCATCAGCTTTATCCCTCATCTGTCGTCTAGCAAACTTTCTCTCTCTCTCACACGCTCTCTCTAAAACCTAGGATGGGATGGGATGAGATGTGTGTTATCATCCTAGTCTCAAACCAGCTACTCTGTCTATTCTACCTGCAGTCTATCCAACCCCCCCACCCTCTCTTTCTCTACTCATCTTTCTACCCGTCTCTCTCTGTCTTATCTTTCTACCAATCTCATCTCTCAAAGCATCTGCTGAGCCAGTAGTTTCCATTTCAAAGCAAAGCCTCTTTCATTCGGAGCAGAAGTGATGCTCTTGAGGTGGAGTGTGCCCTCAATCCCCTCCCCCTGCTCCTCCTCTCTCTCTCTCTCTCTCTCTCTCTCTCTCTCTCTCTCTCTCTCTCTCTCTCTCTCTCTCTCTCTCTCTTTATCCCCTCTCCCATTGCCTCACCGTACTGCGTCACCATGAGAATAAACCAAGAACAAAAGGTGTCCAGGGAGATTCCAGCTCTGGGTCAAATAAAAAATCCAGTCCGTTTCACAGTGGAACACATGGGTCGTATTCATTAGTGTACACCGTAGCAAAACGTTTTTCAACAGAAACTAATTTGCAACACAAACAGTCAAACATATTTCAGATAGTCCCATCCTGTTTCAGTTGGTTTTCTTCCGTTCGGTGTCTAATGAATACGGCCATGGGCTGCACACACGTGGCCAGGGACAAAATGATCAAACATGAAATAAACATACAGGCTTGGTTTCCAGTAGTCAGAAACGATGTGGACCTGTTGGGTTGGTCCTTGAAGGCTTGGGATGTCCTGCTAGAGGAGGATCACTAGAATACAGTCAGACAGGCTTCTCTCTTCATCCTCCTATAGTGGGTGTGGGGTGGCAGATTATAGGTTCTGTGTGGGGGACATATTCCGTCTAGACCTTTGATAAACGGAAGAATGGGCTATGGTGGGGACTAGGGATGTGTCTCAAATGGCACCCTTTTCCCTATATAGTGCCCTAAATAGCCTAATCCCGATATAGTGCCTTGGTCAAAAGTGGTGCACTAAATAGGGTATAGGGTGCCATTTGGGACACAGACTAGAATATGGGCAGTCATTGCGCCTGTCTGTCCATCACCAGACTGGCACTAACCGTTACCACTGCCGGTTACCACGGTGGCAGACAAAATCGCCAGCTGGCTCCGTGCCAACTGCAGTGGCAGAGCGGGAGGGGTGGCGGGACCAGGATCAGGCAGCCAGTGGTGATGTCTGCTGCTCCCTCAATCTCTCTCTCATTCTCTCCCGCTCTCTGTCTTGTCCCTCCCTCAGTCATTGATTAGCTGGAGGAAGAGCGAGCGAAGGGAGAAGGTAATTATGGTGACTAAATTGCGCTTTTTTCATCTACAACATCAAAGATGATGAAAGTCTTGGACAGATTCCAGATTTTTTTCAGATTTTTTCTTTTCTTGTTCCTCGTTCTTCTTTTGTTCCAGATCGTAATGGTAAATCTATTCTACACAAACCCCCATCTCCCTCAAACATGTCCCGCACCTCTATTCAAGCCAAATGAGGAATATATTGTTTTAATTGTACTTCTCAGCTATATTTGGTTTTTACACACACGCTCAACCTCAATCACACACAGGCACCCTTAGAGAAATCAGTAAGATTGCTGCTGTCCCCGTTCCCCACTATTTCTTAAACTCTGTCATTAAGTCTAAATTATTTCCCAGCACAGCCCTGCATGTTTTTCGTCTGACTGCTACTCATGATTGCAAATGCTGATGCCGCTCTTCGTAACTCCTCCGAGATAACTCCATTCTATTGCCAGCAACTATTACCTCCCCCAAGCCTCTCCTCTCTTCTCCTTATGACGCCATCCCCATTCCTCATTGGTGGTTGGTTAATTCAGTCCCGGAGCTGATTGGCTCTAGCCTGCCCGCAATATCTCCACAGAGACCGAGGCATCCAGAGCCACGGTGATGGGCGCCATCTGAAACGGTGACACCACAAAAAGCCTCTGTTGGCTGTCCAATATTTAATTGGGCGTGAGTGTGAGTTTTCCCCGGAGGGCCGAGCGTACGTGCGTTTGTTGTGTTGTGAGGGCGGGAAGGAGAGTGACTCACTCATCACACTAACCCTTGGGCTAAATGGCAGACAGGATAAGAGGGGAGAAAGATAAGGAGTACCACAAGGTTCTATTTCAGCCCCATCTCAATGTATCCTTTTTTATTATCGTGTTGCTAAGGCAGTGCTTATGGAGTATGCTTTGGAAGGTGCAGTCACAGTGTGCATATGAACTGGTTTTCAGAGTGCTGAAGACTGAGGAAGAACCTCGTCTCTCTGTCATCTGTGCACATCACATACACTCTAACACACACAAAGGCTCGCTCTCATGCTCTCTCTCACATTACCATTCTGCACCAGTGCTTGAGTCTGCTGTTTCTTCTGAGGAAAACTCATCTAAAGTTGTCCTCAGAAGAATAGCCAGTCAGTCCTCTTTTGAACATGGCATGACTGTGCCTCTTGCCCACCCCAGAGAGAGTATGTGTGCGCGTGCATACTCTCCCCTCTAGAGGCTGTCTAATCACCCATCCATCACTCCGCACAGAGGCACATTCCCACAGTCTCCAGACACACAAACACACACACACCGTCTCCAGAGAGCGCTTATCAAACCTAATATGCCAGTGCTCCTTTCAGATTGTCAGATTTCACAGTAGGGGAGAGTTTCCCCTCATCAGCCTTGTGAATGTCTCCGTGTGCGTACACACCAGTGTTCTGCTCAGGGCTACCTCCACCACCGCTGCTGCCCCCTACTGCTTCTCAGGAGGCCCAATCAGGGACACTTTTGATGGGGGAGAGATCTAGGCGAGGCCCAGGCAGTCCCCCTGGCCTTCCTCGGCTTTCAGTATTTTCTCAATTGCATATTTTTCAAAGGCAAACTCTTTTCTTTCATCAAACTATATGGACAGAATCAAAAGGCTGGGGGATGAAAGAGAAGAAAATGGCGGGTGCTCTGGTGAATGTGTTCAGGGTCATAGCTAGTTTAGATCCCCGGGTTTCATCTAGTCTGTCCCAAATGGCACCCTATTCCCTTTTATAGTGCACTACTTTCGACCAGGGTCCATAGGGCTCTGGTCAAAAGTAGGGCACTATATAGGGAATAGGGTGCCATTTGGGAGGGCTTGTCTTTGATTATAAGTCCTTGGTCCTGGTGCGGTGTGTCCACATAGCCAGGGTATGAGTAGAGAGGACAGTAATGTTCTGGATGTACTTACTCCCCCACACTGCACAGTCAGCATACTGCTGTCTGTGGTGAATCACAAGCTCACACACACATAGGCTGAGCCATTCTGAGTGCTGGGAAATCAGCAAGATACTATAGCTAAACAAAATGGCAACTTTGTCTTTCTCTGCGATGTGGTGCAAGTGTACTAGGCTCCTTTTTAAAGTTCAGTTTAAAGCATTTCTGTAGCAATTTAATGGTTCTCTGTTGGTGCTTTCTTTTACACGGCTGCGGCCCAAACTCGAGGGTACCACTGCATGGAAAGAGTGAACAGAGGAGTGGACTGCATGTGGGCACTACTGCTGTGCCCGTCTCTGGTTCTCTCATTAATTAATTTATCCTTCCCTTGTTTCACTGCAGAGTCGCGAGTGGAAAGGGGGATGAGGGAAGGGAGGAGGTTAAAACCACGAATGACCAATGAGGCTGAATAATTATATTCATAAATTTAGCAAGCCAAGGCCCCTAACGAATGTGAATAATTATAACCATAAATCATGCAAGCGGCACAAGTCTTGAGGAATATGCAAACAGGTTTAAGTGGCCATCCAATGCCTTTCAAACTGAAATAAAGGGTTTGTTGAAATATGTAACACACGCTGAAAACTGAAGAGAAGGCCTTGGCCGAGTCCCAAATGGCACCATATTCCCTACAAAGTGCACTCCAGGGCTCTGGGCTTTTTACCAACCCCCCATGCCTCTAATGATGCAACCCGCTTCTGTGATGGTGAAGTAGAAATACTTTGGGAACCCATTTGGAGCTTTAGAGGAGTGCAAATGAGAGGAGAGGAATCCCACTGCACAGTAGGGTGCATTGCATTCAAGTACAATTGGCTGACGTAGACTAAGATTGATAGCAGAAGATGTATATATTTTTTTAATGCAGAGATGCTCTTAACTGCTGTGTGTGTGTTTTAAGTGACTGATCATGAAGTCTAAGTGGTTGTTATGGCCTCAGATTGTGTCATAATGAAAGGTCGTAGGTGAGAGCTGCCTGTCCGCCAGGCGCCAACTCCAGCTCTGAGCGGGGCTGTTACGGGGACTGTATTACCACCACACCGGCAGTCACGAGTCATGACCGCAGTCAAATTCCACGTGACTGTTTAGTCACGGTAACTAGGCTTCTCCAAGCTCTGATGCTGCTGATGGTCATTAGTAGCCTACCCAAACTTGCTAACTGCCATGGTACTCTGTACTCTATTGTCCCTCTAATCACTCTGACATCAACGCAAATGTACAACAGGAGTATAGCCTACCTGGCTGGTATGAAAACTAACCACGGGAAAAGCGTCCTCCTTTGCTATTTAAGTGCACAGATGACATGTATTTTTTTCCCTTGCCCCGGTTCCGATACAGGTGCATGATAATGGTCCAAAACAAAACAAATTTCACACATATATATTATTTAGTATATGTAAAGACAAGATTAAATCAAGAATAGTCTGATGGGTGACAATATTAGCCTATCACTTGTGAATGATATGTTATCACTTGTGAATGATGCCCAGCTTTTGTGCAGTAAGGCAAGAAAGAGTGCAAGCCTTTTTTTTGGCTACTTTTTAAAATCATAGCCCCCACCTCATGTAGCCTAGCCCATAGGCCTATATGTTTTGATAATGTTTGTATAACCAAATAACTTCTTAAAATTAAGCACATTTGATTCGCTTTACAACCGGTGCAGAGCCTAACTGGCATACATAGGCAGCGAGTGAGTTTCAAGTTTGGGGAAGAACTTTCACAATTTTTTCGCCCTTATAGCCTACTGCCGTGTGCGCATTGCTGCGCTTATAATGTGAAAAAATAGCATAATAGCCTATCAACATTTTAAGCTAAACGTTCTGATATGTTGCATCAGCCTCATTGCTTTTAAACATTTTTTTGATGCGATTGGTTGTATTAATTTGGGATCTATCGCATCCCACAACTGTCCCAGACTATGTTTGGAATATTTATTTCTCGCACAGAATAGGTCAACTTTTGTACTATGGGGGATAGTAGATTGACATAGGCTAGTGCTTTTGCTGTTCGTTAGGCCTACTCATCTTGTTGGCTGACGAAAAGTAAATGTGGACAGTTCTTCTAACATCTTCAATATGTGCCTCGGAATTCTACAAGAAGGACGCGCGCACTTGTGTCCCCGACGTGTCGGGTCTTCACTTGTAGCCTACTTCGGAACTGAGATAGATGCCTGTGAGAAGACCCTGATCACGTGACGAGCATTGGCTAATAAGAATTGAGATATCAGAGAGAGCCATGTGAGTGAGAGGTGCTTCGGAACACGCAGCCAGGAGAAGGGAATTATAATTATTATATTCAGCCCAAGGGCACAATGGCCACTGGATGTTTTTAGGGGGCATTACGGCCACACTAGGGGGATGCAGCCGGGAAATTTGAGGCATTATCAAGTGCTTGTCAAATTGTGAATGAGAGACTGATGAAATGTGTTCAGCCTGCACAAGAAACAAAGCAGAGCTCATGCCTTTCATGCAACTTTTTTCAAATCATCATTAGTCGCATCATGCAGCCTTAGAATGTTTAAAACATCTAAATATATAGCCCAACATTTGTATCACAACTAAAGTTGCATAACTCTAAATTAAGTATATAGGAGGACCTGTTTCTTTGTTAATCTCTCAACACAGAATAGCCGCATGTGCGCACTCCCTCAGAAATCGTTTGGAGAAAATATCCTTTCTATTTTATTCAGCTATGTTCAATTGTATTCTTCATACTATAAAATAAAATAATGCCATGAATTCTACGCAAATCATGTCTGCTAAATGAACTAGTGTAGCCCACAGCCATATGGCATAGCCAGATCAGGGCCTAACATAAGGACGGCTCAGAATATGCTATTCTGTTCTTCTGAAATATAAATTTTCCCCCCCAAAAAGTGGTTTTATTGTGATGGTGTAGGCTATATTAAATGGAATTATTAGACTAAAATGTAGATGTTCCAAAGGTCTGCATCAGTGGCTTGTAGGCTATGTGTGGAAGCCAGGAGATGCTAAATGTATTTATGTAAATTACGGTCAATTACCGTGAGACCGGCAGTTATTTGCTTGACAATCATCGGCTGACAAAATGTCATGACCGCCACAGCCCTAGCACCGACCGCACAGTTTCCACAGGAATCGGTAGCTGAGAGGGAGGAGAGGCAAATAACTTGGTCCCATGCCACTTTGGAGGGCAACTCGTTGGCAGTATTAAACTTTGGCTCCACTCCTGATGTGACATTGAGGCCGTTGGCGTGGCTGTCTTTTGGGTGTAATTTGGCCAAATTTGTCTAAATGCCTGAGGTGTTTCTGCCCAGTTAGTTTTTCAACATGTAGGCAAATTGGTGATTGTTGCAATGATGCTGTTTCTCTCCCACTGTGAAAGCGCCAGTAGTACAGACTGAGAGAATGCGTCTCAAATGGCACCCTATTCCCTATAAGGTCAAAAGTAGTGCATTAAGTAGGGAATAGACAGAAGTCTAGCCTGACTGCAGTGCTGGGAGAATATTTTCCACCATGTGCCCGCCTGCCTGGTTTTGCGTTAACTCAATTGGGTAAAGTCTTCCTGGACATCAAGAGAGATTTCCAACACTACAATGTCTCTCCATCTATGTTAGATGTTATGTCAAGTCATCAAGTAACTGGTAAAGATTTTACTATCTACTGGTGGAGGTTCTTAATGCTTGTATTTCAAGGTGTTCTTGACCTCAGCAGACTGGCTCGAAGTCAGAATTTCTCCTGGGTCATGTTCATTTAAAGCACATAACGGAGGACATTTTAAAATGTTTTGCAACTGAAAACGAATGAGCGTATTGTTATTGGACTAGTCCAGGTAGTCGCTCACTCAGTCCGTTTTTCTTCCGTTTTGTGCGCGTGAACACGGCTTGGTTTGCCTCACACTAACCTTCCTCTCTTCTCTCCTCTTCTGTTCCAGGACCTATCTGGCTCCATAGATGACCTTCCTACGGGCACGGAGGTGGCCAGCAGCTCAGCGGTTAGTGCTTCGGGGTCCACCAGCAGCCAGGGCGAGCAGAGTAACCCGGCCCAGTCGCCCTTCTCACCCCACGTGTCCCCACGCCTCCCTGGCCTGCGCAGCGGCCCCTCGCCCTCCCCCGTGGGATCACCCGTTGGCTCCAGCCAATCACGCTCCTGCCCCATCTCCCCCGCCAGCGTCCCAGGTATAGAACGAAACCCTGCACCTAGGTAATAATAATATGCCATTTAGCAGACGCTTTTATCCAAAGCGACTTACAGTCATGTGCGCATACATTTTTACGTATGGGTGGTCCCGGGGATCGAACCCACTACCCTGGCGTTACAAGCGCCGTGCTCTACCAATTGAGCTACAGAGGACCACTAGGTCTAGGAGTAACCTTCAAACACTCTACCACATCTCACACAGACACATCACACTCCGGACAGGGAGTAAGGGCCAGTTTTCCAGACTCGATACAGTAACTGTATTTGTAATATTTCAGCCATTATATTTCAGAGAGCAGTTCTGAGACAGCCACAGTGGAGCTGGAACAGCACAGCTCTGGTTGTCATGACTGGCACAACTGTGGAGGAAAAATAGCTCCTTTGTCTCATTACAGGCAGTTCTTTCTGAACTTCTTTTGCATTAGTGACTCTATAGTAAGTCACAGTGGGAGAGAGAAGTCTGTTGGTTTCGTAGAGGCAGCTGGGGCAGTCAGGGGAGGTGCTATAGCTTCAGCTCCAAAACAAAGGCCTCAGTCATTAAAATAGTTTCTAAACTATGTTAGCAGTTCGGAGTCACTTTAACACAATTACTCTCCCACAGTGCAGCGCCTTGTTGCCCGTTTGACGCCAGGCTGGACTAGTTTGGGGAGATTTGTCCTTATTTGTGGCCAAAGTTACAGTTTAATCCCCGACCCTTTCTCTCTCGCTACTCTGGGTGGTGATAACGAGGTCGACGGGAGACCATTTAGCCATCTGCACACACACACACTATACACACTCTCACCCCTTCTGGGAGAGCTGTCAGCCATAAGCCCCCACACTGAGGCACCAACTGACTTGTGATGGCCTTTGCATCCTATCGCCACGGTAACCGCTGCATATAAACACATGCACACATACTGTAGGGCTCATTAAAGGGCACCAGACACACAGCTCCCAGGGAGAGGGGTTAGTTTAGCTAGACACACTGCTGCTCTTCAGGCCAACACACTGACATGACAGATCTGGGGATGTGGGTGTGTGTCCCCGTGTGTGTGTGTGTCCCACTGACGTTTGCTCCCCTCCCCTCCTCTCCTCCCAGGCACCCAGATGGCCCCCCAGACCCCTGGGAACGTGTCTGATGTGGGCTCCCATTCCACCCTGAGCCAATCCCCCATGTCTCAGGAGAGAGGTGAGATTTTCCTGCACATCACACAACCTTGTGACCCACAACCCCCCCTCTTCCAGAATATTTACCATGCATGTGAACGATGAAGTCTGAGCAATCGGCAACAAATCCGTATACGCTCGGATGAGTCAAATACGTGAGCTTTTTGCTCACTTCATTTCAACGACGGTTTGATAAATTAGGTCCCCTCTTTAGTACACAATCTGACCCTATGATGGAAATATTTGAACGGAACATGGGTACCTCAAGCTTTAGTCCCTCCCTAATGATGTATAGCAGTGAACCTATGTCTCTCAAGGAGTCCATTTCTCCTGCTGGGTCTCAGGTGTTTTCCATAGGATCATTAGTACAACAGATTAGCCATAAATCAGCCTCCCTTCAATGCCTCAGCACTGGGCCAGACCTCTGGCTGTGTCCCAAATGACACCCCATTCCCTATATAGTGTTATAATTTTGGGCTCTGGTCAAAAGTAATGCACTATGCAGGGAATAGGGTACCATTTAAGACGCACCCTTCATAGAGGAACCATGGATGTCTCTCTCAACGGCTGCCAATATGGTTGTCAGGCCATGTCATTCAGGCTGTCCAGCACTGGGGCCGGGGGGGTGAAGGCCCAGTGAGTAATAGTCAAAATAACACCTCACCAGCCAGCTAGACATAACCTTTTTCTCACTGTCTGAAGGGGATCATTGTAACAGTGGTGGCATTAATACAAATGATCACTCACTCCATGGCCCAAGCTTGGGGAGGGGTGTTACTTAAAATGGGGCATGTGAGTGCTGTACAAGCTGTTGAAGCACAGGGAAGGGGAAAGTCATGTTTTTTCTTTTGGCCTCCATAGTGCCTATGAATAAATAGTTAAAGGGATAGTTCACCCAAATTAATTGTCTTACCGTGCCCATAGACTGATTACAGGGCAGGGTTTCCGTTAGGAAAATGTGGCGCCGGCAGCATTTTAATTAACGGACATTTAAGACATTTACCGGGTACATATGCATTGGTTGCGCAACCTGATTAGGGCGTCCACCCACAGTGCTCAGAATGCCAGAAATCACATTTACACTGAACAAAAATATAAACGCAACATGTAAAGTGTCGGTTTTATGAGCTGAAATAAAATATCCCAGAAATTTTACATACACAAATTTGCTTACATTCCTGTTAGTGAGCATTTCTCCTTTGCCAAGATAATCCATCCACCTGACCGGTGTGGCATATCAAGAAGCTGACTAAACAGCATGATCGTTACACAGGTGCACCTTGTGCTGGGGACAATAAAAGTCTAAAATGTGCAGTTTTGTCACACAATGCCACAGATGTCTCAAGTTGAGGGAGCGTGCAACTGGCATGCTGATTGCAGGAATGTCCACCAGAGCTGTTGCCAGAGAATTGAATGTTAATTTCTTTATCATAAGCCGCCTCCAAAGTCATTTTAGAGAATTTGGCAGTACGTCCAACCGGCCTCACAACCGTAGACCACGTGTATGGCACAAAAATACAGTGACAAGATTGTGAGGCCCATTTTCCCACTAATCTGTATTCCCAGTCATGTGAAATCCATAGATTAGGGCCTAATTAATTGACTGATTTCCTCATATGAACTGTAACTCAGTAAAATCCAATTTTAGCATGTTGCGTTTAATATTTTTTTAAAGTATCGTTTATGGTAATTCATCTTAACAGAACATGCAACGGCGTGCGTCATTCTTACCGAATTCCGATGAGCAATTTGAAGATGTTAAAGTACATGGGTGGCGGGTCCATAAGGCTAGGGGAAGCTTTCCCTAAAGGAAATGTAATTAAATTGCCAAAATGATATAGCCTGAATAGCTTACTCATGTCTATACAGAAATAAATAAAATAATTCAAAATAGGCTGCCACACCAGAAAGCATGATTTGGCCACAAGAGGATTAGCTTAAAAAACAACAACTGTGGATTGTTTTAAATTGCATAGCCTACAGTCGGAAGGGCCCGCAGTTTGGGAAGAGCGCGCAGCAAATACCAAATAGATTATTGTGAAAAGCAGAGACCCAGCCAGGCATATCGCAATATTTAAAAATACAATCATGGAAAAGCAAACTGTTTGGAAAGCAAAATGGCTATTGCTGTAAATAGAACACAATGAAAAGTCTCCAATCTGTCTTTTAATTATCAAAATTCTCAACTTTATTATTATTGTCGCCAGCGGAGAACATCGACCATATCCCCGGTGAGTGTACATATTCACTGTCTTTATCATTGGGTCAGTGCCACTTTTGTTTGTTTTTGGACAATAATTTCCTCCTCCAGGTTTGATGGACGTAATATTGTATTTGTCTCCCCTTTTCATAGGCCCAGAGTATTCTACCCTGTTAATTTTTGTTGTATTAAAAAACATTCTGTTAATGTCTCCAGTCATATAAAATGTAGTAGAATTGTATGAAATGTATTTATGAAAGGCCAACATTTTCCTGTGATATAGCCTGACTGCTCTACACCACTATGCACTGCATTGTCTTTTTTTGCGAACAGTGATTGAGTTATATTATTAGTCTAAATTATGACTATCTAATCATCACATTAGGAATAGTAGGCTATCTTACATAAGTTTACAAATGCGAGGATGCATGGAATGCTTTTTTTTAAAGGTGGATTTTTATGCTGAAAATTAGCAAAAATAAAGATTCAGCAATGAGGCTCATGCACCAGATCAGAACGTTTAGCTTAAAATGTTGATAAACTATTATTTCTTCACATTATAACCACAGAAATACGCACAAGGCAGTAGACTACGCTAATTTCATTATGTTCGTTCCATAATGCGATTAGTGGGAAAAAACCATTGTGAGGGGTTTCATGTGACAGAGATGATATCCGTTTTCAAAATGCATGTCTCCAGCTCATTGCAAAGTGACAATCTGAAGCCTGCCTGGTTGCCAATGCACTTGAATGGGAAGCGAGCTTCAATTTACCAGTTGAATTTTTATTTATAGTAGGCTTAGCTCTTTTTAATCGTGACCATGTTTATTTATTTATTTTACATATATATATATATATATATATATATATATGTATATATGCGATTGCCTTTTAGAATTGTTGCGCAATGATTTGGCTTATTAAAGCACGTTTCATTCATCTCTCGTGCTACATCAACTGGTATTTCAATCGATTAATTGGCTAAAATGCATTATTTTGCAATGGGATAGTATTTTGCTCCCAGACAATTGAACAGCAGCAATTATATTTATCGGCTTTTCATTTTTTTTATCGGAGAAAAGCTGGCTATTACCGGCTAACGGAAACACTGATACAGGGTAAGGAAACAGGATGTCATTTGGGCGAACTATCCCTTTAAGTGGTAGTGAGGTACTGTATTCAAATGGTTTTCTCACTACTGTGCCCTTAGACGTGGTTTTGATCAAGTGAGATGAAAAGTTCACCTTTCAAACAGATGAGACCTTTTCTGCGGCAGCCGGGCGGCTGTATTAGCTCTTGTGATATTTGGCGCCCCATTCAGATCAATTTAAATGTTTATTTGGTCGTTCGGTGTAGCATTTGGTAGTACTTTTCAACAGACAAGGCTAAGTGTTACCATTCAATTGAGGTGAGTTCACTTAAATTGAACAGAATTGCTAAATTGACAATTGGGTTTTCAAATCATTGAGTCTATGAAAGCAAAATGTACCCCCATTCTAACCTTCCCGTAGTTCTGTTCTCAATTTGAATGAATTTAACAGATTATCTCCCTGTCCCTCCCTGCAGGGTTCCCACCTGCCATGCAGCGGAACACCCCAGGCCCCCAGCAGTCAGGCCCCCAGCAGTCAGGCCAGGGGCCCCCCATGTCCCCTCACCCCTCCCCGGGGGGCTCCATGCACCCGGGCTCCTATCAGCAGCAGCAGGGGGGCCCTGGCCCCTCGTTCGGATCCCAGACCGGCCATTACGGCCCCCAAGGTAATATTCCGATCCAGGGTGAAGTTTCCCCGAGGTACAGAACTAGGATCAGCTTCCCCTCCCCCAATCCTAACCTTAACCATTAGGGGAAATGCTAAACTGACCTAAGATCAGAGTCTAGGGGCACTTCCTCCGCGCTAGAGACTGATGAGTATGTCGGTGCCCAGTAAGACAGTGTAGCCCGTTTGTTCACCCTAGCCTGGGCTATAGAAGGACTAAATCTTTGCTTAACTCACTTAATTTTCCCTGTGGGAAAAATTTGTTGCAATGTCATGTACACGTTTAAAATGGCGTTTAAGAAAAAGGACAAGAACAATGCATACAGTAGACAATTCACAATACAAATTCCTAACAGTTATATACAGTATGGGAGAAGACTATTTTAGCAGACGCTCTTACCCAGAGCGACTTACAGAATTAGGGTTAAGTGCCTTGCTCAAGGGCACATCGGCAGATTTGTTCCACCTTGTTGAGTCTGGGATTTGAATCAGCAACCTTTCGGTAACTGACCCAACGCTCTAACCGCTAGGCTACCTGCCGCCTAGTGGAATGGTGGCAGTGCTGTGACTATCCTGTGGCCCAACTCCAACACACGTTTCTACACGGTTGGAGAGAGCTGGGCTTTTTTCCACAGCGAAGTAAATCTCCAATCAACCTCCACATTTCCCATTCTCTACATATACTGTACTCCATGTCTCTCTCTCTCTCTCTTTCTCCCTCTCGTCTCTGTGTGTGTGTGTCAGGGCTGGGGTAATGGAGGAGAGTTGTTCCATCTCTTTCTCTGTGGCTGGCTGTGCTATCCAGCAGACCTGGGTTCAAATACTTTATCTGGGCTTGATTGAGCGTGCCTGGAGCAATGGAACCAATAGAATGGTCCCAAAACTCCAAACCCCTCCAACCTGGCACTCCAGGTGGGCTAATGCAAATGCTCAAAGTATCTGAAAGATTTCAAATAGTATTTGAACCCAGGTCTAGTGTGAGGTGTTCAGAGCCAGACTCCAGGCCTAGCAGGGCAACAGAGCAGAGCAGTGGCACACACACAGAGCAGCAAGGACTATTAATCAGGCTCCTGGAGCAGGGAGAGAGGGTGGGGGCGAGGACCAGAGCTATGAAAACACACACACACACATTGGCCACGCATTCATCATAAAGGCACAACACATGAGATGGATTACTATAATGACCCAATGTGTGTGTGAGCCCCCGCTCCAGATGAGTACGCACATGTCCCCACACACACGCACACACACATTCGTTCATGGGTTGGTTTTCTTCCTCAGCTGAAACAACAGAGTAGATTGATGATTGCTGCACACTAGGCTTTCATCCAGTCAACCAAAGGGTTGGCGACGCGCTGCATGTCTCCAGTAATTCAAATAACTCGATTCCAACGTCTCACCCCTAAAGAAAGCCTAAAACAGAGGTCCCCTTCACAACTATCTATAAGCATCTATGCAACAGCCCTGAGCAGTACATGTCCCTATGGGCCCTGGTCAAAAGTAGTGCACCATATAGGGAATAGGGTGCCATTTGGGACTCCAGACTATATTTCTGTGGAGGTGGAGGGAGCATATAGAGGGTGGGGGGTTTACCTAGTCTCTGATCTGTGTCACACACAAAGATTTATACACTGAACAAAAATGTGTAAAGTGTTGAAATAAAAGATCCCAGAAATGTTCCATACACACAAAAAGCTTATTTCTCTAAAATGTTGTGCCCGAATTTGTTTACATCCCTGTTATAGTAAGCATTTCTCATTTGCCAAGATAATCTATCCACCTGACAGGTGTGGCATATCAAGAAGCTGATTAAACAGCTTGATAATTACACAGGCACACCTTGTGCTGGGGACAATAAAAGGCCACTCTAAAATGTGCAGTTTTGTCACACAGCGCAATGCCACATATTTCTCAGGTTTTGAGGGAGCGTGCAATTGGCATGCTGACTGCAGGAATGTCCACCAGAGGTGTTGCCAGAGAATGTAATGTTCATTTCTCTACCAAAAGCTGCCTCCAACGTCGTTTTTGAGAATTTGGCAGTACGTCCAACCGGCCTCACAACCACAGACCACTATGGCATTGTGTGGGCGAGCGGTTTGCTGATGTCAACATTGTGAACAGAGTGCTCCATGGTGGCGGTGGGGTTATGGTATGGGCAGGCATAAGCTAAGGACAATGAACACAAATGCATTTTATCGATGACTATTTGAATGACGAGATCCAGAGGCCCATTGTCGTGCCATTCATCCGCCGCCATCACCTCATGTTTCCGCATGATAATGCACGGCCCCATGTCGTAAGGATCTGTGAACAACTCCTGGAAGCTGAAAATGTCCCAGTTCTTCCATGGCCTGCATACTCACCAGACATGTCACCCATTGAACATGTTTGGGATGCTCTGGATTTACGTGTACAACAGCGTGTTCCAGTTCCCGCCAATATCCAGCAACTTCACACAGACATTGAAGAGGAGTGGGATAACATTCCACAGGCCACAATCAACAGCCTGATCAACTCTATGCGAAGGAGAGGCAAATGGTGGTCACGCCAGATACTGACTGGTTTTCTGATCCACGCCCCTACTTTTTTTGACCAACGGATGAATATCTGTATTCCCAGTCATGTGAAATCCATAGATTAGGGCCTAATTCATTTATTTCAATTGACTGATTTCCTTATATGAACTGTAACTCAGTAAAATCTTTGAAATTGTTGAATGTTGCGTTTTATATTTTTGTTCAGTGTATATACAGTTGAAGTCGGAAGTTTACATACACCTTAGACAAATACATTTAAACTCAGTTTTTCACAATCCCTGACATTTAATCCTAGTTAGAATTACCTGTCTTAGTTCAGTTAGGATCACCTATTTATTTTAAGAATGTGAAATGTCAGGATAATAGTAGAGAATTATTTCTTTCAGCTTTTATTTCTTTCATCACATTCCCAGTGGGTCAGAAGTTTACATACACTCAATTAGTATTTGGTAGCATTGCCTTTAAATTGTTTAACTTTGGTCAAACATTTCAGGTAGCCTTCCACAAGCTTCCCACAATATGTTGGGTGAATTTTGGCCCATTCCTCCTGACAGAGCTGGTGTAACTGAGTCAGGTTTGTAGGCCTCCTTGCTCGCACATGCTTTTTCAGTTTTGCCCACACATTTTCTATAGGATTGAGGTCAGGGCTTTGTGATGGCCACTCCAATACCTTGACTTTGTTGTCCTTAAGCCATTTTGCCACAACTTTGGAAGTATGCTTGGGATCATTGTCCATTTGGAAGACCCATTTGCGACCAAGCTTTAACTTCCTGACTGATGTCTTGATGTTGCTTCAATATATCCACATAATCTTCCTTCCTCATGATGCCATCTATTTTGTGAAGTGCACCAGTCCCTCCTGCAGCAAAGCACCCCCACAGCATGATGCTGCCACCCCCGTGGTTCACGGTTGGGATGGTGTTCTTCGGCTTGCAAGCGTCCCCCCTTTTCTTCCAAACATAACGATGGTCATTATGGCCAAACAGTTCTATTTTTGTTTCATCAGACCAGAGGACATTTCTCCAAAAAGTTTGATCTTTGTCCCCATGTGCGGTTGCAAAACGTAGTCTGGCTTTTTTATGGCGGTTTTGGAGCAGTAGCTTCTTCCTTGCTGAGCGGCCTTTCAGGTTATGTCGATATAGGACTTGTATTACTGTGGATATAGATCCTTTTGTACCCGTTTCCTCCAGCATCTTCACAAGGTCCTTTGCTGTTGTTCTGGGATTGATTTGCACTTTTCGCACCAAAGTACGTTCATCTCTAGGAGACAGAACACGTCTCCTTCCTGAGCGGTATGACGGCTGCGTGGTCCCATGGTGTTTATACTTGCGTACTATTGTTTGTACAGATGAACGTGGTACCTTCAGGCGTTTGGAAATTGCTCCCAAGGATGAACCAGACTTGTGGAGGTCTACAATATTTTCCTGAGATCTTGGCTGATTTCTTTAGATTTTCCCAAGCTGTCAAGCAAAGAGGCACTGAGTTTGAAGGTAGGCCTTGAAATACATCCACAGGTACACCTCCAATTGACTCAAATGATGTCAGTCAATTAGCCTATCAGAAGCTTCTAAAGCCATGACATCATTTTCTGGAGTTTTCCAAGCTGTTTAAAGGCACAGTCAACTTAGTGTATGTAAACTTCTGACCCACTGGAATTGTGATACAGTGAATTATAAGTGAAATAATCTGTCTGTAAACAATTGTTGGAAAGATTACTTGTGTCATGCACAAAGTAGATGTCCTAACCGACTTGCCAAAACTATAGTTTGTTAACAAGAAATTTGTGGAGTGGTTGAAAAACTAGTTTTAATGACTCAAACCTGACGGGGGCGCTGTTTTGAAGCCACCGCGCCTCCATCTTGGCACTCCCCCACCATTGTAAAAAATATTTGTGAATATATAGAAATGCATTTATTAATGTCTACCTTTTGTTTTTACCACATTTATTCTATTACAGACACCTTAATAGATACTTTAAAATTATGTGTGAGCTAAACATGAAAATGAACAAATATATTACAATTTTCCTTACAGTATAATTTTTTACAAGTTCTAATGTTACACTCCCCACTACAACAAAAAATACTTAAATACATGTCATTTTGTCCTTGAAACATTCGGAAATACTGTAGAATTTCATTAATTCCTATGGAGGACTGCACCTTCTGGGGAGTGCCAATATGGCCGACCAGTGGCTTCACAGCCTCTCATTGACCAATACATAGATAGCATTAGCAATCCAGGGTTTAAATACATCACTGGTCACACCCCGTGTTCCCCAGGGGGATTCTGGAATTAACATGACTCTACAGAGGAGCTGACGCTGCCAGATAATTTCCATATACACCGAGTGTACAAAACATACTGACCAGGTGAATCCAGGTGAAAGCTATGATCCCTTATTGATGTCACTTGTTAAATCCACTTCAATCAGTGTAGATGAAGGGGAGGAGACAGGTTAAAGAAGGATTTTTAAGCCTTGAGACAATTGAGACATGGATTGTGTATGTGTGCCGTTCAGACAAAATATTTAAGTGCCTTTGAACGGGGTATAGTAGTATGTGCCAGGCGCACCGGTTTGAACTGCCCACGCTGCTGGCTTTTTCACGCTCAACAGTTTCTGACTGGCAGCCAGGGCTTAGGCCTACCCTCTCCCTCTCCTATACTCTCATCCCCCTCTTCTGTTCTTTTAGCTTCTTCTCTCTTCTGTTCTCTCCCTCCACTTTCCTCCCTACCTGCCCCCCTCTCCCTTCGCTTTCTCTCATCCTCTTCTCCTGTGAACAGAGCTCGTTATAGGGGCAGACCAAGAATAACTCCAGGAAGAGCCAAAATGGCAGCTCTCCCTCCAAAGCCACGGCCGAGATAATGTATTTTTGGAAGTCTCACATGACAAAAGCGTTTGTGAAATACACTATGACAGATTGTGAAAGTAACCGGTCTGGCTGAAGTAGAGAACATCAGGTGGAACAGAGGAACATGAGGCAATGCTCTGTTCACATCACATAGCTTATATCCCAAATAGCATCCTATTCCCTCTGTAGTGCACTACTTTTGACCAGGGCCCCTGCTTTTGAAAGTATTAACATGGATAGGTGAATGAAGTGTCCGTGAATCGAGCTGATGATTCTCAGTCCTGATGAGTTACTGTATTTCTCTGTCTCTAGGTAACTACCCCAGACCCCCGAACTACGGCGGGGCTCCCAGTGCCAACTACAGCGGCCCAGGCCCTGGCATGAGCAACAGTTTGGGCATGAATGCCAGCAGCCCCATGCATGGCCAGGGCCCCGGACAGCCCTGTGGCTCCATGCCCGCCGGGCGAGGCTTGGGTCTGGTGGCCAGCGGGCGCCCCTACCCCTGTGCCACCACCAACACCATGGCCCCCACCTCTCCCAGCATGCCGCAGCCTGCCGGACAGGGTCAGGGCATGAGACCGCCCCTGCCCAACATTAATCGCAAGCCGGGCCACGAGGCAGGACCCGGCCCCAACACCATGCAGGGTCCAAACGCTGGTCCCAACCCCTCTGCCCAGGGCCGGTGAGTCAGGACAGGGGCCAGGGAGGGAGGGCCACAGAAGGGTTATACATGCATATAGGATGCGTCCCAAATTACACCCTACCCCCTATATAGTGCACTATTTTTTTTTTTTACCATGGCCCATATGGCTCTGGTCAAATGTAGTGTACTACGTAGGGGATATTGTGCCATTTGGGATGCAACCAAGGGCTATACTTACACATAAGTTCACATTCACTCCTCCACACCCCGCATCCACCCATCTTTCACACACCAAGGTTATGAGGTGTGTACTAAACAACGCTACAGACTTTTTCCTCATGTCTCTGTATGACTTTGGAAACCAAAGAGACTTCTTCTCCTTCCGTCCCTCATTCCAGGCCTCCCTACATGCGCTCCCCTGCCTACCCCAGCCAGTCTTGGCCTGGGGCGCGTCCTCCCCTCTCTCCCTCCCCCCATCCCCACCCACAAACCTCCCCACACCCTCAACCCCATCCCCAACACAGCCCCCATCCTCACCTTCAACCCCATCCCCATTATCACCCCCAAACCTCCCCACACACCCATCCCCAACACAGCCCCCATCCTCATCCCCAACACAGCCCCCATCCTCATCCCCAACACAGCCCCCATCCTCATCCCCAACACAGCCCCCATCCTCATCCCCACTCTCACCCTCAACCCCATCCACACCCTCACCCTCAACCCCATCCTCACCCTCAACCCCATCACTTTCCCTCCTCTCCCTCTAACCACCCCCCAGCCCCATCATCAGCCCCCTCACCCCCATCCCCATCATCACCCCCAAACCTCCCCACACCCCCATCCCCGACCCCATCACCCTCCCCACTCTCCTTCCCACCACCCCCAGGTCAGCAGTGCAAAGAGACATATCCATCCCATGATGCAGCAGGCTGAGCAGTACGGGTAGGTGTCAGTGTCACGGCTGCAGTCTGTAATACAGACTCTGCATGGTGCTGTCCACTGGTCACAGCACTAACCTAACCCTGGGCTGCTCTGGAGACACTCTCCCCCAGTCACTCAGACAGACTAACCCTGGGCTCCACCGAGGCTCTACTGCACAGGAGTCCCAATCCTCGACTGTGGGCTGTGATACTGACCTGGCCACTGTGGCCAGTAAACACGGGCATGTTTTATCTCCTGCTACTGCATGGCTTTGTCAGAGACCAGCGGATGTGTACAATAATCTATTTGTATGTCTTGCACCTTCGAAGAAATCCCTTGACAAATCAGAGAAAAAGTCAAGCAATATTATGAACCTGCAAAGTCAAAAATGAACAATGCTGATTTAGAAATTCAGAACTTGTTTGAAATAAAACATGGGCAACGCAAAAGGATTGGATATACTATTAGTGAGACTGTCAGTGTTCTCTCTAAGCTGCGTGCGGGCTCGCAGCTCCCCCGGGACTGCCACACAGAAGAAATATCAGCCCGCGCAGAGAAGCACGAGATTCAACTTCGCTCAACTTTCTAGAGTTTTCCCCCTTAGTTAACACTATCAACGTTTCCCTTTACTGTGGGAATTGGGATCGAATCAATGCAATATTAGCCACTTTCAATGAAACAAAACGAACTATGCAAGAGATTTTGTTGTAGGCAGAACGCATCGGAGTAGGATTCTATTGCATTGACAGGCACCACTCAGCCCCTACTCTACACAGACCGGTGCGGCATAACCAATCAGAGCTGCATTAGGCCTATATGTAAATAGACCATTGCCATATATGGATCTGTGCCATTCACTTTGGACTGGACTGTGTTTACAGTATGAGCAGTCGTGAGTAGATGCACTTGTTTTGAGATCAAAGCGAGAGCTGAATGTAGCCACGTGTGCACATTTGTTCATATCCTTTGCTAGTTAGTGAGTTATTAGCCCAGTTATATATAAATTGTAGTCAGCAATGGGGGAGTGATTGCTTCCAAAAGAGCACAAAATGTGTACATTTCTAGACATCTTTGAAAAGCCAGTCAGGTAAAGAGCTTTTTTTGTCTTAAAGGGGCAGTGTTTTGAGACAGGTGTGAAAAATCTAAGTAGCCAATAGGCAGAGGGTAGGAACATTTGTCTGATTCTCTGTAATAATGGTAAAGTGGTTTCTTGCATCAAACAACACAACATTTTCAGTCACCTCGTTGTCTGAAGGACAAGTTGATCAACGGGTTAATGTCAAGCCCTGCATGTTTTTTTCAAAAGTCTTATGGAATGTAGGCCTACATTGAACACCACACATTGGCTGCTACTGTAGACTGAATGATAGAACATCTATTTCCATGTTAAAATGTTATGGGATGCATTCCATTGTTTTTGATGGTAGGCCACTCTGGTAGGCCTGCGTTATCAAATAGCCACAGTAGCCTACTTGACCACTGTCTGAAACTGTAACTTAAAGCGGGTACAGCCTCAGTGTTCACAGTAAACGCGTGCTGGAAGTTGCACAGAATTTTCACAATGTTCAAGTTTGCGCTCAGGAGACCTGAAATTTGCTCAGTGCCTAAAAAATGAGGGGGAACATTCCTGTCAGACAGAGCGAGAGAGGGAAGGTAAGTCCAATCCCCTGTAGCATTGATTGGATTGTTAGCTACATTAGTTTAGTATTGATTTAATTGGTAATCTAGATTGTCTCATTATTAGCCTCAGTGAGTTACAGTGGGTTGGCGGGGGATGGATGTTGGTATGGTGGTGGGAGACAATGGTTGTATCCCAAATAGCACCCTGTTCTCTACATAGTGCACCATGTTTACTAGAGCATTTTGGGCCCTGGTCAAAAGTAGTGCACTATATAGGGAATATGATGCTATTTGGGACCCCAATAATGGTAAACTGGTTGGGTATGGAAGTGTTACTCCAATAGAGGTCAGGGACATGTTACTCATTTAATTTCCCCTCAAAGGGAAATGAAGAGGGAAGAATCAAGGTGTGTGCTGTCTGTTTGGGTACGTCCCAATAATCTTTCCTTTCTCCTGAAGTGTGCACTCATTCACTACTTCCCACACATTTTAAAAGCATTGGATTGGTGGAGGCATGAGCTAGAGAGAGTTTTCCACCATATTTCTTATAACAGCCATTTCCTTTAAAATAAGTTAAAGGAAGTGAACGAGTGCACACTTTGGGAGGAAGAAGACATAATTAGGATGCACCCTCTGTGTGTCGCTCAGCACCCAGGGAGCCTGATGGTGGGTGGGAAAAGAGCAGTAAATAAATGGTGTTTCTTCTTCTCACTGCTCCCCAGCCTTTTGATGTGGATATTATTTCCCCCAGGATTTAATGTTGTAGATGTTTCTTCTCTCTCCTTCTGTTTTAACAGCGTGTTACCTTTGTGTCGTTGAGAAAAGCTGCTGTTGCACTGCTTTTGATTACCAACATGCATTATTCATATTGTCTCTTGCTCACAACTAAAATACCTCCATCTACCTATGTGTCTGTCTGTCCATCTGTCCGTCAGTTCAACTTGAAAGTACTGTATAACAGAGGTGGCTGACTCATAGTAATGGCTGAACCGGAATGAATATGGTTTCCCTGTGTTTGATACGGTTCCATTCATTCCATTCCAGTCAAAACTGTGAGCTGTCCTCCCCTCACTAGCCTCCACTGATAGTTTAATGTACAGTCGTGGTCAAAAGTTTTGAGAATGACATAAGTATTGGTCTTCACAAAGTTTGCTGCTTCAGTGTTTTTAGATATTTTTGTCAGATGTTACTATGGTATACTGAAGTATCATTACAAGCATTCCGTAAGTGTCAAAGGCTTTTATTGACAATTACATTAAGTTTATGCAAAGAGTCAATATTTGCAGTGTTGACCCTTCTTTTTCAAGACTTCTGCAATCCGCCCTGGCATGCTGTCAATTAACTTCTGGGCCACATCCTGACTGATGGCAACCCATTCTTGCATAATCAATACTTGGAGTTTGTCAGAATTTGTGGGTTTTTTTTTGTCCACCCGCCTCTTGAGGATTGACCACAAGTTCTCAATGGGATTAAGGTCTGGGGAGTTTCCTGGCTATGGACCCAAAATGGCGATGTTCTGTTCCCCGAGCCACTTAGTTATCACTTTTGCCTTATGGCAAGATGCTCCATCATGCTGGAAAAGGCATTGGTCGTCACCAAACTGTTCTTGGATGGTTGGGAGAAGTTGCTCTCGGAGGATGTGTTGGTACCATTCTTTATTCATGGCTGTGTTCTTAGGCAAAATTGTGAGTGAGCCCACTCCCTTGGCTGAGAAGCAACCCCACCCATGAATGGTCTCAGGATGCTTTACTGTTGGCATGACACAGGACTGATGGTAGCGCTCACCTTGTCTTCTCCGGACAAGGTGTTTTCCGGATGCCCCAAACAATCGGAAAGAAAATGACTTTACCCCAGTCCTCAGCAGTCCAATCCCTGTACCTTTTGCAGAATATCAGTCTGTCCCTGATGTTTTTCCTAGAGAGAAGTGGCATCCTCGCTGCTCTTCTTGACACGAGGCCATCCTCCAAAAGTCTTCGCCTCACTGTGCATGCAGATGCACTCACACCTGCCTGCTGCCATTCCTGAGCAAGCTCTGCACTGGTGGTGCCCCGATCCCACAGCTGAATCAACTTTAGGAGACGGTCCTGGCGCTTGCTGGACTTTCTTGGGCGCCCTGAAGCCTTCACAACAATTGTACCTCTCTCCTTGAAGTTCTTGATGATCCGATAAATGGTTGATTTAGGTGCAATCTTACTAGCAGAAATATCCTTGCCTGTGAAGCCATTTTTGTGCAAAGCAATGATGACGGCACGTGTTTCCTTGCAGGTAACCATGGTTAACAGAGGAAGAACAATGATTTCAAGCACCACCCTCCTTTTAAAGCTTCCAGTCTGTTATTCTAACTCAATCAGCATGACAGAGTGATCTCCAGCCTTGTCCTCGTCCACAGTCTCACCTGTGTTAACGAGAGAATCACTGACATGATGTCAGCTGGTCCTTTTGTGGCAGGGCTGAAATGCAGTGGAAATGTTTTTTGGGGATAATGTTCATTTTCATGGCAAAGAGGGACTTTGCAATTAATTGCAATTCATCTGATCACTTTTCATAACATTCTGGAGTATATGCAAATTGCCATCATAAAAACTGAGGCAGCAGACTTAGAAAATTAATATTTGTGTAATTCTCAAAACTTTTGACCACGACTGTACGGTATGAATATAATGCCTTTGGTAATAATGTTATGTATTAAGGTGATGATAAATGACTAATCTAAACTCTTGCTCTGTGGTTTTCAGGCAGGGAATGACCCCCATGCCCCACCACCACCCAGGCATGAACCCAATGGGCCCCAGCCCTGGAGGCCTCTACAGCCAGCAGCCAGGGGCCAACACCGCTGGAAGGATGACCCCACAGGGGCCCCACCCGCTCTTCAACGCACCCCCACCCTCAGGTATGCCACACTCGGTGACATACACTCTGACAAAGCAGCTAACTAAAAGCCTGTTCCCAGATCTGTTTGTGTTGTGTAGCCAACTCATATGGTCACATGGTCATATAAGTTGGCTACACTACACAAACAGATCTGGGAACAGGCTAGCTAACTAGCCCAATGTCCAATATCTCTGTACATGTCTACCAGACAGACACAAGAGACTAACCCCCTTTCCCCTCTCCACAGGGCCCATGCAGATGGGAGGAGAGGGGATGGTGGGTCCCCCTGACCCCAAACAGAAACCTCCAGAGCAGCACAGGGAGGGCAACACTCCTGCCCCTGCCGTCGAACCACCACCTAAACCCAAGGTACGAGCTACCGCTCTAACAGAGGCAGCTGCTTTCCCTCTCCGTCTCTTTTATACATACACATTTCCTGCCAGTACCTCTCAAAGCATGTCCTAATAATGCATGTGTTTGGATGAGGAACCTGAATGTGGCAAAGCGCATCAAACACAGCATCTAACGAGGCAGCAGACAAAAAGGAACACAGAGAATTGAGAAAAACATTATGGAGTCGTTGTAAGGATTTTCTAAAGGAAGAAGCACTGAGATCGGATCGGTATCGCTATCATAGCCTCCTTCTATACCTACTGGGAGAGTGGATTCCAAAATAAATGCTCCTTTATAGCAGTGCCATTTCGTATTAAAAAGGCTTTTCGTACTCTCTTTCAGCATATTGTTCATCATTATTACCCCACTCATGACTGTATGAGTGAGTCTGTCTTTTTGACTGATTTGGATGTGTGACACAGACAGGCATACCAAAATAACCTGTCTCCAGCCGACTGCAAAGAACTTGTTACTGTTCACAATGCTCTCTCATGAGTTCCTTTTTCTCTTGTCAGAGCTTCTTTTGGGGTTTTCAGTTTTTCGTTTCGCCCCCCCCTCCCTCCCTCATTTCAAATTCCCCTCTCGATGGCTTAGCTTGGTATTTGTACTCCTCTTCTTAATTCCAGACAGAGTTGTGTGAATGTGAACAACTTTTCTCCCTCCGCGTTCATTTGAGTCTGTTCGCCTCATTACCGGCTGGTGAGAAAGGCCTCTTGATCACAAACTGAAGACGTCTGCCAGCCCAACTTGTCTGAGAGGAACTTCTGTTATTTCTGTTCTGTCTCAATCTAGTTAATGATCACTCCTCCTATATTTGCCTGGCTTTGTGAGTTTCTGCTGTCAGGGCAAAGACTGCAGCAGGAGCTAGCATGGCTTCATGTTTCGACTCGTGAGAACATAAGAGTACTATTAATAATGGCTGTGGCCTTTGGTGCTAAAGCTCCTTGCCTCCTTCTGTTTGGCTGCCTGCCTGCCCTAGAATGCCGTTGCTCTATCTGTCTGTATGGCGCCTCTCGCCGTGTAGTTTCCACTGTGTGGTTTTCCAATTGTGTTTGAATATTGTGAAGCCAGTCAAACCTGCCTGAAAGACTCCAGGGGAGGCTCTCTGTCCAGAGCCATGCCAAGTGTATGTGACTGAGAGAAGGCCTTCAGGGAGAGAAAGGGGGGGGGAACGCAGACAGAGAGAGGCAGGCGAAAGGTTGCATACAGGTTCAGATTTCCCTGTACGGTAGACACACAAACACACACGTGTATGCACTGGCTGCTGAGTGCTCACTCACAGGATGTCTTTGAGGAAAGGTTTTGCTGTTGGTATGCTTTCTGCATGTGTTTGACGGTGTGTTTGTGAGAAAGTGTGGGAGACCGTAAAGGATAAAGAAAGCCAGACTGACATCTCTCATCACGTGGCTCTGTTGTGTGCGTGCGGTGTGTGTTTTGCGCATGTGTGTGTGTGTGTGCGTGTGCGTTTTGGTTTTTGTCCTATCTATTCCCCGTCGCAGGACCGCTACAGCTCCTCTCAGTGTATGTCCAAGCCCCCCACCCCATGTCCCCTGTCCCCCAGCCCTGCTAGTCTGTCCTCCTGTCACGGGGTGGAGGACAGCAGCGATATCATTAGCAGCCACCCCGCTGGCGCTGGGGCCTGGCCAAAGACCCCCACCAGCCCTGTAAGTGCCACAAGCACTTTTATTTGTTTTATTGGTTATTTATTTCGTTTTCTTTCCCAACAGCTTGTCGTTTTTAATAGATTTTTTTTGTATCTGTGTTTTTTGACATTGTGCCTGAAATGTGATTGTGGTGGTGATGTTATTTGTGACCGAGACTTTCTTATTAAGACTTGTATGCAATTGGAGCTGGACAAAGGATTTCATTCTAACACACTCTTTCCTCCTATCTCTTTCCCATACGATGCTGGTTACCTGGCAGTCCTGCTGTCCCACAATATCTCAAATGCTTCTCTTATCACATGAAAAGCTCTAGTTTGTATTGCTTATTATTGTTCAGATGATTGATTGTGTTAATGAGAAAGTCTGCCAATCCTGTGAGTGTACCTGTGTCACATGGGGTAGGTAGAACTACTTTTCCCATGATGCTCTGTTTCTGTTGACTGCTGTGGGACCTACCTGGCTGTATAGCTGCCATTCAACTGGGCTTGAATGGAATATACAACAACAAATAAGTATAATAATGTAAACATGTATGTTGATCACATTTGTCTGTATGAAAGTGTCCATAACCAATGACAACAGTGGTAGCCCTGACTGACCCCCCCCCCCCTACTCTATGCCCTGCCCCTTTAGAAGCCCAGTCCGGCCACCATGACCAATGAGAAGATCCGCATCCTGTATGAGATGGGCGGGGAGCCCGAGAGGAGAATGTGGGTGGACCGCTACCTTGCCTTCATGGAGGAGAGGGGCACGCCCGTACCCATGCTGCCTGCCGTGGGCAAGAAGCCCCTGGACCTATGCCGCCTCTACCTGTCTGTCCGAGAGATAGGAGGCTTGGCTATGGTGAGTCTAAGTGGCTTCCCCTAGGTACAGATCTAGGATCAGCTTCCCCTCCCCCAATCTGAACCATTAGTGGGGAAAATGCTGGTTGGTCACAGAAGGAATGATAGGCTGGAGACTTGAAACAGTAGGCAGTAGGTTTAGCAAGTGTGCATCTACACGTCCTAAAATTGGCTTATTTCCATCAGACAGCACCCTATGTCACAGATCGCTATTTAGTAGGGGGAAAAAATATGTATATATACACTAACGGTCAAAAGTTGTAGAACACCACCTCATTCAAGTAATTTTTTTTTGGGGGGGGGGACTTTTTTCTACATTGTAGAATAATAGTGAAGACATCAAAACTATGAAATAACACATGTAATCATGTAAACTCTGCAAAAAAAGAAACATCCCTTTTCAGGAACCTGTCTTTCAAAGATAATTCGTAGAAATCCAAATAACTTCACAGATCTTCATTGTAAAGACTTTAAACACAGTTTCCCATGCTTGTTCAATGAACCAATAACAATTAATGAACACGCACCTGTGGAACGGTCGTTAAGACACTAACAGCTTACAGACGGTAGGTAATTAAATCATACTTATGAAAACTTAGTACACTAAAGAGGCCTTTCTACTGACTCTGAAAAACACAAAAATAAAGATGCCCAGGGTCCCTGCTCACCTGCGTGAACGTGCCTTAGGCATGCTGCAAGGAGGCATGAGGACCGCAGATGTGGCCAGGTCAATAAATTGCAATGTCCGTACTGTGAGACGCCTAAGACAGCGCTATAGGGAGACAGGATTGACAGCTGATCGTCCTCGCAGTGGCAGACCACGTGTAACAACACCTGCACAGGATTGGTACATCTGAACATCACACCTGCGGGACAGGTACAGGATGGCAAAACAACTGCCCGAGTTACACCAGGAACGCACAATCCCTCCATCAGTGCTCAGACTGTCCACAATCGGCTGAGAGAGGCTGGACTGAGGGCTTGTAGACCTGTTGTAAGGCAGGTCCTCACCAGACATCACCGGCAACAACGTTACCTATGGGCACAAACCCACCATCGCTGGACCAGACAGGACTGGCAAAAAGTGCTCTTCACTGACAAGTCGCGGTTTTGTCTCACCAGGGTTGATGGTCGGATTTGCGTTTATAGTTGAAGGAATGAGCGTTACACCGAGGCCTGTACTCTGGAGCGGGATCGAGGTGGAGGGTCCGTCTGGGGCGGTGTGTCACAGCATCATCGGACTGAGCTTGTTGTCATTGCAGGCAATCTCAACGCTGTGCATTACAGGGAAGACATTCTCCTCCCTCATGTGGTACCCTTCCTGCAGGCTCATCCTGACATGACCCTCCAGCATGATAATGCCACCAGCCATACTGCTCATTCTGTGCGTGATTTCCTGCAAGACAGGAATGTCAGTGTTCTGCCATGGCCAGCGAAGAGCCCGGATCTCAATCCCATTGAGCACGTCTGGGACCTGTTGGATCGGAGGGTGAGGGCTAGGGCCATTCCCCCCCAGAAATGTCCGGGAACTTGCAGGTGCCTTGGTGGAAGAGTGGGGTAACATCTCACAGCAAGAACTGGCAAATCTGGTGCAGTCCATGAGGAGATGCACTGCAGTATTTAATGCAGCTGGTGGCCACACCAGATACTGACCCCCCCCCCGCCTTTGTTCAGGGACACATTATTCAATTTCTGTAAGTCACATGTCTGTGGAACTTGTTCAGTTTATGTCTCAGTTGTTGAATCTTATGTTCATACAAATATTTACACATGTTAAGTTTGCTGAAAATAAACGCAGTTGACAGTGAGAGGTTTCTTTTTTTTGCTGAGTTTAGTAACCGAAGTGTTAAACAAATCAAAATATATTTTATATTTGAGATTCTTCAAATAGCCACCCTTTGCCTTGATGACAGCTTTGCACACTCTTGGCATTCTCTCAACCAGTTTCACCTGGAATGCTTTTCCAACAGTCTTGAAGGAGTTCCCACATATGCTGAGCACTTGTTGGCTGCTTTTCCTTCACTCTGCGGTCCAACTCATCCCAAACCATCTCAATTTGGTTGAGGTCGGGGGATTTTGGAGGCCAGGTTATCTGATGCAGCACTCCATCACTCTCCTTCTTGGTAAAATAGCCCTTACACAGCCTTGAGGTGTGTTGGGTCATGTGTGTTGGGTCATTGTCCTGTTGAAAATGAAATGATAGTCCCACTAAACACAAACCAGATGGGATGGCGTATCGCTGCAGAATGCTGTGGTAGCCATGCTGGTTAAGTGTGCCTTGAATTCTAAATAAATCACAGACAGTGTCAACAGCAAAGCACCACCACACCATAACACCTCCTCATCCATGCTTTATGGTGGGAAATACACATGCGGAGATCATCCGCTCACCCACACCGAGTCCCACAAAGATTGGACCAAAGGACACATTTCCACCGGTCTAATGTCCATTGCTTGTGTTTCTTGGCCCAAGCAAGTCTCTTCTTCTTATTGGTGTCCTTTAGTAGTGATTTCTTTACAGCAAATCGACCATGAAGGCCTGATTCACACAGTATCCTCTGAACTGTTGATGTTGAGATGTGTCTGTTACTTGAACTCTGTGAAGCATTTATTTGAGCTGCAATTTCTGAGGCTGGTATCTCTAATGAACTTATCCTCTGCAGCAGAGGTAACTCTGGGTCTTCCATTCCTGTGGCAGTACTCATGAGAGCCAGTTTCATCATAGCGCTTGATTGTTTTTGTGTCTGCACTTAAAGAAACGTTCAAAGTTCTTGACATTTTCCGTATTGTCTGACCTTCATGGACTGTCATTTCTCTTTGCTTATTTGAGCTGCCATAATATGGATTTTGTGAGCTATCTTTTACCCCCCCCACCTTGTCACAACACAACTGATTGGCTCAAACGCATTAAGGAAAGAAATTCCACAAATTAACTTTTAAGAAAGCACAGCTGTTAATTGAAATGCATTCCAGGTGACTACCTCATGAAGCTGGTTGAGAGAATGCAAAGCTGTCATCAAAGCAAAGGGTGGCTATTTGAAGAATCTCAAATCTCAAATATATTTTTATTTGTTTAACACTTCTTTGGTTACTACATAATTCCATATGTGTTATTTCATAGTTTTGAAGTCTTCACTATTATTTTACAATGTAGAAAATAGTAAAAAAAAAAAAAAAACCTTGAATGAGTAGGTCTGTCCAAACCTTTGACTGGTACTGTGTGTATATATATATATATATATGCACATCCAATTGTCAGCCTCTTGAAATGTAGGCCTATCCTCTAACAAAATAACTAAGGCAAAAAATAGACTGACCAAATCCTGGTGTGCATTGATTTAATATTTTGTTTGCACTACAGCCCTTGCCGCCCGTCCTTCCTAGTGTTGTGCTACCCTGGTTCGAAATCTAGGCCTATCCTCTTAACAACATAACCAAGTCAAGAAATATACCCTGGTCCCTGACCCAATCCTGGTACGCCTGATCCTACTACTTCTCTCCACTACGGCCTATGCCGCCCATCCATCCTAGTGCTACCAGATCATATACGCTTTCATACCCAGCTCTGGTTGTTCAGTCTCCTGTTGGCCATGTGCCCCCCCCCCCCCCCCACCCCCCTCCCTCTACAGGTGAACAAGAGCAAGAAGTGGAGGGAGCTGTCCACCCACCTCAACGTGGGCACATCCAGCAGCTCCGCCAGCTCTCTGAAGAAGCAGTACATCCATTACCTGTTTGCCTTCGAGTGTAAAGTGGAGCGGGGAGAGGAGCCGCCACTGGAGATACCAGGAGAAACCAAGAAACAGGCCCAGGCGCACCAGGCTAGGATCCAGCCGCCCTCACCAGGTGAGTAGAGCAATGGAGAAATGTACACTACCGGTCAAAAGTTTTAGAACACCCCCATTTTTCCAGTTTTTATTGAAATGTAAGCAGTTCAAGGCCAGTGAATAACCTGAAATGGTATAAAAGTAAGCGGTAAACTGCCAGAGGTTAAAAAAATAAAATAAAAGTTTAGGTTACCAAAAACATATACAAACTGTACATTTCAGAGTTATAAAAAAATGCCTTTTTCAGGGAACAAGTATTGGGTTAACAACTTACAGCTGTTCTGCAGCAATGGAAGTAAATTAAGCCTTGAAAGCTGATGCTAACAATTCCTACAGGTGTCCCAACTTTTGTTGATTACTTACAAACCCTCTGTCTGTATAAAAGCAGTGTTGGAACACACTGTGTTACTACACCATCTTAAGCAATATTTGGACAGTATTGTACTGCAGAAAGTAGTATATTGCTATTATAATGGCGAGGAAAAAGGCAATTAACAAAGGAAGACAAGACTGACCATTATAACTAGGGGTGTAACGATTCGTTTTAACAACGATTCGATTTGTATCACGATTCGTGGTTGTCGATACGATTCAAGGACGATATTGGTTCATTTAGAACGATACGATCCGAAACGATTCAGTGACTTGAAATCGATTCAGTAACCTTTAAGCCAAAAATTCAACCAGTGTGACTGAAATAAATACCTGGATACTGGACAGTGCAGGTGAAGTTTCCTAGATTCCTGTTTCTTGTAAGGACCGCAATGGTGGCTTGATAATTTCTCGCTCGTCGGCTTCTCCTCTGTCGTCCGCCATGCTATGTTTTGTTGTCTTTGTGCTGCTGCTGGCGCGGGGCGATGACGTCACGGATAGGCAGACTGAATCGAGTAATGTTTAAAGCCTTTATCATTAAAAGTGCTAAGAAAAAACATCCATATAAAGTCTGACGTGCTTAAATCCAATGGGTTATTTCCTAGTATCAATACAATCGATTTATTACATTTTAAAACGATGTTAGATTGATATATGTTGTCCAAAAGGCCAACTCGCCGAGCACAGATCGATGTAGTTGGATCATTGGAATATAAATCGATACATCGATGTAGTAGATGGATCGTTACACCCCTAATTATAACCCTTAAAAGTGTAGGTCTTTCCTTTAGAGAAATTGCAAAGAAAGCCAAGGTGTCAGTGAGTACAGTTTCATACACTGTCAAAAGGCACTTGGAAACTGGAGGAAACTCTGACAGGAAGAGGTCTGGCAGACCCAAAGCCACAACAGAATCAGAAGGCACATTTCTGAGAGTCAACAGCTTGCGTGATAGGCAGCTCATAGGACAACAGCTTCAAGCACAGCTTAACACTGGTCGAAGTAAGCAAGTCTCAGTTTCAACTGTGGAGAGAAGACTTCGAGCTGCAGGTTTGACAGGTCAATTGGCAGTAAGAAAGCCATTGCTAAGATGGAAAAATAAGAAAGAGGCTTGCCTGGGCCATGAAACACCGCCAGTGGACTACTGAAGACTGGAAGAAGGTCTTATGGACCGATTAATACAAATGTGAAATCTTTGGTTCATCACGCAGGGTTTTTGTACGCCTTCGAGTAGGCGAAAGGATGGTTCCTCAATGTGTGACACCAACTGTCAAACATGAAGGAGGAAGCGTGATGGTCTGGGGCTCTTTTGCTTGATCCAGAGTCAGAGACTTGCACAGAATGAGTGGCACCCTGAACCAAAACGGCTACCACAGCATTTTGTAGCGCATTGCAATACCCTCTGGTGTACGCATGGTTGGTCAGGGGTTCATCCAACAGCAAGATAATGACCCAAAACATACCTCCAGGCTATGTCAGAACCACCTTAGAAGAAAAGAACAAGACTGTAGGCTTCAAATCATGGAATGGCCAGCACAGTCTCCAGACTTAAACCCCATCAAGCTGGTTTGGGATGAACTGAGCAGAAGGGTGAAAGCAAAGCAACCTACAAGTGCAACACATTTGTGGGAACTTCTGCAACAGTGTTGGGAAGAACTTTCCGAACAATATTTGATTTCCATTGTAGAAGAATGCCACGAGTGTGTTCGGCTGTTATGTCTGCAAAAGGTGGCTACTTTGAGTCAAAAATGTAGATTACATTTTGTTAAACAAAACGATTCAAGGATTTATTTTTTGTCTCCAATTGTTTATTTGTTCTATGCTTTAATTTTAGGGTACATTAAGACATTAAACTGTGTGAATTTCAATAAAAACTGGAAAAATTGAGGTCTTCTAAAAGTTTTCACCAATAGTGTATATCATGCTGTAAATCTATTTAGATCAGTAAAGCACTGGGCGTTGTCCAGGAGGTGTACTTGAAATGCACATCAAGCTGCCTCACGCTACAGAAACAGGAGATAGGCTCATGCCCTATGGGCCATTCTGGCTTGGACAAGGCTTACTTACTGGGAACTGTAGCCCTATCACTGTGCTGTGACCTGTTGCTTGTGACACATAGACGGGTTGGCTGACAACGTCACGAAAATGATGTGTGCGCATCGATGTGGCCGGAAGGCCGTGCAGTGTTATGCTTCTGAACGGCCAGATAGCTAGCAACAATGACAAGAAGCTGCCATGTGGGGAATCGAAGGTGGCTCTTTTCAGCAAGTTTTATCTTGCTCTTGATACCATGTCTTGTTTTGAGGTGTTTTGACTGATGTCAATGCTAATACGGCTAAAATGTTTAGTTAGCTGACCAACAACTGTAACGATGTATTTGAGAGACAACAAGTGCTCATGGTGCAAATGTATTTATATTTTCAATAAACGTTTGGAGACTAAATATAGTTTACATGTTGTCAACAGTCTAAGCCAACCCTGTCTGTTTTTCCCGATAGTTGCTCACGTGTCAGTTTTGTTGCTAAACAACCAACCCATCTATACAGTACAATACAGATCTGTAATAACGCATTCATCTGCTATTCTATGTCACACATGCAATGAGTTACCGCCCTTCACTCATTCCTCTGTCGATATAGGAATATTACAACAAATCATTGGAGTGTAACACCTGCTGTACGTCCAAGCTGTAAATGTTGTCTGTACAGACTAGAGGGATACAGTGGCTTGCGAAAGTATTCACCCCCCTTGGCATTTTTCCTATTTTGTTGCCTTACAACCTGGAATTAAAATGGATTTTTTAGTGGTTTGTTCTTTTGATTTACACAACATGCCTACCACTTTGAAGATGCAAAATAAAATTTTTTTGTGAAACAAACAACAAATAAGACAACAAAACAGAACACTTGAGCGTGCATAACTATTCACCCCCTCAAAGTAAATACTTTATAGAGCCACCTTTTGCAGCAATTACAGCTGCAAGTATCTTGGGGTATGTCTCTATAAGCTTGGCACATCTAGCCACTGGGATTTTTGCCCATTCTTCAAGGCAAAACTGCTCCTGCTCCTTAAAGTTGGATGGGTTCCGCTGGTGTACAGCAATCTTAGTCATACCACAGATTCTCAATTGGATTGAGGTCTGGGCTTTGACTAGGCCATTCTAAGACATTTAAATGTTTACCCTTAAACCACTCAAGTGTTGCTTTAGCAGTATGCTTAGGGTCATTGTCCTGCTGGAAGGTGAACCTCCGTCCCAGTCTCAAATCTCTGGAAGACTGAAACAGGTTTCCCTTCAAGAATTTCCATGTATTTAGCGCCATCCATCATTCCTTCAATTCTGACCAGTTTCCCAGTCCCTGCCGATGGTGTTCTCGGGGTGATGAGAGGTGTTGGGTTTGCGCCAGACAGCGTTTTCCTTGATTGGCGAAAAGCTCAATTTTTGTCTCATCTGACCAGAGTACCTTCTTCCATATGTTTGGGGAGTCTCCCACATGCCTTTTGGCGAACACCAAACGTGTTTGCTTATTTCTTTCTTTAAGCAATGGCTTTTTTCTGGTTACTCTTCCCTAAAGCCCAGCTCTGTGGAGTGTACGGCTTAAAGTGGTCCTATGGACAGATACTCCAATCTCCGCTGTGGAGCTTTGCAGCTCCTTCAGGGTTATCTTTGGTCTCTTTGTTGCCTCTGATAAATGCCCTCCTTGCCTGGTCCGTGAGTTTTGGTGGGCGGCCCGCTCTTGGCAGGTTTGTTGTGGTGCCATATTCTTTAAAAAAAAATGTATAATGGATTTAATGGCGCTCCGTGGGATGTTCAAAGTTTCAGATATTTTTTTATAACCCAACCCTGATCTGTACTTCTCCACAACTTTGTCCCTGACCTGTTTGGAGAGCTCCTTGGTCTTCGTGGTGCCGCTTGCTTGGTGGTGCCCCTTGCTTAGTGGTGTTGCAGACTCTGGGGCCTTTCAGAACAGGTGTATATATACTGAGATCATGTGACACTTAGATTGCACACAGGTGGACTTTATTTAACTAATTATGTGACTTCTGAAGGTAATTGGTTGCACCAGATCTTATTTAGGGGCTTCATAGCAAAGGGGGTGAATACATATGCACGCACCACTTTTCCGTTATTTATTGTTTCGAATTCTTTGAAACAAGTTATTTTTTTTCATTTCACTTCACCAATTTGGACTATTTTGTGTATATCCATTTCATGAAATCCAAATAAAAATCCATTTCAATTACAGGTTGTAATGCAACAAAATAGGAACAACGCCAAGGCGCTGTAGCTACCTGTTGCTGTGGTTGACACCCATCCATGTACACCCATCCATAGTCATCATACACAGGCATGAACAGGATAATATCCATACAGTGTGTGTAAGCTAAGCACATCCTCTGCTCAGTCATCCAGCCCTCCATCTAATCCATCTCCATTCTCCCTGGGCTGGCTACTCCCTCCCTGCGCCCTCCCAGCACGTGGGCCTATTTCTGTCTGACAGGTGATTGTGTCACAGTGCGAGAGAGAGAGGGAGGGTGGGAGAGAGAAGGGAGGGAAAGGGGAGAGCTGTCAGACTGTAGGATCCCCCCCCCCCCCCCCCCAGGCGAGACGGCTGATGTCAGAGGGAGAGAGAAAGAGGGGGAGAGAGAGGGAGCACAGCTAAGACGGGGGGGGGGGGGGGGGTAGAGATGTGAAATAGCAGGGGAATATCCCTTCCCCCTGGAGAAGATGAATAGGGGAGGGAGGAGTGTGGTGTGGCTGTCTGGGATATAAACAAGTGACCTCCGTCTGACCTAGTTTCCCACAGACAGATGGACCAGTGAGGCAGCAGTTTTTTTTTCTCTCTTTGTCTCTCTCTCCCTTGTTCTCGCTCTCTCCCTGCCTGATTATGGTAGGGTCATGTGAGTTCACACGCTCAGAGAGAGAGTGCAAGGGAGAGAGAGAGGGCGATGACGTGTGGCTGAATCACTTCATTGTTTACTTTTGAAACACCTCTCATTTACAAACACATTTAAGGCCAGCCAATTCTCCCTCTCTGCCTCTATCTCTCTCGCTGCCTCTCTCTCCCTCTCTCTCCCTCGCTGCCTCTCTCTCCCTCTCTGCCCTCTCTCTCCCTCTCTGCCCACCTCTCTTTCAGTGGGGATTATTACAGACAGGGTTTTTAATTTCTTGAATTGTTTCAATAATTTTTTTTATGTCAGTTTTGAGGTTTCTTTTAGTCTGTTCTTGTATTGTTAATGAGAACAGTCATTTTTATATAAGGAGATGCCAGAATGTAAAATGCTGAATTAATTTTGTGCATCCCAAATGGCACCCTACTGTGGTCAAAAGTAGCTAACTATATAGGGAATAGGGTGCCATTTGGGAAGCTGGCGTTATTGCTAGACTAAGCAGTCATACATAGCAGAGCCGGCTTGAGGATCCATCTAGCCTGAATCAGAGAGTAACATTGTTCTACCAGTACTGTATTGTACATGTATCATATATTTTCTTTAAGTTCTCCTATTTGGTAAAATGTTGTTCTTCTCTGACATTGAGTTAGAAGCATCTTTCTTTCCCAAATGCCATTTATACACACAGATTTAGATACTTATCTCTACCTCTAGATTAGCGTCCTGTCCAGGGGGTGTCCTTGCACAACAAGCTACCTCGCGCTACAGAAACAGGAGATAGGCTCCTGCCCTCTGGGCCGTTCTGGTTCGGACGAGGCTTACTTAGACATACATATCTTTATATGCAGTATGGCTGTGTCTTTTCCCTCTGTCTCTTGAGCTGTACCAGAACTGTATTTTTGACCTTTTAACAATTTTGATTGCCGTTGCTAATTTTCCCTCCAGCCAACTCCGGCTCCCTGCAGGGACCCCATACCCCCCAGTCCACAGGCAGCAGCTCCATGAGTGAGATGCCAGAGGGTATGAAGCGCCCCACCCCAGCCACCACACCCCACGGACACATGACCCCACAGCCAGGCAACAGGTAGGGGCCAGGACCCCGGGGGTCACTCATAGTGTGTTGTAGGGGTATCTGTGTTTTTGTGTCTGTCTGTCTGTGTGTGTGACTTAGTCTTACTGTATACACACATGGATACCCCTCCTCAACCCCTTCATATCATCCTTTCTTGTCCTCCTCACCCCTCCTGTATGTGTCTGTCTCAGGAACAGTGGTGGTATCCGTGTCCAGGATCCCTTCTCAGAGATCAGTGACCCTGCCTTCCACAAGCGAGGGCCCATGCCCCCTGGCGCCCCCTATCAGCAGAGTGGAGGTAGTTCAGACCCCTCCATGAGGATGCAGTATGACGCCAACAAAGACCTCTATGGAGGGCCCCGGAAAGGTGAGTGGACCAGGCTATCTTAAAACACGTATCGTAACACAGTGCATTCACATAACACAGTGCACTCATACACTGGTATTATCCCCATTGCGTGTCTGCACTGTGTATTAGATGAAAAACGAGATCTTTAGTAAAAATTCATATAATACACCTATTGTCTGAATTGGATATGGTCTGGTAATTTTTAAATTCTCCATGTATGTTTAAATCTCTTTTCGTCCTTGTTTTTGGTTTGGCCATCGGATCAGACCTAAAACTCTCTGTAGGGGTGATTGTTTCCTTAGACTATGTTGCCACCCAGTGTTCAAATCATGTACTACACACCCTTGCCTTGGATAACGCCTAACATGAATGCTGATGAAATCCGAACCATTTACATGTACCAGGAATTTGACCTGGTGAAAGGGGGCTGACAACAATAAGCAGAGTATACAGACAGAATATAGACAAAATAATGTACAGATACTCTACATACAGTATATACAATACCATGTCTATTCTACCTCCAGGGGGCAGTGAGCCCTATGGACCAGGTCAGATGCCCAGCGGTGCCGTGCAGGACATGTACCCCCGTGGTCCTCCCTCAGGAGTCATGCCAGGGATGGGCATGGGCCCCGGCCCCGGCCCGCGGCCACAGTACCCCTACGGGCCTGGCTACGACAGAAGGTGGGTATTCTACTAACCAGATATTCCATAGTAGATGCATTACTGGGTGTTATCTGTAGGAAAAGGGGTGTTTCATGCTCAAACAACTGGAGTAGAGGTGCTACCTTAAAATCAAATGCTAGATCAAAGGTTGAGGCGCGGCACTTTCTACACTGCTCAAAAAAATTAAGGGAACACTAAAATAATACATCCTAGATCTGAATGAATGAAATAATCTTATTAAATACTTTTTTCTTTACATAGTTGAATGTGCTGACAACAAAATCACACAAAAATTATCAATGGAAATCAAATTTATCAACCCATGGAGGTCTGGATTTGGAGTCACCCTCAAAATTAAAGTGGAAAACCACACTACAGGCTGATCCAACTTTGATGTAATGTCCTTAAAACAAGTCAAAATGAGGCTCAGCAGTGTGTGTGGCCTCCACGTGCCTGTATGACCTCCCTACAACGCCTGGGCATGCTCCTGATGAGGTGGCGGATGGTCTCCTGAGGGATCTCCTCCCAGACCTGGACTAAAGCATCCGCCAACTCCTGGACAGTCTGTGGTGCAACGTGACGTTGGTGGATGGAGCGAGACATGATGTCCCAGATGTGCTCAATTGGATTCAGGTCTGGGGAACGGGCGGTCCATAGCATCAATGCCTTCCTCTTGCAGGAACTGCTGACACACTCCAGCCACATGAGGTCTAGCATTGTCTTGGCCAACCGCACCAGCATATGGTCTCACAAGGGGTCTGAGGATCTCATCTCGGTACCTAATGGCAGTCAGGCTACCTCTGGCGAGCACATGGAGGGCTGTGCGGCCCCCCAAAGAAATGCCACCCCACACCATGACTGACCCACCGCCAAACCGGTCATGCTGGAGGATGTTGCAGGCAGCAGAACGTTCTCCACGGCGTCTCCAGACTCTGTCACGTCTGTCACATGTGCTCAGTGTGAACCTGCTTTCATCTGTGAAGAGCACAGGGCGCCAGTGGCGAATTTGCTAATCTTGGTGTTCTCTGGCAAATGCCAAACGTCCTGCACGGTGTTGGGCTGTAAGTACAACCCCCACCTGTGGACGTCGGGCCCTCATACCACCCTCATGGAGTCTGTTTCTGACCGTTTGAGCAGACACATGCACATTTGTGGCCTGCTGGAGGTCATTTTGCAGGGCTCTGGCAGTGCTCCTCCTGCTCCTCCTTGCACAAAGGCGGAGGTAGCAGTCCTGCTGCTGGGTTGTTGCCCTCCTACGGCCTCCTCCACGTCTCCTGATGTACTGGCCTGTCTCCTGGTAGTGCCTCCATGCTCTGGACACTACGCTGACAGACACAGCAAACCTTCTTGCCACAGCTCTCATTGATGTGCCATCCTGGATGAGCTGCACTACCTGAGCCACTTGTGTGGGTTGTAGACTCCGTCTCATGCTACCACTAGAGTGAAAGCACCGCCAGCATTAAAAAGTGACCAAAACATCAGCCAGGAAGCATAGGAACTGAGAAGTGGTCTGTGGTCACCACCTGCAAAACCAGTCCTTTATTGGGGGTGTCTTGCTAATTGCCTATAATTTCCACCTGTTGTCTATTCCATTTGCACAACAGCATGTGAAATGTATTGTCAATCAGTGTTGCTTCCTAAGTGGACAGTTTGATTTCACAGAAGTGTGATTGACTTGGAGTTACATTGTGTTTAAGTGTTCCCTTTATTTTATTGAGCAGTGTATTATAAAAATATATTATTCATTGTAAATCCCAAGTCCTAAACATTGCACGATGTTTCAGTCAGAGACATTAATCAGACAGTTATATAAATGGCAAAAATGTCCTCCTACCCTGCAGACCAGACCATGTGATGGGTTCGGAGGGGGGTATGGCTCCCCCTGGGGGTCAGAACAACATGGGACCTTCCAGCGGTGACCACAGCATGTACTCTGCCAACAGATACCCTCATCAGAGGTAAGATATCTGTCTAGGCTAATAGTGATCATCAGTTTAACATTGTGCAGAAACATGCCCTTGTTCCCATCTATCTGTGTTCTAACTGGTGTCATCCTCCTCCACCACAGGCCACATGGACATGAGAGTTATGGGCAGCAGCAATACCCCCACGGCCCCATGCCCTACGGAGCTCACCAGCCTGGAATGTATCCACAGCAACAGGTCAGTCCCAGCCTCCTGTTCCTGGAGGGCACTGTGCTAAAGCTACTGAATCTATTGGTAGTGACATGGGAAAATAACTTAGCCATTTCAATGCAAAGTAAAGTTTAAACTCAACTCGATTTGTGATAGCGGTCTACTAAGTAATGGACAACACATCATGCAGAGGTGAAAGTAAGGCGGTACAGCCCGGTACGGCGTCCCGGCAAAATAAATAGTGGGGGTACGCCGTACCGGTAAAACATGAGCATATCACAATCATTAAAACTAAATGTCAAGAAAGCTGCAGGCTATTACACCATTATTTAGAATTACTGTGTGTCAGAGGCATGAAAAATGAGCGAATGGACTTGAAAAGTGGTGGTAGGCCTATAGCCTACTCTCCAAAATGCCATGTGGTTCGACGAGAACACTGACATTTTGCCAAGGCCGAGATGAGTGGTCGACACCGAGACGGACACAGACCACAGTGGAGGCATTCTGGCCTAATGACAATCGGCAAATGTCATTACACTTTTTGGTGATGTCTCTTTCCATTCACCACTGTTTAGAGGCTGGAAATATGTTGCAAGTGGATGAACGTGCGCGGGTATAGCCTAGTAAAGGAGCCCCTTGAAGTGATTGTTCGACAATCAGATGAAAACATCATGACTGGTTGTGTTTAGGCCACAATAAAAGGTAATACATTTAGAAAGTTAAATGACAAATCTTTGACTAGGACCACAGAGATGCTATTGAATTAATAGGATTCTAAATATTATATGAAGTTATTGTTTTTTAACAGAATGTGAGGTGTTATGTGCTGTTGGAGGTGCGTCTTGGTCAGTTTAGCTGGGAAAATGTTGCCCTCGTCAAACTGCCGATCTAGGCGGCTGCCTGGCCTAATGGGCGGGCCAGCACATAACACCTCACATTATTCTGCCCAAAAACAATAACTTCTCTCACCCAGTGCCATGAGGGCTATTTAGGTGAGCGCTGATGCCGCCCCATGATAAGCAGTGGCCACTTTGCCAAAGGCAGGGGCGCAAAATATTTAGCTTGTCCGTGCACAGCGCGCCTCTCCTGGGTGCTGTTGGAGAGATGCAGCTCTCCAACGCTCCATCAAATTAATTTAACGTAAATTATGTAGCCTACGGTAGAAAGAGTAGTAGCCTATTTTCTGTAGGCCATAGACTGGACACCAAATATATTACAATGTCATGAGACAGACACTTTTTAAATAATGAACTTATTAATGAGGAGAGGGAGTGCATGAGAAAGTCAACTAAAAAGGCAAGCAGACATCATCTTTGGAGTGGCTGTGGCATTATCAAACAGAGGTGGACAGAAAATGGTGCTGAAAGTAATTCATTTCAACAATTGTCTTCATTTTAATTCGACTTCACTAATAACGAGGGCTTTGTTGGAGCCTATTTCTTCCTATGAATAATAAGAGGTAGGCCTACTTGTTTGACAGATGCAATTATGCAATCCATAGATTTGTAGGTATAGCCAAATTCTCCAATACTGTCACCATGCAGTCCTTAAATACCTCAGTGTCTGGGAAGGCCTTGGTGGGTTTGGTTAAATCCAGGGCTCAAATTGAGTGAGGGTATGCCCTACCCTTTGTTTTAGGGAAGGGCTTCTGTTGTTGGGTTAAGCAAGGGACGAGTAGCCAGCAGCTGAAGCTTACATCTTTCTGCGTCAGTAGAGCCTCTGTCTGGGTGGAAAGGTAACTTTTGAAAGTGCCATGCTTAGATTTATAAGGAGGTCTAAGATTTCATTATTTGCAAACAAAACACTGGTTTGACATTGGAGAAATATGGTAAGAATGCTTATTTCTCTGTCCATTCTTCCCTGAAACTTATATTTTCATTATCCAACTTTCTCTTGACTTTTTCAGAGTGACATTTTCTCTTGATTGCAAGCTGTTTTTCCCCAATCAATGCACAAATAAATAAAATAAAAACTAATTTAATAGAGACATTGGTGATTTTATCAGTGTAATCATATTGAAAATATTAGGATATGTTATTGACATTGAACTGATTTTATATAGCCTACTAACCAGATGGGTTTGCCTATAAATAGGGAATTGGGCTGCTATTATGTTCTGTTTTGCCAACTATTAGCTGAGAAAAAAATTGGCCCCTGCTGTACACTATTCAAATTAGTGGGCTCTGTGCAGGCCAGTCAAGTTCTTCCACACCGATCTCGACAAACCCTTTCTGTATGGACGTCGCTTTGTGCACGGGGGCATTGTCATGCTGAAAAGGGAAAGGGCCTTCCCAAAACTGTTGCCACAAAGTTGGAAGCCAGAATCGACTAGAATGTCATTGTATGCTGTAGCGTTAAGATTTCCCTTCACTGGAACTAAGGAGCCTGAACCATGAAAAACAGCCCCAGACCATTATTCTTCCTCCACCAAACTTTACAGTTGGCACTATGCATTCGGGCAGGTAGCGTTCTCCTGGCATCCGCCAAACCCAAATTCGTCCGTCGGACTGCCAGATGGTGAAGTGGGATTCTTCACTCCAGAGAACGCGTTTCCACTGCTCCAGAGTCCAATGGCGGTGAGCTTTACACCACTCTAGCCGACGCTTGGCATTGCATATGGTGATCTTAGGCTTGTCTGCTGCTGCTCGGCCATGGAAATCAATTTCATGAAGCTCCCAATTAACAGTTCTTGTGCTGACGTTGCTTCTAGAGGCAGTTTGGAACTCGGTAGTTAGTGTTGCAACCGAGGACAGACGATTTTTACGTGCTTCAGCACTCGGCGGTCCCGTTCTGTGAGTTTGTGTGGCCTACCACTTCGCGGCTGAGCCGTTGTTGCTCCTAGACGTTTCCACTTCACAATAACCGCACTTACAGTTGATCAGGGCAGCTCTAGCAGGGCAGAATTTTGACAAACTGACTTGTTAGAAAGGTGGCATCCTATGACGGTGCCACGTTGAAAGTCACTGAGCTCTTCAGTAAGGCCATTCTACTGCCAATGTTTGTCTATGGAGATTGCATGACTGTCTGCTCTATTTTATACATCTTTCAGCAAATAGCCGAATCCACTAATTTGAAGGGGTGTCCACATACTTTTGTGTGTATGTATGTACACTACCAGTCAAAAGTTTGGACACACTTACTCATTCAAGGGTTTTTCTTTATTTTTACTGTTTGTTACATTGTAGAATAAAAGTGAAGACATCAAAACTATGAAATAACACATATGGAATCATGTAGTAACAAAGAAAGTGTTAAACAAATCAAGATATATTTCATATTTGAGATTCTTCAAATAGCCACCCTTTGCCTTGATGACAGCTTTGCACACTCTTGGCATTCTCTCAACCAGCTTCATGTTGTAGTCACCTGGAATGCATTTCAATTAACAGGTGTGCCTTCTTAAAAGTTAATTTGTGGAATTTATTTCCTTAATGCGTTTGAGCCAATCAGTTGTGTTGTGACAAGATAAGGGGGCTATACAGAAGATGGCACTATTTGGTAAAATACCAAGTCCATATTATGGCAAGAAAGCTCAAAATAAGCAAAGAGAAACGACAATCTATCTGAGAGAGTGAGGTACACCTGCAAATGATAAAATATCATTTTTGCAATGCACTGACTACAGTATCTAACATATAATGTTCTGTATTCCCTCTCAGGGCTATAAGAGGTCAGTAGGACCAGAGGTTATGTATGGTCCCCCTGCTAAGCGCCATGAGGGTGAGGCCTACGGCATGCAGCAGTACGGAGGACAGCAGCCAGGCATGTACAGCCAGTACGGAGGAAGTTACATGGGGCCAGAGCGCAGGCCCATGCAGGGCCAGTACCCTTACCCCTATAGCCGAGACCGCATGGGGGCCACCCAGGGGCCCCCGCAACACGGCATGATGAGCGGAGGGCCCCCCTCCTCCGGAGCCTCTGCAGAGGGCCCCCAGGTCAACATGTGGCACCCCAGGACAGACATGGGCTACACCGGGCTGTACCGTGGCCAACTGGGCCAGGGGCCCCCTTACCCTGGTATGGGCCGGGGCCCGGGGGATGACCCAGAGGGAAGGAGCTCCCCAGATGGGCAGTGGCCCACCGGACCCCCAGGCCAGCGCCAGCCCCCGTATCCACCCCACTCCTCCTCGGCCTCCTCCTCCATGCCCCCAATGGCATCCAGACAGCCCCCCTCCTCCTACCAGTCCAACCCCACCCTGGCCAACCACATCTCTAGAGCCCCCAGCCCCTCGCCCTTCCCCCGGCACATGGGGGGATCCGGACCCCTGTCCCCCAACAACGGGGGCCACTACATGGCCTCTCTGAAGAAGGCAGGGATGCCCGGATCCATGCCAGGCTCACACGGCGGAGGGATGCCAGGGCAGGGCATTCTACCTCTCCACAGAGATATCAGCTTCCCCCTGGGGTCAGTGGAGGCCACCCTGCCCAAACTCAAGGCCCGACGTAGACTTACCTCCAAGGAGACCGGTAGGAGAATGAACTTGTTATTATAGAGAATGAAGCATACTAACTCAATTCATAATGGCTGCATCCCAAATGGCACCTGATTCCCTTTATGATGCGCTAGTTTTCACCAGAGCCTTATGGGCCGTGGTCAAAAGTATTGCACTATATAGGGCAGAGTTGGGCAAAAATCCATATCCCGATAAATAGAACCATACATTTATAACAATCTGCACCACATTTTTTTTCATCCTTTAAACTACTACTACTAGTTTTGACAGTTGTAGCCGTCAATTGTCCCATTAACAATCACCCATATTAGCAAAGTTAATTCATGAATACTTGACATTTCTCTAGTATAGGCTACTTATCATAATGAACGATATCAGCAAAATGCCTGTGATAAGTGATCGCTGTCTTAGTTTTATCGTCCCAGCTCTAATATAGGTCGCTCCCCTCCGACCTCTGTACTGTAACCTCTGACCCCCAGGAACCCCGGAGGCGTGGCGCGTGATGATGTCCCTGAAGTCAGGTCTGCTGGCGGAAAGCACGTGGGCCCTGGACACCATCAACATCCTGCTGTACGACGACAACACTGTGTCCTCCTTCACCCTGTCACAGGTGAGACATATCCATACAATGTCCAATGATATCCATTATCCATGAGTCTGGACTAAACCAATGATGTTCCCTCCGATATCTATACTATACCTTACTATACCATGTCGAATACATGCCTACAACATGGCTTCATTCTAAGGGGTGTGCAAGTGTAGATATTGGACAACCTGTACCCCCGTACATTGACTCGGTACCGGTACCCCCTGTATGTAGCCTCGTTATTGTTATTTTGTTACTTTTGTTTATTTATTTTTACTTTAGTTTGTTTAGTAAATATTTTCTGAACTCTATTTCTTGAACTGCATTGTTGGTTAAGGGCTGTAAGTAAGCATTTCACGGTAAGGTCTACACCTGTTGTATTCGGCGCATGTGACAAATAAGATTTGATTTGATTTGACCATGACTGGATTCAAGGACAAATGACCAAGCTATTGTCTATGGTCTTTCACACAATAATTTCAGAAAGCACCCAACTGATATGATATTCTATGTTTTTCCCTGTGTTTTCCCAGTTGCCTGGCTTCCTGGAGCTGATAGTGGATTACTTCCGCCGGTGCCTGATCGAGATCTTTGGGATCCTGGATGAGTATGAGGTGGGCACAGAGGAACAGAGGACGCTGCTTGGACCAATCGCAGACCCCGCAGACCAGGAGGAGGAGCCTGCCATTCCAGAGCTCGGCAGCCAATTATGCGAAGAGCAGAGGGATAGCAGGCCAGAAGAGGCAGGGACAGAGAAGCCCACAGCCAACGGCAGCACAGAGGAGACGGTCCCAGAGGAGAAGACGGAGGAGCCTGTCGAGGTGACTGTGAAAGAGGAGAAGGTAGAGGGGGAAGAAACTGAGATGGGGGCAACCACGGAGCAGTCTGAGCCTCCCCAGCCCGAGGTGCCCCCAGAGCCCAGGCCCAAACAGGCCAGTAAGTACGACAAGCTGCCTGTGAAGGTGGAGGAGAAGAGTGCGGAGGAGGACCATGTGGAGGAGCGCCAGGGACTCAGCCTGCCCAGGGGCTTCACCTCCGGCCTGCTGCACTGGAAGGCTGGAGGGGGGGACTCCACGGCCCACATCCAGACACACTTCGAGAGACGCAGCGAAGAGACAGACAGAAAGCATACAGAGGAGAGTGTAGGGGAGCAGCAGCAGGAGGAGAGGAAGGTGGAAGAGGGGGCCGTGACTGAGACGGCCACTGTGGATGATATGCTGAGTGCCCGACCAGGTTCTCGGTCTCTGTCAGAGAGGAACGATCTTACTGGGACCTTCTCCATTGGAATAGGGGCGCAGACCCAAAGCCCCATCTTCACCCTGCTGGAGGACGAGCCTCGCTGCTGGGACGAGGCGCCCCTCTCTACGGCCGAACCCTGGCAGGACGACCTGGCCCGCCGCTGTGTCTGCGTCTCCAACATCGTCCGCGGCCTCTCCTTCATCCCAGGGAACGACAACGACATGTCCCGCCACCCGGGCCTAGTGCTGATCCTGGGGCGGCTGGTCCTGTTGCATCATCTGCACCCCCAGAGGAGGAGGACGCCCCCCAGCTACCAGAGAGAGGAGGAGCAGGGCCGGGCCTGCAGCAAGGACGAGTGGTGGTGGGACTGTTTGTCAGCACTCAGGGAGAACACTCTTGTCACCTTAGCTAACATCTCAGGTCAACTAGACCTGTCCCTCTACCCAGAGAGCATCTGTCTGCCCATCCTGGACGGCCTGCTCCACTGGATGGTGTGCCCCTCTGCCGAGGCCCAGGACCCCTTCACCACGGCGGGCTGCTCCTCCTCCCTTACCCCCCAGAGATTGGTGCTGGAGTGCCTGTGCAAGCTGAGCATCCAAGACAACAATGTGGACCTCCTGCTGGCCACGCCGCCTTTTAGTCGTCAGGAGAAGCTTTACGCCACCCTGGTGCGCCACGTGGGCGAGCGGAAGTCCCAGGTGTGCCGGGAGATGGCGGTGGCTGTACTCTCTAACCTGGCGCAGGGGGACCCGACGGCGGCGCGTGCCATCGCTCTGCAGAAGGGCAGCGTGGGAACACTCATCGGCTTCCTGGAGGACTGCGTGGCCATGGCCCAGCACCAGCAGGGACCCCACAACCTGCTACACCCAGCACCAATACCCCACCCCGAACCCCCCAGTGTTAACATGATGTGCAGGGCCGCCAAGGCTCTGCTGGCTATGGCTAAGGTGAAGGAGAACCGGCCAGAGTTTGTGCTCTACGAGAGCAGGCTACTGGATAGCTCTCTGTCCTCTGTGCTGAGCTCGGCCGTGGCGGCCATCATGTGTGAAGTACTGTTTAAGATTGGACGCTCCTCGTGACAGCCACAGGCAAAGACACAGTGGGAGGGAGGCTTGGTCTGACAACCAGGCTACAGTGAACACGAACACATGGGTGTGGGTGGTATTATATTTTTATTTAAATAAAACACCAAAAAAATGTTTTTACATACAAATAAATATATAGAATATATATAGCTCCTATGCCCCATTCACAACCTTCATTTGGGATTTTTAAATCATTTTAATACAAATATTTAATACTTGGTATTTTACATTGTTTTCTATTATTTTTATTTGTCGGTTCGTTTTTGTTTTAACCAAAGTTGGCACCCGATGATCGAGAACGTACTTTAGTTTTGGGGTCTCTTGCTCTTAAAAAATGTTTGGTAATTATATGTGGCTGTTTGTCTGTGTGGGATCTTTTTGATGGTTGTTTTCTGCGGGAGGAAGCAGACTTATTTAAATTGTGAATCATGTTGTAGATAGACCTCTTACCATGTATTAATGTAAAGAGAAAAAAAACACTGATTTAACTCCGAATATACAGATCATCATGTATCCTGTTCTGGAAAAAAAAGGTATTTCGTGCAAAAGGATTAAGGGCTCGACTCAATCAGATCTGCTTTAGCCGACATCAGCATAGCTGATGTTTTGATGTGTCGGCGGTGGAACTGTGTTAGAGCTGTCAAATCAGCAGCATACCACTGCTGGCTTGCCTCTGAAGCTAAGCAGGGTTGGTCCCTGGATGGGAGACAAGATGCTGCTGGAAGTGCTGTTGGAGGGCCAGTAGGAGGCACTCTTTCCTCTGATCTAAAAAACAATATCCCAATGCCCCAGGGCAGCAATTGGGGACATTGCCCTGTGTGGGTGCCGTCTTTTGGGTGTGACGTTAAACGGGTGTCCTGACTCTGTGGTCACTAAAGATCCCATGGCACTTATCGTAAGAGTAGGGGTGTTAACCCCGGTGTCCTGGCTACAATCATGGCCACCTAATCATCCCCAGCTTCCAATTGGCTCATTCATCCCCCTCCTCTCACCTGCAACTATTCCCCAGGTCGTTGCTGTAAATGAGAATTTGTTCTCAGTCTACTTACCTGGTAAAATAAATAAAATCCACAAGCGGCTCCTGGCATTATACCTAAAGCGGACATTGCCATTTGGCTGCACATAGTCGCATTAAGAGAAAAGCCCATGCAGCCTTGTTTACAAGTTTGAACACTGGAATTTTAGATGTAATCTACACCTTGATTAGGCTGATAGAAATCCTCATTATTTCGTTTAATGATTTTCAATTTAACGCAAGTGGGATGGGTGTGACTTCGTGACAATAACCACAAGAGCAGCTGCTCACCAATTTGGCAGCGCCAACGCAGTTCCGACACCGCCAAAACATCAGCTATGCAGGTGTCGGCTATCGCTGGTTAACGCTTGATCTGATTGTATTTAGGCCTTAGTTGGCTTGTTTGGGGGAGATTATGAAATGTGAAGGACTTCTGACCATAAGCATTGCATAATAATATTACAATACCAGTATAAGAGGGAGACATGAGTCACCCTGTTCAACTGACTGACTTCCTGGTGACCATAACCATAGCAACAGACAGGTAAACTCTCAAACCCACGAGCAGTACTTCCCTCAGTCTTATTTTCTCCTTACATATATATATATATATATATATATATATATATATATATATATATATATATATATATATAAGCCCATTTGTATATAGCCGTTGTACATTCAGACAGCCCTATTTGGTTTCTTCTCTGAGAGATGTGGTGGTAGTTGATCATTAGAATGGACGTTATGATTACTTTGTATTTGAATAATGAATATTAATGAAACTCTTCAAATGGAGGTCAATCATTTTATGTATTTAAAAGAAATATGTTGACTGACTGACACAGGTCTCTGACATATTGGGATTAGGGATGATTTCAGTCTGACAGACTAGTTTTGACAAACGTATTTTGATTGTACAGTCAGCTAACTAATAGATCACAATGGGCAGAACTTTATTCCGGAATTTAATTGTTTAAAAATCATGTCCGATTGACAGTTAAGTTAACATTTGAACATGGTTTATTCAGTATAAAATGCTTATCCTGTATGTTCCACATGTTAAGAATAAATGTACATGAAATCTGGTTGAGCACTGTGAAGGGTGTTTGACTCTTTTGTCCAGAGATTGTAAATTGGAGAATCGTGGCAGAGTGAATATGGCCAAGCATTTTTATTCACTTCCGTTGTCCTCCAAGAGTTGCAGAATCACCTCTACAAATGATCACATAACCAACCACAGGCATAAAAAAAATGTATGCACTCATGACTAAAAGCGTCTGCTAAATGGCATCTGTTCTGTTACATAACTGCAACCTATCAGACTGAAGACAAGTACAGTAGTTTATTTAGCACAGCGGACAAGGAATTATCATATGCACGACAGAAATAACATCTCAATGAAGTCCTCATAAGATCCTCATGCATAGAGAAGTGTCAGAGTTAAGCTGTACCACACAGTGCTCCGTGGGCTAAATGTTCAGCTGTAACCGACACAGTGCTCCATGTTACAGCTGTGGCATCAATGTGTTGTCTAAATGTGTACGAAAACATCAGGGGCAGCAGTCACAAGCACATTTACAATGACAGGTATTTTTACACAGCTAGCCGTATAAATAGTTCAGTTCTGTTCTCGCTTTGATACTCGTCTTTCATGGGAATAGCTGACGGCAAACACTTTTAAATAGGTGTTACATTGTATGATGGTTCAATCTATTTTAAGAGAAACCAGGCAGGTGCCTCACATTAAGCTGACCAGCCTTCACTGTCTTCAGAACTGCAAACACATTTAGCTTTTTACCGTTTCACAGAACAAAAATAGAAGTGTCAATTATATATTGATGGCCTAAGAGGAATCCAAACGGCAATCCATCTTGTGGCTTTAATGACATGTAGTCATTAGTGAGTTCTGTTCACCATGCTTGCTATACAATATTAGAAAGCGGTTGCTGCCTAGTAATACTGTACTAGCCTGAGTGCCAGTCTGTGTGATCATGTTAACTCGTCACTCATTGTCATGCCAAAAATATTTTGCTCGACAACAATGAAGACTGGCACTCAGGCTAACTGTACTATACTAGTACAAGACAGTCCTGCGCTCCCGTGAGCTTAAATATTAAGCTTCAAATCAGAAATAAATTAAGATTATCCAAGGGAGCTTAACCATGATGTCGCTCAGTCCAATAGTTTAGTTGATGATTTCTTTCACACAAGGATTACTCATGGACTTCAGATGAGCATCAGTGAAGAGGTGAATGAGCCCAGTAACCACAACTGCTGTATACTGCACCTGTGAGTACAGCTAGTGGACGCCAAGCTCCACAACACAGTGACCAACAGCCCATCCCACAGTAATTGTCGTTTAAGTCAGTGGCTTATTAAGGCTGCCCTGAACCAGAGAGGGAGAATGTCAGCTAGACCTGTTGTCTTCAGTCCTCTTTAGACTTGAAGATGGAGTCCCATTCCTCTGAGTTGGCTGGTCCTTCCTCGTTTTGGGGAATAGCTGGGAAAACAGACTGCATCTTCTGCCTGAACTCTGTTAGCTGTGAAGACGGAGAAGTGGAGGTTTCTTGAGCAGCACATGTTGTACATTTACTGAGTGTTAGTTAAAAGGTGTTATGTTAGTCTATGATGTTCTCCGATGGAATGATAAGGGCAAGACAATGAGATGGGTTGAGTTGATTAATACGTACACTATGGACCCCCATGGCTTTCCAGACTACGACGCTGAGCAGGCCCACTCCACACCAGGCGTAGAGAGAGCCCCACCCCAGGGCACGGAGAGCCAGGGACGCCCCAGTCTCCGGTACTGCAGCAGTGGCCATCGTTCCCTTGAAAGAACACATGCATACACACTTGAGGTCACATTGAGGTACACAAGAGTTGCTCTACACATGGTTCCAAACTTAAGGTTACTTTCGTAACCCCGGTTCTCTGATGATAAGTGAGCTTTATCACCATGGGGATTCGCCAGGATCACCAACTCAAATAAAATAAAATTGTATTTGCCACATGCGCCGAATACAACATGTGTAGACATTACTGTGAAATGCTTACTTACAGCCCTTAACCAACAACTCATTTATTTCTTAATACAATTTAAAATAAAACAACAAAAAAGTGTTGAGTAAAAAAGAGCAGAAGTAAAATAAAATAACAGTAGGAGGGCTATATACAGGGGGATACCGGTGCAGAGTCAATTGAGGTAATATGTACATGTGGGTAGAGTTAAAGTGACTATGCATAAATAATTAACAGAGTAGCAGCAGCGTAAAAAGATGGGGTGGGGGTGCAAATAGTCAGGGTAGCCATGATTAGCTGTTCAGGAGTCTTATGGCTTGGGGGTAGAAGCTGTTGAGAAGTCTTTTGGACCTAGACTTGGCACTCCGGTACCGCTTGCCGTGCAGTAGCAGAGAGAACAGTCTATGACTAGGGTGGCTGGAGTCTTTGACAATTTTGAGGGCCTTCCTCTGAAACCGCCTGGTATAGAGGTCCTGGATGGCAGGAAGCTTGGCCCCAGTGATGTACTGGGCCATACGCACTACCCGTTGTAGTGCCTTGCGGTCGGAGGCCGAGCAGTTGCCATACCAGGCAGTGATGCAACTACTCAGGATGCTCTCGATGGTGCAGCTGTATAACTTCTTGAGGATCGTGGAAGGACCCATCAAAAGCGTCTGTTGGAGACAGATGGGTAGAGTGGCACCTCCTTATTAGGAGCCTCTCCCCTGCCTTCTGGTCATTCTCAAGCATGCTTCTCTTCCTCACGCTCTTGTGACCAGGGGAATGCGGTGATACATCTCACTCATTATCAGAGAACCGGAGTTACGAAAGTAACCTTATGTTATCTTTCAAATAGTTGTTTCAATGTATCGCTATGGGGATATGGCTGCAAAACATGCTCTCCGAAGCCTGGGTAGTCCCAACCCTCAGAGGCTCCGAAACAAAGGGAGTACACACCCAGAAGGTGCAGAAACAACCCGTCGGGGAAAAACGAATTACAAAGTGAGGGGAAGCCCAATGCAAAGCTCACAAAATCTCAGTTTAATGAGATGTTCCAAAAACAGTACCCGAGAGGTGGTCACTCTCGTCATTATAAAACAATATAAATCGCCCCCATGATCCGGCAGGATACAGTCGAAGAGAAAAGGGCCCACCCTCTTTCGAGAGTGGTTGCCCAATGAGTGAAGAGCACAACGCCCTTGCATGAGCTCTCGTTCAATCCAAGTAGATGCGCGTACTGGACAACGGCGGGGACGCCCTTCCAGGGAAGGCGACAGGCGAAAAGCCACAGACTCCAATGAGAATGTCGACCGGGGCTAGGTACACTAACCTGAAAACCCTCTGGGCAGACTGCGGGCGCAAACAGTTGCTGGTAGAGTACAGTCTGCTTAGGGACACCACTGGCAGTAAAGCGAAAGATGGAGGTATATTGCATCTCTACGCTTCTCAGCGGCTAGTAGCAGCACAATAGGCAGGTCCCAGGACTACCTAAAGACTTAGAGACTGGGCGTAAGCAACATAAGTTCTAGATAAACTGTACAACTGTCTAGAAGACATTAACAATGACGACACCTTCACTCCATCCAAAAAAAAGTCCTGCAAGGCGCATTGGACCATGGAAAACAGAATCTGTTTAGTCATACCACTTCTCCAAGAAAAACGCAACTGTAAATACAGAATCTGTTTAGTCATACCACTTCTCCAAGAAAAACGCAACTGTAAATACAGAATCTGTTTAGTCATACCACTTCTCCAAGAAAAACGCAACTGTAAATACAGAATCTGTTTAGTCATACCACTTCTCCAAGAAAAACGCAACTGTAAATACAGAGCGTGTATAAGGATGCTGGCACTCTTCCAAGAGTCGCGGGCCTGTCTTCCTTCCTTTCTTTTTTTCCTCTCTCACTGGCTATGCCCAGAGGGCTAACGCATTCAGGTGAGGGTAGAGAGTTGCTTGTAGTTACTCCACAATAACTACCCAAATGCCAGAGTGAAAAGAATAATACAACTATACAGAATACAAATATTCCAAAACATGTATCCTGTATGGAACAAGGCACTAAAGTAATACTGCAAAACAAACATGGCAAAGGAATACACTTTTTGGCCTAAATGCAAAGCCTTATGCTTGGGTCAAATACCCCATCACTGAGTAACTGCCTCCTTCTTTTCAAGCATGGCGGTGGCTGCCTCATGGTATGGTATGCTTGACATCGGCAAAGACTGGGGAGTTTTTCAGGATAAAAAATGGGATGGAGCTAAGCACAGGCAAAATCCTAGAGGAAAACCTGCTTCAGACTGCTTTACACCAGACACTGGGAAAGGAATTCACCTTTCAGCAGGACAATAACCTACACTGGTTGCTTACCAAGAAGACAGTGAATGTTCCTGAGTGGCCAAGTTACAGTCTTGATTTAAATCTGCTTGAGAATCTATGGGAAGACTTAAATTACTGTCTAGCCATGATGCCCAACACCATGACAGAACAAAATGGGCAAATATTGCACAATCCAGGTGTGCAAAGCTCTTAGAAGACTCACAGCTGTAATCGCTGTCAAAGGTGTTTCTAACATGTATTGACTTAGGGGGGTGAATACTTAGCTAATCAAGGTATATTAGGATTTTATTTTTCATTCATTTAAAAAAAGATGTCCAAATTTTTATTCCACTTCGACAGAGTATTTTGTCGAATGCCCAGCTTATAGGATTGCATTCCATCCGCCCATAATCTCCTTCTTTAACTTCAGTCTTGCCAGATCAAGATGAGGTGAGGGAGAAGTTTTATATACTAAGCTTGCAATGCACTACAGGCCTAAACAAATGAAGTCAAATTCCAGATCGCGAGAATCTCTAAGTAATTCTCATCGAAAGAAGTGCAGAACACTTTTGCCTAACAACCTACTGCTTGGTAATCTAATGAGAAACTCTTTCAAGTATCGGCGTGAAGAGATGGTATTTCAGGACCTGGCAAAAGATTACTGTAAAAAATATGGCACTACTAGGCGAATTAAGGAAAACTGCTCAGACTTTACTCGCATGGAAACCTATCACCTAAAAGCCACACTTGATAGAAGCTGTTGAATCGACTGCAAGGTCCTAGATTTATTACGTTTTAATGACTAAATATGTCCCATGATGCCAACCTAGACTAATGGTAAATTGCATAGGTTCAACTAGAAGATGGTGAGACGCTCAGTGTTTCTACTGTTATGATTGGGGGGTGTACTAGCTATCAATATATTAGATTATCTTCTATTTAAAAAATGTCAATTTTTATTTTACGGTATTTTGTGTTTTGGTTGTAGAACTGTCTTGGAGTAACGCTTATGAATTCCAAAAACCACTAAAATCAACACATAAATCTAAGAGTGAGATTATGTGAGGAACAGACAGCCTGGTTCCAGAAAACAGCCTGGTACAGCCTTTATGCCTATACATAATAATGTTAATGTTAGCAATCTCGTCGGGTCTGTACAATCTCTACATCTCCAAATCTTCGCCGCCCTGTGAAAACCCAACCTTCACAACAACAATTGCCACTACAAGATTATTTGAATTTAGTAAAAGTGGCATGGGTTAAAAAGCTTATCAAAACACACTTGCTGCTGGGCCAAGTATATCTATAGAACTAATATAAGCTCAGGACTTGTGACTGCCCCAAATGGCAACCTATTCCCTAAATAGTGCACTACTTTTGATCAGAGCCCTGGGCCTGTATCCACAAAGAATCTCAGAAAAGGTCCTAGGAATCATGTTAAAACCTGTTTTAAGACAAAAAAATCTCCCAGCTCAGAGTAAAGTTTCTCAGCTGGTAATCAGACAGTTTGAGGTACCACAAAGGAAAGATGGTGATGACGCTCATTGACATTGTTGCAAATTATGGGGAATAATCAATCATGATGAGGCATCGCCAGCTGTGAACTCTATAGACCCCTTTGCAGTACACAACACATTGACGTCACCTACAGATGCGTGCGACTCTAGGCGACTCTAACAAAATAACTTTTTTGGGTTCTCATAAGCTTACAATGATGTTTTGATTTTTGCTTTAACAGTCGCTAAGATCATATTTGGTTATGATCTTTGCAAAATAACTATTTTGGATGCAGCAATTGTTAGCTAGAACGCTAATGCTCATTGATATAGCCTGTAAAATCTAGCCAAAGAGACATTTTACTGGTTGAAGTTAGTGTTTTTTAAAGTATAATGCAGTTGATTTGCGATGATCACACAAACATTATATTAAGCAGAACATTCATACGAGCCTTAAAATCCAAAAGTAGTGTGAAATGCACTCACAAGCAACATATAAATAGGCTTTTTTTGCTGGCGTTCTGTAAGAACTTCCTCCCTCTTGTTCTGCGACAAACTTGCGCGCAGCGCCCTAGTGCGGCAATGTTTAAAAACACAGAAAGGGGTCACTTTGCCTACTGTTAATTATTGCCTAATATGTTGGAATGCATAGCCTTTTTTTAAAATCAAATGTTGGTTGTTAAAAGCGGAATTTGCACAATATTACCGTAATCAACACACTCGTCACTCCCATTTAACAACTCTAAATTGCTTTGGCACGGTAGGCATCAAGTCACTTGCCGATAATGTTGCATACAACGTTTTGAAAAGCTTATCATTTTCATCGAACACTATCAAAGTTAACATAACCACTATAGATGACTTCATTTGCACAATTTATAGGCATGCCCAATTTAGAGATTTTTTTAACGTGATGTTGCGTTCCTAATGGATAACCTGAAATAACATGATCTAGGTAATTAAATATTCCAAAGAAAAACATGTATTTATTAGCCTAGTGGTTATAAGTATTTAGGCATGTCGTGTAAAATATGTCTCGTGAAATTGTCAAACGTGCAAGAGATACTGTTACATGTAGGTCTAGATTATTTATGGATTGATGAAATAACAAAACATTATTTTAACAGCTCAAAAGCAATTGCATGTGACGCAGGAACCACTGACTCCCTGCATCTTTCTATTATGAAGACACCTGCTGGTAACTTAACTGGTTAGGACAGCTCATGGGGTGTCCTAAATACTGTAACTGTTCGAATCCCCGAGCCGACTAGGTGAACAATCTGTCGATGTGCCCTTGAGCAAGGCACTTAACCCTGATTGCTCCTGTAAGTCGCTCTGGATAAGAGTGTCTGCTAAATGACCAAAATGTAAACATTATCCCACCAATGTAGCAATTTTGTAGGAACATCAGCGACCCTGCAGTTACAGGGTAAGCACACTTGCTACCAATTGTGCTGTGTCATAAAGATGTAGTTGTGCTTGCCTTTCATACATGGAGGCCATTGATTGCAATTAATGCCATTCATTTGAGACAGTCATTATGTAGCCCAGCTCCATCTCATATCACTTCGTCATGGGTCAAGGCTAACATGAATGTAACGTAACCTGTATGTAATGGAATGTTGTAGCTATCAATCATAGCTACCTTGCTAAACCAGCCTGGACTATTTTTCTTGGCCAAGGCTAACGTGGAGCCGAATCCTGCTATCATCCCAGCAGATGCGACAGTCGTCAGGAAAGCTGCACCTGAAAAGGTTGATGGGACGTTGGTTATGAGTCACAAGAATTTGTCGTGTGAGTAATAATCAACTATACTAGCTACTGTACTAGCTAGCTAATAATTCAAGGGTCAAGCTAGCTACTGTCAAGCTAGCTAACAGCAGCAATACAAAAACGAATTATCTTTGCAAACAGTGAAACAATTGTTAAATAAGCAGTCGCTTGCCTTTCATTAGCTGTAGTTTGTCGTCGTTATCTGTCACAATTGCAGTAGTGACATTCAAACTCGTGTTTTCTTTCTCAGCTGTCATTTTGTAAAAGGCAAGCCCCTGTCCGTCAATTAAAGAATTCCGGTGGAAACATGCTAGGAACATTTGATTCGTTCTTAACGTTCTGTCTTGAAAATCTAAGCCATTTTTGGGCTACCGAATCAATACATTGTAGTGTAATTATTCAGTACTGTGCATTTGAACATGGGAATGTATATTTCCATTTGACAGTTAAATACAGATACGTGTACTACAATTCCCATGGCACTACGTCAGCAGTGTAAAGTACTTAAGTAAAAATACTTTAAAGTACTACTTAAGTAGTTTATTCTGGGTATCAGTACTTTACTTTACTATTTATATTTTTGTCAACTTTAACTTCATTACATTCCTAAAGAAAAGAATGTACTTTTTACTCCATACATTTTCCTTAACACCCAAAAGTACTCGTTACATTTTGAATGCTTAGCAGAACAGGAAAATTGTCAAATTCACGCACTTATCAAGAGAACATCCCTGGTCATCACTACTGCCTCTGATCTGGCAGACTCACTAAACTCAAATGCTTCGTTTGTAAATATGTCTGAGTGTTGGAGAGTGCCCTTGGCTCTCCATAAATACATTTAAAAAAAGAAAATGGTGCCATCTCGTTTTTTTTATATAAGGAATTTGAAATTATTTATACTTTTACTTTTGATACTTAAGTACATTTGAACAATTACATTTACTTTTGATACTTAAGTATATTTAAAACCAAATACTTTTAGACTTTTAATCAAGTAGTATTTTACTGGGTTACTTTCTCTTTTACTTGAGTCATTTTCTATTAAGGTATCTTTACTTTTGCTCAAGTATGACAATTGGGTATTTTTTCCACCACTCCACTAACGTGTTTGTGGGAGCTGCTGCTGTACATTATAGACAGTGGCATCGTGAGGTCGGGCGTACTGTCCTTTTAGTGATACAAATGTCCTAGCTTTCAAACCATGAACACAAAAATGCGCTCCACAGCGAAACTATGTTATTGTACTGAAATAATTGTGAGGATGTGAGATGTATCAAAGTATCCTGCTGGACACGACTAGCCCATTAATAGACGCTAACTACTTGTAGCGTCTATTCATGAAGGTCTGGGGAGTTTTCCTAAGAGCCCTGACGCTCTTTCTGAACTTTAACACGCATCGCTTGCGGTATGGTTTTAGAAACATAAGGAACGTATATTTCATATCAGCTATTAATAATTTTCAAAAAACAAAAGGTTAAATTAAAGATGCAGTCCGGGATCTTAAGCACTTACAAATTCGAAACATATTGTACGAATTGGAATTCGTAACATATATGAATTGCCCCCCCAAAAAATATATATTTCTTTATTATTATATTATTTTTAATTTTTTTGCAAGACAGAGGTGACCACTTGTGCAAATTAGCTATCTAGTGCTCAAACACATGTGTGTAAGAATAACTGGGGAGGAATTGTAGCGAAAGTGTAGTTCTTAGGCTGGAGGCACACAGAGCCTTATGGATCTGTGCAAACCTGCTACAGTAAGTGTATATTTTTTGTTTGAAAGATTATTTCTGATAAATTCCATATGTTTTGAAAACCTTTTTGCAAGTGATATTCTGCCAGGTCTCATAGACTACACGTAACATAGTAAATGTAAATCCGGGAAATGTCAATCCGTAACTCCAGGATACTCAAATTAGTACGATATGTTATGTTTGGAATGTTATGTTTAGTATGGGTTAAGGCAAAAATGAAAGGAGGGTGGTTGGTCGGGGTAGATGAGTAGGCATATAACGCGAACGTCTAGCAACCCAATGGTTGCATGTTTGAGTCTCATCAAGGACAACTTTAGCATTTTAGCAACTTTGCAACTACTTACTACTTTTTATCTACTTTGCAACTACTTAGCATGTTACCTAACCCTTCCCCTAACCTTAACCCTAACCTTAACCCCTTGCCTAGTTAACATTAGCCACCTAGCTAACGTAAGCCACAACAAATTGGAATTCGTAACTTATACGAATTGTAATTAGTAAAATATCATATGAAATGGTTGATGGACATCCACAAATTAATACATACGAAACGTAACATATTGTAGCGACCTTAACATAAGACCTACTGACCTCATCAAGAGGTTCGGACCTCTTGGTGTAACAGTTAAGGTGTTGGCTTGACAGTCCCTGGACCTGTGTTTGAGTCCCGGTTGAAGCTACCCCCCGAATTCACTACATTGGTGTCAGAAGTGGGATGGCGGTCGTGGGGCCATTGGAGAGGCGTGTCCACGTGACGGACTTGGTACAGAGAAGCGTGGGGAAATGCTCTCCTGAAGGAAAGGGAATTAATTCATGTAGCAACCTTAACACAATACCTAGCGACCTCGTCAAGAGGATCGGACCTCTTGGCGTAACGGTTAAGGTGTTGCTCAACGGTCGCTGGACCCAGGTTCGAGTCCCGGTTGGAGCTACAATATCATACTAAATGAAGGGAGACAAATGAACGTTTACTATGTTACCTCTACCAGCTGAGTCCAGGTTGGATTATTGATGTTTCTAAATGTTAAAACAGAGCTTCGGGATTGTAGTTAACATGGTCCCACCGGTAAACGGTGTTTATAGCTGAGAACCTTGGGGATTTGCAGAATGCCTTGTTTAATGTCTTGGGTTCTCGAGAGCAAGGGCACGACGTTATTGCACTGGCGACTTGCAAGAAAAGCCGTGCCACCTCTTCTATGAAATCTAATCGGCGCTATTCTGCAGTAAGATGCTTGTCTTTTATTTGGCGGATATCCTCGTTGGAGAATAGCATTTTTCTACACTTTGAGTGGCTAAACATTTGGTTATCTTAGCACTTAAATGTGAAAAGCATTCTTCTCTTTTTAAGGACACTCGAAGGACGTCTTTATGACTGGGTTTCTTCTCGCTTCCTCTCCAGATTTTTGATTTGCATTGTGTTTACATAAGTCTGGCCACTTGACAGTAACATCGGTCGCCTAGGGTGGCTACAGACAGTTACCGTTTTTAAAAACAACACTATGGAAGTATTATTCAAACAATTGAGGCAATTATGTTTATTTTCTCTGACAAAGTGGCATATCTGATCAAATTCAGGAGGATGCAAGGCAGAAAAAGCCTACTTTTTAAAATAATTGTCCATGTTTTATTCTTTGAATAAACGGTCATCATGATGTTTATTCTTCTTATCTCACTAACCTGAGTACTGGAAATGTATTGTTCAGTAACGGAACTTTTCTTGCTCTGACAGCATTGCATCACGTCTGTGGCAAAGGAGTATCTCTGGAACAAGCACGGAGCACATCTTTACCCCCATTTATCAGCTGCCCCTGGATTCTTTGTATTGTTGTAAAAGGTGCACTATTTACAGATGTATCTCTGACTTGATGAGCCCGTGCGGGAATGCCAGTATAATCAGATCTGAACGCGCAACTCGTTACCTATGGAGACCTTAGGGCACAAAAAGAAGACGACTCCCCGGAGGAAGTGGCAGGTCTTCCCCGGTCGAAATAGATTCTACTGTAATGGAAGGGTCATGATGGCGAGGCAGACCGGGGTCTTCTACTTAACCCTGGTCCTCATCATGGTCACCAGCGGGCTTTTCTTCGCGTTCGAGTAAGTGTAAATTACACACTACAGTTGCTCATGCAAGACCTAAACATAATTCACTGGTGATGCAATGAGCGCATTTGGCACAAGCCAGGTGAGCAAGGGGTAGGCTATGTAACCGCAGTCAATATGTTTTGAATTTTAGATATTCGGAGTTCGCTCGTCAATAGCTCTCAGACGGAAGGTCCTAGGATGATAATGCTATAACTAGAATCAGATGATGGTAGAGAGCAAGGTACACCCTTTGTTTTTACCGATGGTCGAACTATTCCCTTAACAGAGCCGAAAAGGTGGCGATATGCTGATTTCTGGCGCTCAGTTGGTTTAGGGACCGTCGTAAAAGTGCTATATATGTGTTTGTATGTTAACAAAACGTTATTTTTTTGCATTCCCATTCAGGAGGGTTAGCCCTATATGAACATTACACACTGCATAATGCCTCCAGTCGCTAAAGGGCCCAACATGTTTATTAGTTACCTCTAACCACTAAGGGTGCTATATTTGGCCGATTTACAAGGATACCAGGTGAAATTGAGATGTAAAACCACATAATGTGAAGTCACTGACCCCCCCTCATCCATGCTACATTCATTACAATTCCAGTTCACCACCCTGATTTTTACCTGTATTTTCCTGATATTTTCAATAGCTCACTGTCCATATGAGTTACAGATATACATACAAGTGTGTTGGGTTCCTTGATCTCTTATCAAAGGTACACCTCACCTTTGTTTTTCCAAAAATGTTCACCTAGTACATCTGTGGTTATTAATTCTCATAAAGATCAAATGTTCAATAGCTTCCAGTCCAAATGACATATACAGTGAGCTCCAAACATATCGGGACAGTGACACATTTCTAGTTGCTTGGTCTCTGTACTCCAGCACTTTGGATTTGAAATGATACAATGACTATGAAGTTAGTGCACACTGTCCGCTTTAACTTTAGGGTATTTTCATCCATATCGGGTGAACAGTTTACAAATTACAGCACTTTTTGTACATAGTCCCCCCATTATAGGGGACCAAAAGTATTGGGACAAATTCACTTGTGAATTAAAGTAGTAAAAAGTTAAGTATTTGGTCCCATATTCATAGCACACGATGACTACATCAAGCTTGCAACTACAAATTTGTTGGATGCATTTGCTGTTTGTTTTGGTTGTGTTTCAGATTATTTTGTGCCTAATAGAAATGAATGGTAAATAATGTATTGTGTCATTTTGGAGTCACTTTAATTGTAAATAAGAATATAATATGTTTCTAAACACTTCTACATTAATGTGGGGCGGCGCACAATTGGCCCAGCGTCGTCCAGGGTAGGGGAGGGAATGGCCGGCAGGGATGTAGCTCAGTTGGCAGAGCATGGTGTTTGCAACGCCAGGGTTGTGGGTTCGTTTCCCAAGGGGGGCCAGTATGAAAAATAAACGAACTGTAAATCGCTCTGGATAAGAGCGTCTGCTAAATGACTAAAATGTAAAATGTAAAATGTAAATGTGGATGCTACCATGATTACGCATAATCCTGACTGAATCATGAGTAAAGATGAGTGAGAAAGTTACAGACGCACAAATATCATACTCCCAACACATGCTAAACTCTCACCATTACAATAACAGGGGAGGTTAGCATTTTTGGTGGGGTATGATAATTGGGGATGCTATAACTATGGGATCAAATACTTAACTTTTTACTACTTTAATACACATAAGTGAATTTGTCCCAATACTTTTGGAAAATTGTTAATACATTTGAAAATGTATTAAAAATAAAAAACTGAAATACCTTATTTACATAAGTATTCAGACCCTTTGCTATGAGAATCAAAATTTAGCTCAGGTGCATCCTGTTTCCATTGATCATCCTTGAGATGTTTCTACAACTTCTACAACTTCTACAAAAACCAAGCCATGAGGTTGAAGGAATTGTCCGTAGAGCTCAGAGACAGGATTGTGTCGAGGCACAGATCTGGAGAAGAGTACCAACATTTTTTACAGCATTGAAGGTCCCGAAGAACACAGTGGCCTCCATCATTCTTAAATGGAAGAAGTTTGGAACCACCAAGACTCTTTCTTGAGCTGGCCGCCCTACCAAACTGAGCAATCGGGGGAGAATGGCCTTGGTCAGGGATGTGACCAAGAACCCGATGGTCACTCTGACAGCTCTAGAGTTCCTCTGTCGAGATGGGAGAACCTTCCAGAAGGACAACCATCTCTGTAGCACTCTACCAATCAGGCCTTTATGGTAGTGGCCAGACGGAAGCTACTCCTCAGTAAAAGGCACATGACAGCCCGCTTGGAGTTTGCCAAAAAGCACCTTAAGGACTCTGACCATGAGAAACAAGATTATCTGGTCTGATGAAACCAAGATTGAACTCTTTGGCCTGAATGCCAAGCGTCACATCTGGAGGAAAACTGGCACCATCCCTATGGTGAAGCATGGTGGTGGCAGCATCATGCTGTGGGGATGTTTTTCAGCGGCAGGGGCTGGGAGACTAGTCAGGATCGAGGCAAAGATGAACGGAGCAAAGTACAGAGCGATCCTTGATAAAAACCTGCTCCAGAGCGCTCAGGACCTCAGACTGGGGTGAATGTTCACCTTCCAACAGGACAACGTCCCTAAGTACACAGCCAAGACAAAGCAGGAGTCTCTGAATGTCCTTGAGTGGCCCAGCCAGAGCCCGGACTTGAATCCGATCGAACATCTCTGGAGAGACCTGAAAATAGCTGTGTAGCGACGCTCCCCATCCAACCTGATTTAGATAATAAAGCATTTGACCTTTCCATTTAGTTAACGATGGAGGATTGCTTGATTTCCAGTTAAGAATACGTTTTTTCAAGATAATTGACGAGAAAAGTATCATCCAACCCATAGATCTCTAAGCTGCTGCAGGTTTCCAAAGGGTCATTTTTAAAGGTTTATATAATTGCAGTCTTTCCATCTTGCAATCAAAACGGGTTCCAATTAAGAACCTTTTTGGATTTTCTTAGTGTATCAGCCTGAAAAGCCTGAAATTCAATGGCCTACTCATTGAGTGCTAAAATGCCACAAATGTAAGGCAATTAAGTCACATACACTTATGTCTTCAATTAGAATTGTTGAAGACAGCTTGTATAGGCCCAATGTTATCACATGCAAATTCATTCATTTGACATCAATCGTAATACGCAAAGAGTCGAGAGATGACTGACAGAGATTTTCCAGTCAGTCTCCCCATCCCCCACCTTTCCCTCTGTGGTCTTTCATTCCTCCCACATTCCACACCACAACTTCCAAAACATGGCACCCTGGTGTTCCCGTTTCCGTAGTAACTGTTTCCTCTTAAGCTCTTTGTGTCCTGTCGAACCAACAGCTTGCGACTCCAAGGCAACTGGAGGAGAGTCACTGATTGTCCCAGTTTGATTTGGCCTGTGTCCCAAATGGCACCAAGTTCCCTATATAGTGCACTACTTTTGACCAGGGCCTGGTCAAAAGTAGTGTCAAAAGTAGTGCACTACATAGGGAATAGGGTGTCATTTGGGATGTAGGCAGCCTTGGTCTCTGTTGGTTGTATTTGAATCAGGGATAAGACTAAAGTAATTGCACTCCTCTAGCCTGAGTGAAGAGCGTCTCCAAACATTCATCCGTTTATAGTCCTACATGCTCTTGGGAAACATTGCACAAATGGTCAAATGAATGTGTTGTGATTCAATCATGGAATGGATCAACTGCTGGTTACGTTTGCATGTTGTTTACTCATTGTTGCATGAAGCATCAGAAACTTAAATGACGGAGAGACGCTTATGCCTGAATGTTTTCACTTCTCCTCTTCTCAAGGCTGAGAAACATTCATTTGAATAATGGGGATACATTTATAATAATAGGACCCTGAACACCATTGCCTGAAATTTTCAGTCAAGAAGATATTGTCCTTGTGTATTTTTAAGCTTTCATTCAGACTATTTTTCCAGTACATTATCCAAGACTGTCCATATTCCATAGTCTATATATAAAGGGCACAGTCCTTTTATTTACAAAGGCAGTGGGATAGAGAAGTGCAGCTACAGTTGAAGTCGGAAGTTTACATACACCTTAGCCAAATACATTTAAACTCAGTTTTTCACAATTCCTGACATTTAATCCTAGTAATAATTCCCTGTCTTAGGTCAGTTAGGATCACCACTTTATTTTAAGAATGTGAAATGTTCAAATAATAGTAGAGAGAATGATTTATTTCAGCTTTTATTTATTTCATCACATTCCCAGTGGGTCAGAAGTTTACATACGGTCAATTAGTATTTGGTAGCATTGCCTTTCAATTGTTTAACTTGGGTCAAACGTGTCGGGTAGCCTTCCACATGCTTCCCACAATAAGTTGGGTGAATTTTGGCCCGTTCCTCCTGACAGAGCTGGTGTAACTGAGTCAGGTTTGTAGGCCTCCTTGCTCGCACACGCTTTTGAGATGTTGCTTCAATATATCCACATAATTTTCCTTCCTCATGATGCCATCTATTTTGTGAAGTGCACCAGTCCCTCCTGCAGAAAAGCACCCCCACAGCATTAAGCTGCCACCCCCATGCTTCACTTCACGGTTGGGATGGTGTTCTTCGGCTTGCAAGCGTCCCCCTTTTTCCTCCAAACATAACGATGGTCATTATGGCCAAACAGTTCTATTTTTGTTTCATCAGACCAGAGGACATTTCTCCAAAAAGTATGATCTTTGTCCCCATGTGCAGTTGCAAACCGTAGTCTGGCTTGTTTATGGCGGTTTTGGAACAGTGGCTCCTTCCTTGGAAGGTAGCCTTCCCCAAGCTTCCCACAATAAGTTGGGTGAATGTTGGCCCATTCCTCCTGACAGAGCTGGTGTAACTGAGTTAGGTTTGTAGGCCTCCTTGCTCGCACACGCTTTTTCAGTTCTGCCCACAAATGTTCTATAGGATTGAGGTCAGGGCTTTGTGATGGCCACTCCAATACCTTGACTTTGTTGTCCTTAAGCCATTTTGCCACAACTTTGGAAGTATGCTTGGTGTCATTGTCCATTTGGAAGACCATTTGCGACCAAGCTTTAACTTCCTGACTGATGTCTTGAGATGTTGCTTCAATATATCCACATCATTTTCCTTCCTCATGATGCCATCTATTTTATGAAGTGCACTAGTCCCTCCTGCAGCAAAGCATCCCCACAGCATGATTATTATTATTATTATGATGCTGCCACCCCGTGCTTCCCCCCCCCTTTCTCCAAACACAACGATGGTCATTATGGCCAAACAGTTCTATTTTTGTTTCATCAGACCAGAGGACATTTCTCCAAAAAGTATGATCTTTGTCCCCATGTGCAGTTGCAAACCGTAGTCTGGCTTGTTTATGGCGGTTTTGGAACAGTGGCTCCTTCCTTGCTGAGCGGCCTTTCAGGTTATGTCGATATAGGACTCGTTTTACTGTGGATATAGATACTTTAGTACCTGTTTCCTCCAGCATCTTCACAAGGTCCTTTGTTGTTGTTCTGGGATTGATTTGCACTTTTCGCACCAAAGTACGTTCATCTTTAGGAGACAGAACGCGTCTCCTTCCTGAGCGGAATGACGGCTGCGTGGTCCCATGGTGTTTATACTTGCGTACTATTGTTTGTACAGATGAACGTGGTACCTTCAGGCGTTTGGAAATTGCTCCCAAGGATGAACCAGACTTGTGGAGGTCTACAATTTTTTTTCTGAGGTCTTGGCTGATTTATTTTGATTTTCCCATGTTGTCAAGCAAAGAGGAACTGAGTTTGAAGGTAGGCTGTCACGATCGTTTACGAACGAGAAGGACCAAGGCGCAGCGTGATAAGCATACATGTTTATTTACACGAAATAAACACACGACAAACAACAAACGAACACGTGAGTCCAAGGTCGAACACAACATACCTTCACACGGAAAATGATCCACAACTCACAGGTGTTGCAAAAGGCTGCCTAAGTTATGGTCCCAAATCAGAGACAACGAGCTACAGCTGCTCTGATTGGGAAAACCACACCGGCCAACATAGATTACACATCTAAATCTAACATAGACAATCAACATAGACACAACACGAAAAGAAAATACACCCCCTACGCAACAAATGAGAGCCTCAGAGTCAGGGCGTGACTAGGTCTTGAAATACATCCAAAGGGTACACCTCCAATTGACTCAAATGAGTCAATTAGCATATCAGAAGCTTCTAAACCATGGAAATCATTTTCTGGAATTTTCCAAGCGGTTTAAAAGGCACAGTGAACATAGTGTAGTAAACTTCGGGAATTGTTACAGTGAATTTAAGTGAATAATTGTCTGTAAACAATGTGAATTTTGTTTATGACAGTAGATGTCCTAACCGCTGCACTATAGTTGTAAGAAATTGTGAGTGTTGAAAACGTTTTAATGATTTCCAAGCTGTTTAAAGGCAACGGAACATAGTGTACATTGAACTCTGACCCCTGGAATTGTGATACAGTGAATTATAGTGAATAATCTTCATAAACAATTGTGAAAAAATTACTTTTTTCATGCACAAAGTAGAATGTCCTAACCGACTTTCCAAAACATAGTTGTTAACAAGAAATTTGTGGAGTGGGTTTAACACTAGTTTTAATGACTCCCACCTAAGTGTATGTAAACTTCCGACTTCAACTGTATATACTGTAGATTGAAAGACTCATTACTGTGTCCCTACCCAACCTTTCCCTCCACTGTGTGCCAGATTCGCCAAGCCCTCTGACAATTATCCCTGTTTTGGGTAAAATGCCAACAACAACATTGGTTGATAACCTCCTGCTTAGACACAATGGGAGATATTTTTAAAGAGGACTAAGCTACTACTTGGAAACTGTCTGCAGCTATTTCCAATCCCTATATGACGAACTGAAAAGGTCTCTGAGTTTTGGTCTAATTCAATTCCAGTGTAACCGCCTCCCAGAGCTAAAATGGCAGCTATACAGCTCTCATATCAGTCAACACTGACTATGCAACAGTAAGTGGATAAAAGCATGATATTTCACTTCATGACTAGTACCATTTAAGATTGAATATAGTTTTAGAGGTGCCTCTCTACCCTCTCTGCCTAGGCTATAACCTGAAACCAATTAATCAAACCTGCGCTCAACATACCCCCCTCATGAAATCATGGGGATCTAAATGTCTGATATTGGAACATCCCATAGAGGACTTTATTAGGGGAACCTGCGTGGGGTTATTTCATAAGAGATTTGGATGTTGTGCCCACTCAAATATGAATAGACATCCAATCCTTTTTCTAATCAAATCGTTGTATAATAGATAATACTCAGTCTAATTTAGGAAGGAACTTTCCAAATCTGTCCAAACATTTATGTTATGGGCCACGTCCCAAATGGCACCCTACTTACTACATAGTGCAGTACTTTTGACCAAGATGCCATTTGGGATGCAACCATGATCTGAGAATGATTGAAGTCCTCTGAGAGGAGCCATAGTGGAGTATTTTATGAATCTCCCCACCAAGCCAAGAATAACAGGATCTGGGGCTGTTCTTACCAACCCATAGGACCAGTCGCTCTGCCCTCTCACTCAGTCTGGCAGACATAGGCAAAGTTATTTCATGTTAAGGTTGCCTAAGAATATGGATCATCAGGGCTAATTAATGTTTTAAGTATATTGACCAGAGTGCTAAAGGTAAGCTATTAGTGATGGGGGAAAAATGTATACAGTAGAGTATCGCAATATAATTTTTTACGATATTATATTGATTACAAATTAATTACTTAAAAATCATACAATGTGATTTTCTGGATTTCTGTTTTAGATTCCATCTCTCACAGTTGAAGTGTACCTATGATAACAATTATAGACCTCTACATGCTTTGTAAGTAGGAAAACCTGCAAAATCGGTAGTGTATCAAATACTTGTTCTCCCCACTGTATATGAAACAGCTTTTCTTTATTTTGCTAAGATGTTAACATTAAAGGGGCAATCTGCAGTTGCTACATCCCTTTTTAGACCTTTAAATTGATGATATATACCCATTGATTCTTGAAGAATATAACTTAGATGCCTCATGACCTTAGTTCAACTGTCCTACCACATCAGAACCCAAAATATAAGCTTGTTTTTGTCTTTGTTTGTAAACTGGGTAAATATAAACAAACACTGTATAGCCTCAAAACATGGTTAAAATTATCATTTTGATATCATGGATGGTCAGTCCTGCTCATGAGTTTGAGAATGGTTACATTTCTCTAGCCCCATCCCTCAGCGTTCTACCAAAACAGTGGCTTAGAGATCACTTTGTTATTGTTTGAACTGCAGATTACCGCTTTAAATGGTGAGCTAACATGTTTTGAGCACTTATTTCCATGACTGATCAAAACTCATTTTCTCATGGCTGTCTCTAGTCCCTCTACAGGATAAATATAGTGACCAATGTTTGGAACATCGAATCTCAATGAAATTGCCGTATCGAATCGTAATACATATAGAATCGTGATACATATAGAATCTAGGGCCGTCCCAGACCCAAAAAAATCTTGGTCGACCAAGAGTCGTCTGTTCTTTCAACCAATCAATTGGTCGGAATGTTACCTTTTTTATATAGACACACCCTATGTGTTTTATTAAAATCAACTATATGCACTGAGCTTGATGCTTTAAGAGCACTGTTTGAATAAATAATTAAGACACACAAATGACTTGAGGGAGCCAGAGATCAAGATAACCAGAATAAAAATACCTGTTCCCGACCCTCCTGCTCCTGCTGGCCTTCGCAGATTCTGCCATTACGCTCCTGAAGTTGCTGGTAATATGCTATACCAGGGGTTGTCAAGCTTTTTCATGTGGAGTGCCAATTTACAATTTATCTTATTATTTTTTTCTTCTCATACACATTTTATCTTACAATTTCTAACTGATCTGCGTGCCAGTTATGATTTTCATATACACATTTTCGTGGAACATTTCAATTATATATAATGTTAATAATTTTGTACTATTGCCAACTAGGTAAAAATAGCCTACATAAAGCCAACAAATAAAAACATTGCAGGTAGAAAATATCCTGATTTAAAAATAAATATCCTATAGGCCTAAATCACATTGGCAACACATGGAGGTTTGTTCATGTTCTTTCAATCGCATTCATCTCTCTACTCCGCTTGTCTGCAACAAACTTGAAACATATCAACTATCAACTGGGTCCGGCCCGCAGCTCGCGCTAGCAAACTTGCAACATTGTATCAACTATTCTGGGGCCTCAGTTTACTGTGGCAGTGAGCTCCAGACAGACACTGCTGTATTTGCAGAACTTCACAAAGGATAAGAAAGTAGCCTAATCAGGTATTTTATTACGTTTTCACTGCATTATATTTTCCCCTTTCACACCGAGCCTTGGTGGTTATAAGGGAGAGAGCTGGTAAGAATTGTCAAATACATTGAGGAGCTATTGTATATCATTCTCAGTGGATTTAAATACAGACTTTGTTTACTTGCTGTTTGAGGTGAAGAAAAAATACTTTGAGAAGCTCCACAGCTCATTAGCGGTGGTGAGTTAAGACAATCAGAAATACTATCAGACATCCCCAAATGTGTACATTTGCGCACAGGCCAGGTAGCCTTACTTCGATGCGTAAACGGGTGTGAATCTTTACTCAACATAAACAGGAGCACTCCAACCAAAAGACAATTAATAAATTGACAAAACTCGTAAATGGAATGAAATAAACCAAAACTTGTTTCTCACAAGTGTAGGATAGGTTGTGAGCTCTGCAAACAACGTGTCCACTCCGACAATGAGAACGGTAAACGACTGTAATAACAATATATTGAATGCATTAACAGAAATGACCGTAACCAAACAAACATTGTAGATTAGAAATTATGGGAATTAACGGTAAATGTATTACTGGTGATAAATGTAATTGGGAATTGATAGTCACTAACAATAAAAGGGCAAACAATTCACACAATGAAGTTATGAAACAATGGATGCGCACGAATTGGCCGGAGAGAGCATTCTGGAGAGAGATGCACCTTGTGCAGAGTGATGGACCGAGCCATCCCTGCGGCCTCCGCAATGGATTAGTCCACGCTTCATGTCCACCAGGTGCATCAAAGTATTGCGTTCCGGCAGATGTCATTCATTTTCAATGGAGCAGTCCGCAACACTACATTGGGTAGGCTACGGTGCGTTCTGTGTATCACGTGCATTCAATATTTTCAACTTGCGTGTTGCTTTACCGTGCGGTGGTACAAAAGGGAGTACACAAAGACTCCAACTAGCTAGCTTTTAGCGAGTTGAAAAGCGAAGTACACTACCGGTCAAAAGTTTTAGAACACCTACTCGTTCAATGGTTTTTCTTTATTTTTACTATTTTCTACATGTAGAATAATAGTGAAGACATCAAAACTATGAAATAACAAATATGGAATCATGTAGTAATCAAAAAAGTGTTAAACAAATCAAAATATATTTTATATTTGAGATTCTTCAAATAGCCACCCTTTGCCTTGATGACAGCTTTGCACACTCTTGGCATTCTCTCAACCAGCTTCACCTGGAATGCATTTCCAACAGTCTTGAAGGAGTTCCCACATATGCTGAGCACTTGTTGGCTGCTTTTCCTTCACTCTGCGGTCCAACTCATCCCAAACCAGATGGGATGGCGTATCGCTGCAGAATGCTGTGGTAGCCATGCTGGTTAAGTGTGCCTTGAATTCTAAATAAATAACAGACAGTGTCACCAGCAAAGCACCCCCACACCATAACACCTCCTCCTCCATGCTTTACAGTGGGAAATACACATGCGGAGATCATCCTTTCACCCACACCGTGTCTCACAAAGACACGGCGGTTGGAACCAAAAATCTCCAATTTGGACTCCAGACCAAAGGACAAATTTCCACCGGTCTAATGTCCATTGCTCATGTTTCTTGACGCAAGCAAGTCTCTTCTTCTTATCGGTGTCCTTTAGTAGTGGTTTCTTTGCAGCAATTCGACCATAAATGACTAAAATGTAAATGTAATGAAGGCCTGATTCACACAGTCTCCTCTGAACAGTTGATGTTGAGATGTCTCTGTTACTTGAACTCTGTGAAGCATTTATTTGGGCTGCAATTTCTGAGGCTAGTAACTCTAATGAACTTATCCTCTGCAGCAGAGGTAACTCTGGGTCTTCCATTCCTGTGCCGGTCCTCATGAGAGCCAGTTTCATCATAGCGCTTGATAGTTTTTGCGACTGCACTTGAAGAAACTTTCTAAGTTCTTTACATTTTGCGTATTGACTGACCTTCATGTCTTAAAGTAATGATGGACTGTCGTTTCTCTTTGCTTATTTGAGCTGTTGTTGCCATAATATGGACTTGGTCTTTTACCAAATAGGGCTATCTTCTGCATACCTTGTCACAACACAACTGATTGGCTCAAATGCATTAAGAAGGAAAGAAATTCCACAAATTAACTTTGAAGAAGGCACACCTGTTAATTGAAATGCATTCCAGGTGACTATCTCATGAAGCTGGTTGAGAGAATGCCAAGAGTGTGTAAAGCTGTCATCAAGGCAAACGGTGGCTATTTGAAGAATCTGAAATATAACATATATTTTGATTTGTTTAACACTTTTTTGGTTACTACATGATTCCATATGTGTTATTTCATAGTCTTGATGTTTTCACTATTATTCTACAATGTTGAAAATAGTAAAAATAAAGAAAAACCCTTGAATTAGTAGGTGTTCTAAAACTTTTGACCGGTAGTGTACATATGCGTCAGGTACGTAAAATGCGGGCTAGACATCCGGCAAAACAAACACATATGCATCTGGTGGACATCGGGCATGACAGATCTTTTATCAATTTGCGACCGCTAGACTAAATAAAATCTCCGTCAACCAACAGCCTATCGACCAAACAATAGACCAGCGACTAAATGGGGTCAGCCCGAATAGAATCTAAATACAAATCGTATCTGCACCTAAGTATCGTGATAATATCGTATCGTGAAGTCCCTGGTAACTCCCAATCCTACAAGATATGGAGTGTACTGTTTGCATTAGAGCTGAATCCACAGCAGACAGCCAGTGACTGTTGTTGTGGGAGGCCATTCAATTTGTATGGAAAAATGCATATAAGGCCATACCATATTTATGGAAAGCGCCCAGTCCAGGGGTCGTACTTGTAGCCTACATCATACTGCCTCACGCTGTAAACAGGAGATTGGCCCACAGGGCAGGAGCCTTTCTGGCTCAGACAAGGCTTACTTTATATTTATTTTAAAAAATGCACAGAAGGCCATACCATTGCCAAATGCACACTTGCACAGAATGTGCTACTACACACCCAGACAGTAGCAGGCTTTGAGAAGAGAAGAATGGAGCCTTTGTTCATATCTATAAATAATGTGAAAATAAACACGAGGGCGTACCTTTCATTTCATGGCTTTGTCACAGATGCCAGTCGAATAATATGCTTGGAAATTGTTTTTCTTCTCAGGCTTAGGCCAGTAGATTTCTGTCAGTGGAGGCATTCCAAATGGCACCATATTCCCTATATCCTCCTGAGACCCAAAAGAAACAAAAAAGTTTGGGATGCACTTATTTTTTGCACATCATATACAGTGGGGAAAAAATGTATTTAGTCAGCCACCAATTGTGCAAGTTCTCCCACTTAAAAAGATGAGAGAGGCCTGTAATTTTCATCATAGGTACACGTCAACTATGACAGACAAAATGAGAAAAAAAATTCCAGAAAATCACATTGTAGGATTTTTTATGAATTTATTTGCAAATTATGGTGGAAAATAAGTATTTGGTCAATAACAAAAGTTTCTCAATACTTTGTTATATACCCTTTGTTGGCAATGACACAGGTCAAACGTTTTCTGTAAGTCTTCACAAGGTTTTCACACACTGTTGCTGGTATTTTGGCCCATTCCTCCATGCAGATCTCCTCTAGAGCAGTGATGTTTTGGGGCTGTCGCTGGGCAACACAGACTTTCAACTCCCTCCAAAGATTTTCTATGGGGTTGAGATCTGGAGACTGGCTAGGCCACTCCAGGACCTTGAAATGCTTCTTACGAAGCCACTCCTTCGTTGCCCGGGCGGTGTGTTTGGGATCATTGTCATGCTGAAAGACCCAGCCACGTTTCATCTTCAATGCCCTTGCTGATGGAAGGAGGTTTTCACTCAAAATCTCACGATACATGGCCCCATTCATTCTTTCCTTTACACAGATCAGTCGTCCTGGTCCCTTTGCAGAAAAACAGCCCCAAAGCATGATGTTTCCACCCCCATGCTTCACAGTAGGTATGGTGTTCTTTGGATGCAACTCAGCATTCTTTGTCCTCCAAACACGACGAGTTGAGTTTTTACCAAAAAGTTCTATTTTGGTTTCATTTGACCATATGACATTCTCCCAATCCTCGTCTGGATCATCCATATGCACTCTAGCAATCTTCAGACGGGCCTGGACATGTACTGGCTTAAGCAGGGGGACACGTCTGGCACTGCAGGATTTGAGTCCCTGGCGGCATAGTGTGTTACTGATGGTAGGCTTTGTTACTTTGGTCCCAGCTCTCTGCAGGTCATTCACTAGGTCCCCCCGTGTGGTTCTGGGATTTTTGCTCACCGTTCTTGTGATCATTTTGATCCCACGGGGTGAGATCTTGCGTGGAGCCCCAGATCGAGGGAGATTATCAGTGGTCTTGTATGTCTTCCATTTCCTAATAATTGCTCCCACAGTTGATTTCTTCAAACCAAGCTGCTTACCTATTGCAGATTCAGTCTTCCCAGCCTGGTGCAGGTCTACAATTTTGTTTCTGGTGTCCTTTGACAGCTCTTTGGTCTTGGCCATAGTGGAGTTTGGAGTGTGACTGTTTGAGGTTGTGGACAGGTGTCTTTTATACTGATAACAAGTTCAAACAGGTGCCATTAATACAGGTAACGAGTGGAGGACAGAGGAGCCTCTTAAAGAAGAAGTTACAGGTCTGTGAGAGCCAGAAATCTTGCTTGTTTGTAGGTGACCAAATACTTATTTTCCACCATAATTTGCAAATAAATTCATAAAAAATCCTACAATGTGATTTTCGGGATTTTTTTCTCTCAATATGTCTGTCATAGTTGACGTGTACCTATGATGAAAATTACAGGCCTCTCTCATCTTTTTAAGTGGGAGAACTTGCACAATTGGTGGCTGACTAAATACTTTTTTTCCCCACTGTAAGTGTTTGGGGTGAAAAACAAAATGTTACCAAGAAAAAAAGTGAGAAAATATTGTTATTTATCTTTTATTGTAAGTGCAAAATTGTCCTCTGTAGTGGTCATTAGGACGTAAATATGAAAACATTTACATTAAAGCACAGAGTTTCTAAACCCAGAGGCGCAACATCGCGAGACTTCCAGGAACGCTTGCAAAACAGGCAAAACAGACCAGGCCCGGGGTTTGAGAAGTCAATGAGGGAAGTGAACAATTCTTCTTTAGTTGTTCATTTTCTCAATGTAAAGGCACAACCTAGATTCCAGCCAATGTCTTAAGTAGTTGAACATGTTATTACTCCAACCTTGTGAAAGTGACACGTCTTAATTTTCATCAAAAACTACTTTATATCGAAGGAGTGTGTGTAATTCATAATTACACACACTTCTTTTAGAATTTCTATCAAATGTGCTAATTTTGATGGCAGACATTTTTTTAAGAACCAGGAAGATAAAGTTGTCAAGGTCACCCTCACACATCTCATTGAAAAGTCCAGAATGTCATCTCAAAGGGACAACAGGACTTAATACAGTGGCTTATATGGCCTCAGAGATACAGACCAAGAACTAATGTCCACTAGAGAGGACAAAAATGAATTGCTGGGTCTCAGGAGTATAAAATGGTGCACTACGTTTCACCAGAGCCCTATGGGGTGTGTTGAATTGTGCCACTGAAAAGCAGACTATTCATTTTCACTTTCCAGCAAGATCATTTCTCATTGGACCTGGCTCTCTTGTCTGGTCACCTAATGAAGTCAGATACAGAGGACATGACAGTAGTGGTTTAATGTGATTACACTAACCAACATCTGTTAATGAACAAAACACTGGGCTTGGTTTAAGTGAGTTAGCTAATCAAATCCTTACTGTGTGTGTGTGTGCGTGCATGTCTGTGTGTGTGCGCGCATGTCTGTTTGTCCTAACAGGTTTGTTAGTTGTAAACATTCCACCCACCCAAATACAGAGACCACACCAAGAACAGCTACTAATTAGGCCTACATACTTTTCCATTCTTAAACTTTTCTTTCTATCTCCTTTCGTGCAGCTGTCCGTTCCTGGCGTCCAACCTGACCCCAGCCATCCCAGTGATCGGAGGGGTGCTGTTATTCTTTGTGCTGGGGATGCTGTTCAGGGCCAGCTTCAGTGACCCGGGGTTCCTGCCCCGCGCCACGCCCGACGAGGCTGCCGACCTGGAGAGACAAATAGGTAACTATGGAGACGACCTGGTTTCCTTACGGTCCAGAGTCCAAGGAATGGGTTCCCAAATGGCACCCTATTCCCTATATATTGTACTACTTTTGACCAGAGCTGGGTTTTGGTCAAAAGTAGTGCACTATGTAGGGAATAGGGTGCATTTTGGGACTTGGACCAGGCAGGACTCTGCACTCTGAGTCTCTGATGCTGCTTTTTCTCCTTGTTTGTGTTCAGCTAATGAGGCAGATAGATTTGATATCAACGTGAACTTCGCCCGACCACTATCAAACGGTGTGGATCGAGCCAATCACAGGCGGCCTCTAAACGCCTGTGTATGTCTGTGTGTCAGTGAGATAAGGTATTCACTGTTGTTTATGTTTGGAGATGACATCAGCTTTGAGAGGCGCTTTGCCCTGAGCACCAATGGCATGTTGTCCAAACATCCTGATTAAGGGCCTCGTTTTAGAGTTAAATCTAGAAAATATCTCATCAGAGTCCCAAATTCCCTATTTAGTGCACTACCTTTGACCAGGGCTCATAGGGCTCTGGTCAAAAGTAGTGCAATGTGTAGGGAATAGGGTGCCATTTGGGATTCAACCCTCTATCACAGGAGCAAGCCACTAGTTCCGTTTTGTTATGAGACGTCCAATCCAATCCGTACCAAGAAGAATCAGTCAGTGATGTTCAATGAGCTAAATCTGTGCATACAGACAGAACAATCTGGATGTATTTTTGGAACTTTGTTTTTTCCTGTGAATACAGCATTCCAGAACAGACCTGTCAATCACTAAAGAGTCAGTACTGCAAGAATGACCAAATTTGGGCGTTGCTTGCTCTGTGCATCTAACTCCAGCTTTCTTAGAGCAAGAGAGAAAGTGTCTCTCATGGTAGCGTCCCAAATGGCACCCTATTCCCCATGTAGTGCACTACCACAGGGCTCTGGTCAAAAGTAGTGCACTATATAGGGAATAGGGTGCCATTTGGGACACAGACTATGTCTCACCACATCAACAGTGTTTTATACAGCCATTGAGGAAGGGTACAAATAATCCACTGTTATATTTACTCTGTTTGGTTGTTTACTGTCTGTGGTCAGTCACAATGTGATGCACTAGAAATAACATCCACACATCCAGTAGTAGAGGATCTGGAGGTTCAGTACTGTATAGTCAACTCTACAAACAGCAAAATTGGTACTAATTGCCGTCAAAATCATGCCTGAAAACAATACCGATAAAAATAATTACATTTTGTTTATTAAACGTTGATGAAAAGGGATATTACAGGCCTGCACTGAAAAAGCGGTGAACTTTTGGAGAGGTAGTCTAGTCCTATTGTCTGTTTCACAACCCTAGCTCTACTAGGATTACATGTCAGGAATTGTGAAAAACAGAGTTTAAATGTATTTGGCTAAGGTTTATGTAAACTTCTGTCACGCCCTGACTCTAGGGAGTTGTATTTGTTGAGTCAGGGTGTGTATTTTCTGTGTTGGGTTTGTCTATGTTAGTTTCTAGATCGTTTAGATCTATGTTGGCCAGGGTGGTTCCCAATCAGAGGCAGCTGTAGCTCGTTGTCTCTGATTGGGGACCATACTTAGGCAGCCTTTTGGCACCAGTCAGTTGTGGGATCTTGTTCCGTTAAGGTATGTTGTTTGTATGCTACCTTTGGCTTCACGTTTCGTTTTGTTGTTTTGTCGTGTGTTTAGTCGTTAATAAATATGAATGCATATCACGCTGCGCCTTGGTCCGTCTCGTTCGTAAACGATCGTGACAGAAGATCCCACCAATCCTGGATCAAGCAGCGTGACGAGGAGAGAGGATGGACTTGGGAGGAGATGAGCGAGAGTCTGGCAAGAGGGATGGAGGCCATGATCATGGGGGAGAGACAAGCCCAAACATGTTTTAGGGGGGGGCTCACGCCGTGGACGACGAGGCAGCAGGAGGCCGCGATAGAGCGGTTCCGCTGTTTAGCAGAGGAGGCCGCCAGATTAAGGGGGCCATTGGTTCAGAGGGAGCAGAAGGAATGTGTAGAGGTACGGCGAGAGGAGCTGGTTAGGCAGCAGAAGGAGTGGGGGTTAATGAAGGAACCCAGTCCCACTCCTCGCACCAATCAAGTGGTGCGTGTCGCCAGTCCGGTCCGGCCCGTTCCTGCTCCCCGCACTAAGCCAGTGGTGCGTGTTCCCAGTCCGGCTCGGCCCGTTCCTGTCCCCCGCACCAAGCCAGTGGTGCGCGTCGCCAGCCCGGCCCGGCCTGTTCCTGCTCCCCGCATCAGGCCAGTGGTGCGCGTCGCCAGTCCGGTACGGCCCGTTCCTGCTCCCCGCACCAAGCCAGTGGTGCGCGTCGTCAGCCCAGTCCGGCCCGTTCCTGCTCCCCGCACCAGGCCAGTGGTGCGCGTCGCCAGTCCGGTACGGCCCGTTCCTGCTCCCCGCACCAGGCCAGTGGTGCGCGTCGCCAGTCCGGTACGGCCCGTTCCTGCTCCCCGCACCAGGCCAGTGGTGCGCGTCGCCAGTCCGGTACGGCCCGTTCCTGCTCCCCGCACCAAGCCAGTGGTGTGCGTCGTCAGCCCAGTCCAGCCCGTTCCTGCTCCCCGCACCAAGCCAGGGGTGCGCGTCGTCAGCCCAGTCCGGCCCGTTCCTGCTCCCCGCACCAAGCCAGTGGTGCGTGTGTCCAGTCCAGCTCCGGTCAGCGGCTCCACTCCGGAGCCAGAGCAGTCCGCTCCACCGGTGCCTGATCCAGTTCCGGTCAGCGGCTCCACCCCGGAGCCAGAGCAGTTCGATCCACCGTCGTCGGGTCCAGCTCCAGTCAGCGGTTCCAGTCCAGACCCAGACGTCAGCCCCTCTCCAGGTTCGGGGTCTCCCACACCAGGGTCCAGACAGGGCGTGGTACTTCGTGGGAGGAAGGAGAGAGGAAGCAGCGCGCCAAGGTCCAGACCAGACCAGGGGTGCAACGGGGAGGTGGAGAGTAAGTGGTGGTCACACCCGGAGCCGGATCCGCCTCCGAGGCGGAATGCCCACCCGGCCCCTACCCTGTTAGGTTTATGTGGCGCGGTCGGAGTCCGCACCTTTGGGGGGGGGGGTACTGTCATGCCCTGACTCTAGGGAGTTGTATTTGTTGAGTCAGGGTGTGTATTTTCTGTGTTGGGTTTGTCTATGTTAGTTTCTAGATCGTTTAGATCTATGTTGGCCAGGGTGGTTCCCAATCAGAGGCAGCTGTAGCTCGTTGTCTCTGATTGGGAACCATACTTAGGCAGCCTTTTGGCACCAGTCAGTTGTGGGATCTTGTTCCGTTAAGGTATGTTGTTTGTATGCTACCTTGGACTTCACGTTTCGTTTTGTTGTTTTGTCGTGTGTTTAGTCGTTAATAAATATGAATGCATATCACGCTGCGCCTTGGTCCGTCTCATTCGTAAACGATCGTGACAACTTCCGACTTCAACTGTATATATTTGTCAATTACATTTACTGTACCTTACCTGTAAAGGATAAAAGCTGTACGTAGTATTATTTTCTTTTCAAGTCAGGGGAGTAGGGAAATAAGTGATGCTGAGTGAGTGATATGCAGGGCCGCAGAGCCATCAATGAGGTGTGGCCCCCCCCCATCGCCAAGCTTGAGGAGCAGGCCATGTGTGTGCATGCGTGTGTGAATGAATAAATGAGTGAATGACATTTTATTTTCCGTGTCAAATCGCCAGTTGGCAACCCATCCCTTATGGGATTAATTGACACATAAACAAACATTTACAATAATTAACTGTAATAATTTCATTGATAATTCTTCTTCCGGTGTTCTCTGCAGTGCGCATCGCATAAAGAGTGAAATAATTAAAGATAAAAATCAATACATAATAGTAAATAAGGTTATCCAAACAATAATTATATCCCTAGAGCAGTAAAAATATATATACATTCATGCATACATATACACTGTTAATAAAGTACCAATCAAAGGTTTGGACACACATACTCATTCCAGGGTTTTTCTTTATTTTGACTATTTTCTACTTTGTAGAGTAATAGTGAAGACATCAAAACTATGAAATAACACATATGGAATCATGTAGTAACCAAAAAAGTGTTAAACAAAGTAGCCACCCTTTGCCTTGATGACAGCTTTGCACACTGTTGGCATTCTCTCAACCAGCTTCATGAGGAAGGCTTTTCCAACATATGCTGAGCACTTGTTGGCTGCTTTTCCTTCACTCTGCGGTCCAACTCATCCCAAACCATCTCAATTGGGTTGAGGTCGGGTGATTGTGGAGGCCAGGTCATCTGATGCAGCACTCCATCACTCTCCTTCTTGGTAAAATAGCCCTTACACAGCCTGGAGGTGTGTTGGGTCATTGTCCTGTTGAAAAACAAATGATAGTCCCACTAAGCGCAAACCAGATGGGATGGCGTATTGCTGCAGAATGCTGTGGTAGCCATGCTGGTTAAGTGTGCCTTGAATTCTAAATAAATCACAGACAGTGTCACCAGCAAAGCATCCCCACACCATCACACCTCCTCCTCCATGCTTCACGGTGGGAACCACACATGCAGATATCATCCGTTCACCTACTCTGCGTCTCACAAAGACACGGCGGTTGGAACCAAAAATCTCAAATTTGGACTCATCAGACCAATTTACAGATTTCCACTGGTCTAATGTCCATTGCTCGTATTTCTTGGCCCAAGCAAGTCTCTTCTTATTATTGGTGTCCTTTAGTAGTGGTTTATTTGCAGCAATTCGACCATGAAGGCCTGATTCACGCAGTCTCCTCTGAACAGTTGATGTTGAGATGTGTCTGTTACTTGAACTCTGTGAAGCATTTATTTGGGCTGCAATCTGAGGTGCCGTTAACTCTAATGAACTTATCCTCTGCAGCAGAGGTAACTCTGGGTCTTCCATTCCTGTGGCGGTCCTCATGAGAGCCAGTTTCATCATAGCGCTTGATGGTTTTTGCGACTGCACTTGAAGAAACTTTCTAAGTTCTTGAAATGTTCCGTATTGACTGACCTCCATGTCTTAAAGTAATGATGGACTGTCGTTTCTCTTTGCTTATTTGAGCTGTTCTTGCCATAATATGGACTTGGTCTTTTAACAAATAGGGCTATCTTCTCACAACACAACTAATTGGCTCAAACGCATTAAGAAGGAAAGAAATTCCACAAATTAACTTTTAAGAAGGCACACCTGTTAATTGAAATGCATTCCAGGTGACCACCTCATGAAGCTGGTTGAGAGAATGCCAAGAGTGTGCAAAGCTGTCATCAAGGCAAAGGGTGGCTACTTTGAAGAATCTCAAATATAAAATATATTTTTATTTGTTGAACACTTTTTTTGGTTACTACATGATTCCATATGTGTTATTTCATAGTTTTTGTCTTCACTATTATTCTACAATGTAGAAAATTGTAAAAATAAAGAAAAACCCTGGAATGAGTAGGTGAGTCCAAACTTTTGACTGGTAGTGTACATACACACATACATAACATATACAGAAAAATGAAACAGAAGGCATTTGAACCTAGTCTGGCACAAAGAGAAGATTCATGTGGGAGACAAGCCTATACACAATCTATATACACACATACCATTACCACATAGAAGCTAAATATTTTGTATTATTTAATTATAGGTAACCCTTTTTCTTTTATTCCAGGCTTTATCTAAATATTCCGCAAACGGAAATACACAATGGACAAAAAAAACATTTCAGTTTCTCCTCATCGCTCAGCCACATAATGCCAGGGTATATCTGGTGTGCTTTCTGGAATAAGAGCAAACGTATATCGTGGTAGAAAGGGCCGTAGAAGATAAAATGAGTTTCATTCTCTATTTCTTCGAGGTCACAATAGTTACAAAGTCTTTCATCTTCCATTTCACCACAATACCGACCTGTTTCAATACGCAGAGGCAATATCCCTGATCTTACCTGTGCACATAGCGATATTTTGCTTTTAGGTAGGTGTGCCCGTGAGTGTTTGCCTATGAGTCTATGTGTGTGTGTGTGCCTCTTGTCTCTGAGTGGAGTGCCAGGTCCTGCTGAGCAGATGAATAATGTAATACCAAGTAAACACTGTGCCCCAGCGGCCCGCCGCTGTAAAATGCATCAGCGAGGAAGCCAGTAAAATGTGCTGACTGATATATCAAGCTCAGAAAGCCTATATACTGTTGTAGTGAGATGTGATGGTGTGACTTGTTTTGTTTATCACAGGGAAATAAAAACAGAGCCAAACTCAAACCTCCTTGGATACAGGAACTCGTATCTGGCCCCTACCAGACTGACTGTGCTTTAGAAATAAGATGCAGCTCTGAGGCTGCACTGAATATCCACCATAGGAGAACAAAGGAATATGCTTCCCTTGTGAAACTAAATCTGACTTGCTCTTGTTTGGTCCTCCTCAGACGCGGCTAACGGTCCCAGTGGTCCAGGGTACAGGCCGCCCCCGAGGACCAGAGAGGTGGTCATCAACGGGCAGACGGTGAAGCTCAAGTACTGCTTCACCTGCAAGATCTTCAGGCCCCCACGGGCCTCGCACTGCAGCCTGTGTGACAACTGTGTGGGTGAGTAGTCCTGAAAATAATAGGAGAATCTGACTGACTCGATGGCTGTTCCATATGCACAACTTTTGAACCACCTACTCTCTCCCATCTCTCCCTCTCTCTTTTTCACTGTTTTATTTCCCTTTCTATCTGCTTCTCTCTTCTTCTCTATTTCTCTCTTCCGCTCTTTCCCTCTCTCTGTCCACTTTTCTATTTCCCTTTATCTAAACGTACCTTTTCTCTCACTCTCCCTCCCTCTCTCCCTCCCCTCTCTCTCTCTCTCTGCAGAGCGTTTTGACCACCACTGTCCCTGGGTGGGGAACTGTGTGGGAAAGAGGAACTACCGTTTCTTCTACCTCTTCATCCTCTCCCTCTCCTTCCTCACTGTATTCATATTCGCCTTCGTCATCACACACGTCATCCTGAGTGAGTATAACGCCGACCAGACACTGAAACACACACACACAAAGTGGTGATGACCTGAAATACACACAACACTGTTTTTCCCCAAACAATATCCCCTATACACATCAGGTGCCCAGAACATACTGTTTGTTATCCAGATAATATAAAAAATGACAAGATGAGTGAATGCATAATGCTGGTATTTCTCTTACACAGTATCAAGCCTTCTCTACTTGTAACTCAAATTTTCCTAACCCCATACACAGCAGTTGAGCAGACGGTTTCCCACAACCAGGTTTTCAGGTGTATTTCACCGTCAGCAGTATCCACCCATAAACAAAGGGCTTCTAGCCCTGAGCAGCACCACCTCCTAGGGCACTTCATCTCGATCAGCCACCTCCACTTCCACTCCGCCCCTCCACCTCCACCCCTCTTCAAAACACTACCCTCCCTCTCTCCCTGCTTCCCAGCGCCAGTGGAGGCTGGCTGTCAGGAAAGCTGCTGACGCGGCTGGTCTCTCTCTCTCTATGGGGGAGAGAGGGAGCTGTGTTTGTGGTGCTTTACTGTACACCACAGATCAATCATCTGTATCAGTGATTGATTACTGTAACTAACAGCATCAGTCTTAGGGGTTGTGGGTATTGATTTTGGTTTGTTCTTATTTTTTGTGTTTCTGTGTGTAGCCTAGAGATTGGGTGGGGGAGCTTCTTCTGAACCATTAGCTGCCAGTCATTGTCTGCGTCCCAAATGGGCCCTGGTTAAAAGTAGTGCGCTACAGTGCCTTTGGAAAGTATTCAGACCCCTGGACTTTTTCCACATTTTGTTACGTTACAGCCTTATTCTAAAATGGATTAAATAAATAAAAATCCTCAGCAATCTACACACAATACCCCATAATGACAAAGCGAAAACAGTTTTTTTGAAATTTTAGCAAATGTATTCGTATTCAGACCCTTTGCTATGAAACTCGAAATTGAGCTCAGATGCATCCTGTTTCCATTGATCATCCTCGAGATGTTTCTACAACTTGATTGGAGTCCACTTGTGATAAATCCTATTGATTGGACATGATTTGGAAAGGCACACACCTGTCTATATAAGGTCCCACAGTTGACAGTGGATGTCAGAGCAAAAACCAAGCCATGAGGTTGAAGGAATTGTCCGTAGAGCTCAGCGACAGGATTGGGTAAGGGTACCAAAAACTGTCTGCAGCATTGTAGGTCCCCAAGAACACAGTGGCCTCCATCATTCTTAAATGGAAGAAGTTTGGAACCACCAAGACTCTTCCTAGAGCCGGCCGCCCGGCCAAACTGAGCAATCAGGGGAGAAGGGCCTTGGTCAGGGATGTGACCAAGAACCTGATGGTCACTCTGACAGAGCTCTAGAGTTCATCTGTCGAGATGGGAGAACCTTCCAGAAGGACAACCATCTCTGCAGCACTCCACCAATCAGGCCTTTATGGTAGAGTAGCCAGACGGAAGCCACTCCTCAGTAAAAGGCACATGACAGCCAGCTTGGAGTTTGCCAAAATGTACCTAAAGACTCTCAGACCATGAGAAACAATATTCTTTGGTCTGATGAAACCAAGATTGAACTCTTTGGCCTGAATGCCAAGCGTCTGGAGGAAACCTGGCACCATCCCTACAGTGAAGCATGGTGGTGGCAGCATCATGCTGTGGGGATGTTCTTCAGCGGCAGGGACTGGTAGACTAGTCAGGATCGAGGGAAAGATGAACGATGCAAAGTACAGAGAGATCCTTAATGAAAACCTGCTCCAGAGCGCTCAGGACCTCAGACTGGGGCGAAGGTTCACCTTCCAACAGGACAATGACCCTAAGCACTGTCATGACTCTCCTGGCTGAGGATCAAAGGACTCTCTCTCCCACAGAAGAGGGGAAGGGGGGGCTGGGCTGGTTTTGACACCTTAACACTTGGTCGTAAATTAGGCAGGAGGGGAATCTCTCTCCTGCTCTCCAGAATTGGTAAAGGAATGTGCTTCGTCTCCAGTAGACTTTTGCCGCCAAAACTTTTACGTCCAAAAAGTAAACACTGGAACAATATTCCTAACATCTGAATGTTTGGAATGGTCAGTGGGGAGCTAAAGACTAATCATGTATATTGTTTATTATTTTGTGATGTCATTAAGGATGGTATCAAGAAACTGTAACTCGGAAAGTGTACACATTCTATCTATCAAGTTTACACCCAAATGTTGTATAACATATATGATTAAAGATGAGAGTATTTTGTGAAGATAAGAATGTGATTTTAGTCTTCTAAATGAGATAATTATTTTTCAAATAAACTTTTGCCCAGTCAGTAACCACGCCCCCAAGTGAGCACCGACATTGTGTCGGCGTGATGGAACGCCCCCTTTTTACCCGAGGATAAAAAGCGTTGGTAACGAAATTCACATCAGACCAGCAGACGTGAGGCGTGAGCTAAACGTTACAAATAGTTGAAACTCTCAGACCAGAACATTGCCGGGTTGCTACTGGCGTGTAAAATGGTGGGAAATTCTGAAACTCTCAACCTCCACAGGAGGTGAAGAAGATAAGTGCACCAGACCTTAGCATTACCAGTCTGCAGCTGTACATGCAAAGTAGTCTAGAACTACTAAAGACACGAGGTAGGAAGAAAGGTATCAAGCCTTCTCTACTTGTAACTCACATTTTATATATAACATATATATCTTTATATTCGGGAGATGGTAGCTCTATAAACAACTTCTTCCGTGGTGCCCCAAATTCCTAATGAGTTAATTGTTACATGATTAATTTAATCGGGTAACGATTAAACATAGTTAGTTGATTCGATAAATAACATTCATCATATTAATGAGAGTCACGTCACGACAGCGCACAGCCAAGACGACGCAGGAGTGGCTTCGGGACAAGTCTCTGAATGTCCTTGAGTGGCCCAGCCAGAGACCGGACTTGAACCCGATCGAACATCTCTGGAGAGACCTGAAAATAGCTGTGCAGCGACGCTCCCCATCCAACCTGATAAAGCTTGAGAGGATCTGCAGAGAAGAATGGGAGAAACTCGTCGAATACAGGTGTGCCAAGCTTGTAGCATCATACCCAAGAAGACTCTATGCTGTAATCGCTGCCAAAGGAGCTTCAACAATGTACTGAGTAAAGGGTCTGAATAATGTAACAGGGATATTTCCGTTTTTTATTTTATTTTTTATAAATGAGCAAAAATGTCTAAAAACCTGCTTTTGCTTTGTCATTATGGGTATTGTGTGTAGATTGATTAGAGGAAAAAACAATTTAATCACTTTTAGAATAAGGCTGGAACGTAACGAAATGTGGAAAAAGTCAAGGGGTCTGAATACTTTCCGAAGGCATAGGGTGCCATTTGGGATGCACACATTCCCTGCTGAACCACAGTATGATCAAGACTAGAGTCCCTGGTAGAAAATCCTTGACTGATTTTAGCCTATTGACCCTTCACATTTAGGCCTGACTTAAACCTATTTTGGTGCAGTCAGTGTGACCAGCATCAGTTACATAGCCATGTTTTTCCAGACATGAGAAATACAGACGTTAACAGGTGTTTGAGTCGGAGGCATCCCAGAATAAACTCCTTCGGAGCACACAACTTCTTGCCCTACTGTGGGTGCTGTGAAGCAGCTCTGAGATATTCCGTGACTGTGACTGAGAAGCTCTTATTCAGTGTGAGGTAATGCTGTATATGTACTGACTAGCTCATCGTCATGGTGCTCAGTGGGTGAATGTTCCCCTCCTTACGTAACAAACCCCTGTTGTTTCTCTGCTCGCTCTGCTCTCTGCAGGATCCAACCGGACAGGCTTCCTCAGCACACTCAAAGACAGCCCTGCCAGATATCCTTTTACTGGGGAGAATGTGTGTGTGCGTGCGTTTTTATTTATGTTTATTTACTCACCATTTAAGTGGAAGGTGATACAGCATCAGCATGATCTCTGAATGGCAGATAACGTTGCCCTTATCTCCCTCGTTCCAACTGTGGGAGTCATCTAACGTTTATCACTCACACACACACACACTCACTCTCACACACACACAAACAGACACTCAGAAGAGATGAACACCATTTGAGGGGGGTAAATTCTGCACTGTAAATTGTAGTACAGGTTTTGGTTTGATTTGAGGGGAGCGCTAGACGCCGGCATTTCATTTCCATTAGGGAGCAGCCAGATGCACTGCCTCTGTTTCCATTAGTCCCCATCCAGCCACCCCGCTGCTTTTCTGAGAATCATGCACCTGTCACGCATCATTTGGGCCTTGATCACACTGCACACAGTCAGGCCCCTATAAGCCTGCAAAGAGGCATCGGATCTGACACGCACACAACTAGAGGGCTGAAATACACTAAATAAATGATAGGGGCAGAGAGAGAGTCATTGACGTGCCTTGTGTGTGGCAACTGCGCTGGGTTAGAGGTGTTTGTATGCATTGACCGTGTATGTTAGTCGATTGGTTGGGATGTATCCACTTTGCCTGGAGTCATTCAGGGCATTATAGAGGACACAGCAGTTATTTAATGGAGCCGAACCACATGTAGAGTGCATTGCCGAGTAAATCAATGGCCCCAACACAATCTTCTGGTAGTCCGTACCACTATGTCCAACTCTTTGCATTAGCAAGGTCAAATGCAAGAGCTCTCTCCACCTCTCACCCACATTTAGATGCTGTTCATCTCAAATTGGTTTAATTGATTCAGTGGCAGGGATTGCCATTGATGCATGCATTTTACATTTACATTTTATTCATTTAGCAGATGCTCTTATCCAAAGCGACTTACAGTTAGTGCAAGTCAATCTTTTCTCAAAGTAACTATCACCAAAGTCAGAGCTAGTAAGGGGGGAAAAAAGTGTTAGTTCACAAAATGATTTTATTTAGGGGTGAGGAGGGGGTGTGAGGTGGGGTGCTGTGGGATTATTTAAGATACTCTTTGAAGAGGTAGGGTTTCAGATGTTTTCATAAGATGGACAGGGACTATGCTGTCCTAGTTTCGGGGGGGGAAGCTGGCTCCACCATTGGGGTGCCAGGACAGAGAATAACTTTGACTGGGCATGCATGCATGCATTTTGCATTGCCATGATGATGTTTGAGTTATGGTGGTCTCTCTTCCTTGACTGTTTGTCTCACTGTGCTGGAGGTGGTGGTGTGTTTCTTCTCAGTGTGGTCCATTGTGGGCCTGTCGGGCTTCCATACCTACCTGATCAGCTCCAATCAGACCACCAATGAGGATGTGAGTACACACACAAACACGCACACGCACACACACACACACACACACACACACACACACACACACACACACACACACACACCCCACATCTCTTCCCCCTCTTTCTCTATCAGTCTCTGACTTCGACTGCTGATAACAATTCTGTCTCGCATTAAGGGTCATTTCATGCTTGGGCCTCCATGTAATAAGTCGCTGGCTTGATTTTCTTTCACTTATGCTGCTGATGTTCTGGTAGATTGAACACTCCAGAATCCTCCCTAATCCTTCTTAACTGTCTCCTCTGGTCTGATTGGTTAAGTTCAACTGTCCTCCAAGAGTTGCTGAATTTCTCTTTCCTTCAGTTTTCTTCTCAATTCATGCACCTTGGTTGGAGAGCGAGGTAGCTGCAGTGTTCTCTGTTCCCTCTCCAGATTAAAGGCTTGTGGTCGAACAAACGGGCGAAGGACAACTACAATCCCTACAGCTATGGGAACATCCTGACCAACTGTTGTGCTGCCCTCTGTGGTCCTCTTCCACCCAGGTGAGTTGCTCTCTGCCAGGGCCAAGCTAACAGCAAGGCTGGGTCGTGTTCAGTTGGGAGAAAACTTTTTGAAACAGGGAGGTACTTGCTGAAACTTATCCAATGAGAACACAGCTTTTTGTTTTCCGTTGCAAAACATTTTTTTGCTATGGTGTGCACCAGAGTTGTGGACTCGAGTCACATGACTTGGACTCGAGTCTGACTCAAGTCACAGATTTGATGACTTGAGACTCGACTTGCTAGAAAATAAAATAACGTGAGACTTGACTTGGACTTCAGACCTCAAGACTACTTTGACTTGAGACTGATGACTTTAAATTATCTGGCCAGGTTTTGTAATGTTTTGTCGCTCATTTTGTGTCATAGAGTCTACGTGGATTACTCTACATGCAGTCAGAGACAGTAGCCGTAGCATCGCCCTTGCAAAAAAACATGCAACAGATTGGCTAGTGAAACGCACACTCGGCCCTCTGATTGGACCAGCAAATTGTCCATCAACACAGGTCGGGTGAGCTAGCGAACGGATTGCTGATTTGCTGTACAGCTATAGGATCAGGTGCAGCGCAAACGTCAAATTATAGGGAGAGAGGATTGCCATAATAAATAAATATACATCTCCAAAAATGGTTTGGTGATCAAGAATATTAACTGTTTACTTTGCAAGCTCACCAGCAATGGGGCAACGATTACTAGCATAGGCCTACTGGTTTTTTGGTATGTAAAAATTGCTTGAAATTGATAATATACTTAGTTAAAAATAGCTTGAAATTGATAATTTACTCATGAAGCATGTATTTAAAATTTGTTGTTAAAATGAATTATTACTTTGACGAAGACGCACCATATGTGCCAGTGGAGAGTGCTTTTTCTCTTGTTGAAATGTTTTCTGTTGCTTTCACACATTTAAATGCATATGTGGTCAATCTATGTTCCATCTATTACTACAGTAATTGCTAGCGTTTCATCATTCCATCCCTGTACCGTTTATTGCAACACTTATTTCTGTTTCAGGTTTGATAGTTATGTCGGAAGTTCCGTGTGTCTGTGTCCTACTTCTCTGTCATTTTTGTTGTGCGTAATAGGAGCACACGTGCCTCAGTGCACATAGAAATAGGCTACGTGGCCTGCGCTCCACGCTTTGGAGTCAGAACATTGAATAAGAGAAAATGATTGTTCCATGTTTGAATGGTGTTTAAATATCAGTAATAATCATTATGTCTCATTAAGACGAATGTACCAATGTAACAATGGATGTGGAAATGGCCTTTGACATTGTAGAACCAGCTGATTTGGTTGTATTGCCAATTGGGAAATTGTATGGTCCTGGGGGCCAAGTGCTTATATTACCTGTTTGAGCTCCTGTTAGACAGATTCGATTTGGTTTCTCAAGGGGAGGCTGTGCAGTCTTGCCCTCTACCTGTGTCAATTCAGATAGGACAGGTTAAAAGGAAAATTCCACCCAAAAACAGAAATCATCCACGTATGATTTATGTATTTTGAAAGTTACATATATTGAAAACCTGATTGATGACATGCAAAACATTTTGGGACTATGTCAACAATTGACTAATGAAACAAATACCAAAATATGGTTTTTGGGTGGAGTTTTCCTTTAAGCCTGAAATGGAGGCTATTTCTTTTGGGCTATTGTCTGTGTATATTTGGTTAATCTACTTGTATATTTTGTATGATATGGCGCTTTCACGATTGGTTAACCAAGGTCCCTATTGTACAGTTACATAGGCTAATCGAAATGTGTTATAGACAAAACAATGAAAAGGACTGTCTGGTTCCTCAATAAACAAAGATTTGTAGTTGAACAAGTCGTTGCATGTATTGATTTTTTTTACTTGACTTAAAGAAAACTTGACTCGACTTGCTCTTAGAATGCACAACTTGAACTTGACTCGAGTCTTGACCCGTTCTACTTGGGACTCGACTTGCGACTTGCTTGTGACTCAAATAATAGCGACTTGGTCCCACCTCTGGTATGCACTAATGAGCACGACCCTGCACTGAGGATCCTCACCAGTCACGACTGTAGCTATAAGGGATTTTAGATTCAGCTCTCAATCTCTCCCTCCTCCTCCTCTCCCCTCCTCCATTCCTCTCCCGTTCTGCATTAGTCAGCACTGACAGAATGAGCTCCACTTATGAGAATCACACAGCCTGCCACTGTTTTTAATAAACAGCACTTTCAATCAAGATATCCATCAGCGCACACAGGAATATTTACTGTACACTCTGTTTCCGTCGTCTGTCGAGGGAACTTGAACTAGCTTTGTCTTACACGTTATTGGGATGAGCTCAGAACATTGGCTGCGTCCCTAATAGCAACCTATTCCCTATGTAGTCACTACTTTTGACCAGGGCCCATAAGGCTCTGGTCAAAAGTAGTGCACTATATAGGAAAAAGGGTGCGATTTTGGACACATCCATTGTTAGCGTCCCCACAGCATATGGTTGGTTATGACGTTTAACGTAAATGGTCTGGCTAGAGGAGATAATGTCGTTCAGCCAGTAATTTGCTCTCTCCCAAGTGACACCACAATATATTAGTGTACATTTAGTGTCAATGTTGTTTTTGGCACTAATTTGACTCCATACACATTACAATACCCCCAGATACAAAATCAGGTTAGTTTGTCAAACATCTGGTGGATCAACATTTTATCATTGATTCATTATCAAGTCTATTACATGAATGGGTTACAACTGACTTGAGAATAGTTGAGCAATGTGATGTGTAATAATAGTTGAGTTATGTGTAAGGTTTGTTCAGTAGGTAGGTAGAGGTAACTGCCAAAATAATGGAAGCACTTGAGTAATAATAATAATAATAATATGCCATTAGCAGACGCTTATCCAAAGCGACTTACCGTCATGCGTGCATACATGTATTATTTTTGGTGATGGGTGGCCCGGGATCGAACCACTCCCTTGGCGTTACAAGCGCCGTGCTCTACCAGCTGAGCTACAGAGGACCACGTAAATGAGGGATACAACGTTTATTGAATGCAGGTGCTTTCACACAGGTGTGACTCCTGAGTTAATTAATCAATTAACATCCCATCATGCTTAGGGTCAAGCCATCATGCTAGCAAGCCATTATTTTGGCTACCATGGCTATGCCCCCATAGGATGACAATGCCCCCATCCACAGGGCACGAGTGGCCACTGAATGGTTTGATGAGCATGAAAACGATATTAACCAAATGCCATGGCCATCTGTCACCAGATCTCAACTCAATTAAATACTTGTGGAAAGATTCTGGGGCGGCGTCTGAGACAGTGTTTTCCACCACCATCAACAAAACACCAAATTATTACATTTCTTGTGGAAGAATGGTGTCGCATCCGTCCAATAGAGTACCAGACACTTGTAGAATCTATGCCAAGATGCATTGAAGCTGTTCTGGCTCGTGGTGGACCCAACACCCTATTAAGACACTTTATGTTGGTGTTTCCTTTACTTTGGCAGTTACCTGTACATTGGGTTGGATCCTGTGGGAATTTCACACATCATTAACACGTTTGCCGTTACCTCAAGGGAATGTGTTGGGGATCGTTCCCCATCTGGAGACAGGTGGCTGCAATCTGCTCTGTGTGTGGGTATGCATGGAGGGATGGGCCTGGAGGCTTCTCACACACAAGCACAAATGCATGCACCGAGGCAGATTGCGTACAGACACACACGCTCTAACAGACACACAACCGCTTTTGCGGGCACACACACACCCAAGCAAACTCATCCATGCTCTTGCCGACACACACACACATACACACACACTTCAAGACTTCTGCTCATGTTCCCTGTCTTCTCTTCCTAGTCTTATTGACCGAAGAGGCTTCATCCAGTCAGTCACACCCCAGCCTGTGTCACACTCCAACGGCAGCAGCATGTATGCCTCCACCCAGCTTCACACTCACATGGTAGGTTGTATGTGTGTGTGTGTGGTTCTTTGTGCATTCTATAGAGAGATGTTAAGGGTTTGACAGGACTGAGTTGGCACTTCAGTATTTATATCTACTGAGAAACGCTTAATACTGTATGTCAGCAACACACTCAAGTGCTCTCGCTTACAAATGGCAAACTTTGTTGTTATTACAAGCCAAGAGAGAACAGTAATCTGTCTACAGTGCCTTGCAAAAGTATTCATCCCCCTTGGCGTTTTTCATATTTTGTTGCATTACAACCTGTAATTTAAATTGATTTTTATTTGGATTTCATGAAATGGACATACACAAAATAGTCCAAATTGGTGAAGTGGAATGAAAAAAAAAAATGGTTTCAAAAAATGCTAAAAAAATAAATAATGGAAAAGTAGTGCGTGCATATGTATTCAACTGCTTTGCTATGAAGCCCCTAAATAAGATCTGGTTCAACCAATTACCTTCAGAAGTTACGTAATTAGTTAAATAAAGTCCACCTGTGTGCAATCTAAGTGTCACATGATCTGAGTATATACAGTTGAAGTCGGAAGTTTACATACACTTAGGTTGGAGTCATTAAAACTCGTTTTTCAACCACTCCACAAATTTCTTGTTAGCAAATTATAGTTTTGGCAAGTCGGTTAGGACATCTACTTTGTGCATGACACAAGTAGTTTTTCCAACAAATGTTTACAGACAGATTATTTCACTTATAATTCACTGTAACACAATTCCAGTGGGTCAGAAGTTTACATACACTAAGTTGACTGTGCCTTTAAACAGCTTGGAAAATTCCAGAAAATGATGTCATGGCTTTAGAAGCTTCTGATAGGTTAATGGACATCATTTGAGTCAATTTCAGGTGTACCTGTGGATGTATTTCAAGGCCTACCTTCAAACTCAGTGCCTCTTTGCTTGACATCATGGGAAAATCAAAAGAAATCAGCCAAGACCTCAGACAAAGAATTGTAGACCTCCACAAGTCTGGTTCATCCTTGGGAGCAATTTCCAAATGCCTGAAGGTACCACATTCATCTGTACAAACAATAGTACGCAAGTATAAACACCATGGGACCATGCAGCCGTGATACTGCTCAGGAAGGAGACGCGTTCTGTCTCCTAGAGATGAACGTACTTTGGTGCGAAAAGTGCAAATCAATCCCAGAACAACAGCAAAGGACCTTGTGAAGATGCTGGAGGAAATAGGTACAAAAGTATCTATATCCACAGTAAAACGAGTCCTAAATCGACATAACATGAAAGACCGCTCAGCAAGGGAGAAGCCACTGCTCCAAAACCACCATAAAAAAGCCAGACTACGGTTTGCAACTGCACATGGGGACAAACATCATACTTTTTGGAGAAATGTCCTCTGGTCTGATGAAACAAAAATAGAACTGTTTGGCCATAATGACCATCGTTGTGTTTGGAGAAAGGGGGGGGGGGGGGGGGGGGGAGGACGGGGTATCAGCATCATAATAATAATAATAATCATGCTGTGGGGATGCTTTGCTGCAGGAGGGACTAGTGCACTTCATAAAATAGATGGCATCATGAGGAAGGAAAATGATGTGGATATATTGAAGCAACATCTCAAGACATCAGTCAGGAAGTTAAAGCTTGGTCGCAAATGGTCTTCCAAATGGACAATGACACCAAGCATACTTCCAAAGTTGTGGCAAAATGGCTTAAGGACAACAAAGTCAAGGTATTGGAGTGGCCATCACAAAGCCCTGACCTCAATCCTATAGAACATTTGTGGGCAGAACTGAAAAAGCATGTGCGAGCAAGGAGGCCTACAAACCTAACTCAGTTACACCAGCTCTGTCAGGAGGAATGGGCCAACATTCACCCAACTTATTGTGGGAAGCTTGGGGAAGGCTACCCGAAATGTTTGACCCATGTTAAACAATTTAACGGCAATGCTAACAAATACTACTTGAGTGTATGTAAACTTCTGATTAAATGTCAGGAATTGTGAAAAACTGAGTTTAAATGTATTTGGCTAAGGTAAACTTCCAACTTCAACTGTATCCACCTGTTCTGAAAGGCCCCAGAGTCTGCAACACCACTAAGCAAGGGGCACCACCAAGCAAGCGGCACCATGAAGACCAAGGAGCTCTCCAAACAGGTCAGGGACAAAGTTGTGGAGAAGTACAGATCAGGGTTGGGTTATAAAAAAATATCCGAAACTTTGAACATCCCACGGAGCACCATTAAATCCATTATAAAAATGGAAAGAATATGGCACCACAACAAACCTGCCAAGAGAGGGCCGCCCACCAAAACTCACGGACCAGGCAAGGAGGGCATTAATCAGAGGCAACAAAGACGCCAAAGATAACCCTGAAGGAGCTGCAAAGCTCCACAGCGGAGATTGGAATATCTGTCCATAGGACCACTTTAAGGACCACTTTAAGCCATACACTCCACAGAGCTGGACTTTACGGAAGAGTGGCCAGAAAAAAGCCATTGCTTAAAGAAAAAAAATAAGCAAACACGTTTGGTGTTCGCCAAAAGGCATGTGGGCGACTCCCCAAACATATGGAAGAAGGTACTCTGGTCAGATGAGACTAAAATTTAGCTTTTTGGCCATCAAGGAAAACGTTATGTCTGGCGCAAACCCAACCCCTCTCATCACCCCGAGAACACCATCCCCAAAGTGAAGCATGGTGGTGGCAGCATCATGCTGTGGGGATGTTTTTCATCGGCAGGGACTGGGAAACTGGTCAGAATTTAAGGAATGATGGATGGCGCTAAATACAGGGAAATTCTTGAGGGAAACCTGTTTCAGTCTTCCATAGATCTGAGACTGGGACGGAGGTTCACCTTCCAGCAGGACAATGACCCTAAGCATACTGCTTAAGTAACACTTGAGTGGTTTAAGGGGAAATATTTAAATGTCTTGGAATGACCTAGTCAAAGCCCAGATCTCAATCAAATTGAGAGTCTGTGGTATGACTTAAAGATTGCTGTACACCAGTGGAACCCATCCAACTTGAAGGAGCTGGAGCAGTTTTGCCTTGAAGAATGGGCAAACATCCCAGTGGCTAGATGTGCCAAGCTTATAGCGACATACCCCAAGAGACTTGTAGCTGTAATTGCTGCAAAAGGTGGCTAGTTATGCACGCTCAAGTTTTCTGTTTTTATGTCTTATTTGTTGTTTGTTTCATAATAAAAAATATTTTGTATCTTCAAAGTGGTAGGCATGTTGTGTAAATCAAATGATACAAACCCCCCAAAAATCCATCTTAATTCCAGGTTGTGAGGCAACAAAATAGGAAAAATGCCAAGGGGGGTGAATACTTTCGCAAGCCACTGTATCGTTAAAAAAAGTTTAATAGCCTTATGGTCTCGTCAAATACCTGTCATGTACCCCTATTACCATCTCTGTCATTATTGGGATCTGAACTTCTCTTCCTCCTCTTTCTTTCTCTTTTCTTTCTCTCTCTCTCCTCTCTTACTTCTCTCTCTTTCTCGCTCGCTTGCTCCCTGCCGGTGGCTGCTGTGGGCTATACCCTGTGATCCGGAGAGCAGTATTTAATAGTGAATGAACACAGCTCATGTGTTTGTATTCATTAATTCAACGGGGTGTAGCTTCTCACTTCTCACTCTGCTTTTAAGTGTGATGGATGAATAACTCCTATCATCCTCCCTCTGAATATATCCATGTTTTAAATCACAGGTACTCTGCTGAATACTGACGTGTATAATTCTGATGTGTATAATTCTCCCAACGTCTGTGGATCCTCTCCCTGCATTACTTTTCAAATAGGCGTTTTATATCTCAAGCAGAATAATCATAATCTCCTGGCTGGTTCCTCATTAGCATACAGCCTTGTTTGAAGCTGGCAGCTGTGAGAACAAGTAGCTTTGGCCATACGCCTGTGGAGAGATTGTGAAAATGTTCCACATTTGTAACAAAAATAATCAATTTCGGGCAATCTCAAAATGTAAGTTGTTTGAGTTGAAGTAGTGAGTTTAATGAGGTATTGAGTTGATTTGACATGCTAATGTGTCCGTGGTAATGGCATGTTCTATCTATCTCTCCATTTCACTTTCCCTGTCTTCTCAGTGTGACCAAGAGCACTGCATTCAGAACACCAAATTCGTTTTTCAGGCTGCCGCCACCCCCCTGCTCCACAGCGACCCCGTCATGATTGGTGGAGGGGGACCCCCTTTCCCTGGGAAGAGTTCCTTGGGGGTCCCCTGTGCCGCCTCCCTGGCCCCCAGCCAGCCCTCCCTGCCCTCCTCCATGCCCGGGCTGGGCTGTGCGGGGGACATGTTGTCTCTGAGGGACCCAGACACCCACTGCCACCACCACCACTTTCCCAGCCCTGAGGAGACTCCCTTGCCCCCTGGCCCTATGCCTCTGACTTTGCCCTGCGCCGCCCACAGGGGACACATGAACCCAGCCCAGCTCTACGACCCTGCCAGCCAGGACTCTCTGCACGAGGACTCTGTCAGGGGCCTGGTCAAACTCAGCTCTGTCTGAGACTGGGCCCCACTGCCATCTCCCCCTGGCTCTTTGGAACCACTACCCAGACTCTGTCAGCGTGCCAAATGGCACCCTATTCCCTATGTAATGCACTACTTTTGACCAGGGCCCATGGACTCTAGTAAAAAGTTGTGCCTCTTCCTCTCCCTCTCTCCTTCCCTCCACACTGCCGGCTCAGGACCAAAGCCATACTTCCCCTAACATTCCACCCCAGCCCTCCCTCCATCCCTCCATCCCACCCAGATTTGCACCCCCACCTGTTGAGATAAGCTATTCTAGTGCCAAACAGACAGACCCTCAGTCCTCACTACACCTGACCAGGACCAAATCACACTTCTGACTCCCACTTCCTCTTCACAGTAGTATAGCTAGTGCTCTACCAGGTGTCTACCAGGCCTGGATGCAGGTAAAGCCTTCTGCCAAATGCTCATGACTTGTGCTCTATTCTCCAATGACATGTAGAGGAAACTACCTACCTGGACCAGGCTGTGTCATTGTCTGAAAATGAGACTGACTCTCTCTCCTCTCTCTCAGCTAAACCTACCAAGGCAGTTGCCATTTGGGTTTGCTGACATCCAAAGACACACACAGCGTGACACTTCTCTGGTTCTTCAGGTCTGTTGATTAGCTGGAAAGACATGAATCAGGACTAAATACAGGACTTGTTTATAGTTTGCCATGTGGGTTGTGTGTCCTGAGTGGTGACACTCTTTTATACAGTAATAATGGACACAGCCAATCAGTGTTGTCCATGGCCACAGATGATGTCACTTCCTGTTTGAGATTGTGTTGACACTGTACGTGGTGATCGGTGGTGTTCATCAGTCCGTCCTGGTGTCTGTGTGACGCTAGTCGCATTGAATCTTTGTTTTGTTAAAATGTGATGCCAAAACATGGCGGCATCCCAAATGTCACACTCTATTTAGTGCATTACTTTTGACCAGGGCCTATGGGGCTCTGGCAAAAGTAGTGCACTAAATAGGGAATAGGGTGCCATTTGGGATGTAGATTAAATGTAATGTGATGATTGTGCCAAGAAATTCTCATTGACTTCCATCTTTATACATTAATGCCTGTGGATAATTAATAAATTCACATATGTTTATGTACAAGAGTGGATTTTATTTATTCAACCAGCCGGTGCGCAGTCACTTGGCAGAAATGCAACACAATACCCAATAGCCTTTTCAGTGAATACCCTTTGCAGACGGAAATTAGCTGCTAGCTAAATCTGGTACAACTGTTGACAAAATTCTGGTAGATTTCCCAAAATTCCCAGGTTTTCCAGAAGTCACAGTTGGAAGATTCCCAGAATCAGGAGGGAATATGCAGAAAATCCGGAAACCTCCAACCAGGATTTCTAGAAAACCTGGGAATTTAGGGAAAGTTACCGGCATTTTGCAACTGTAATCTGTTGACCAAACTTTATTTGGAGTAGACAATTCCATTCCAACAGCTTCTTCTGTACCATGCTACCAAGTGTATGACTATGTATCATGCTCTCTCACAAATGTATGACTGAATGCTTGCAGTTCAGGGCCGGCGCTAGCCTTTTGGGGGACCTAAGCGAGATTTGGTTGGGAGACCACTATAATTTTTTGTTTTAAAGTAAATTTCCTGCAATTCTACACATTTTGCCATGTTCTTTTGGAGTTTAATTTATTTGATCATTTAAAACAAGGTACACGTATAAAATTATGCACTTGATTAAGAATCATTGAGGATAAACACTAAAAAGTCTATGACCTTTCCATTGGGGAGTAGAGAAAATGGTGCAGTTTTAAAGTAATCGTTCTGCAATTCTACACATTTGCCATGGGTTGGAGAGAAAAGGTTTACAGTTTTACAACTAATTTCCTGCAATTCTACTCAATTTGCCATGGGGTGGAGATACATTTTAAAAGTAATTTCCTGCAATTCCCCTGGCGGCCAGGGGCCCTAAGCGATCGCTTATGTCACTTATGCCTGGAGCTGGCCCTGAGTCAGCTGATGGCAGTGACTGATATCTTATTTACAGTGTGTAGGTACTGTTAGGTCTACCTGGCTAAACCAGCTGTGAGGGATCTGCTGCTGTCTGGATAGTGAGATTATGTTGATGTGGATGCTATTTTTAGGGCTGATAGACTGTATACTGCTCTCTAGTGGATACACTGAGGACAGATTCACTTGCCCTCAGGTTTATCATCTGTACTGAAAGTACTGTAGCTTGGTCCCAGATCGGTTTGTGCTCTTGCCATTGCTCATTGTCAAGACAAACAGTGATTATGAGTTGGCATGATAGCACAAACAGACTGGCAATCAGTCTATACTTATCATTTTAAAAAATGTATAGGGCAATATGAATATAACATTCACAATCATGTTTGACAATTTATTTCAGGAACAAATATGTAATTCCATCAAACAGTGGAGGCGTGCATGGCTACGCAGTCATGGTTGAACAGGGAGTACAGGAGGGGGCTGAGCACACACCCTTGTGGGGCCCCAGTGTTGAGGATCAGTGATGTGGAGATGTTGTTTCCTACCTTCACCACACGGCCCGTCAGTAAGTCCAGGACCCAATTGCACAGGGCGGGGTTGAGACCCAGGGCCTCAAGCTTAATGATGAGCTTGGAGGGTACTATGGTGTTGAATGCTGAGCTATAGTCAATGAACAGCATTCTTACATAGGTATTCTTCTTGTCCAGATTGGATAGGGCAGTGTGCAAATTGAAGTGGGTCTAGGGTGACATAAGGTGGAGGTGACATGATCCTTGACTAGTCTCTCAAAGCACTTCATGATTACAGATGTGATTGCTACAGGGTGATAGTAATGTAGTTCAGAAACCTTTGCATTCTTGGGTACAGGAACAATGGTGACCATCTTGAAGCATGTGGGGACAGCAGACTGGTATAGGGAAATTGAATGTCCATAAACACACCAGCCAGCTGGTCTGCGCATGCTCTGAGGACGCGGCTAGGAATGCCGTCTGGGCCGGCAGCCTTGCGAGGGTTAACACGTTTAAATGTTTTACGTCAGCCACGGAGAAGGAGAGTCCACAGTTCTTGGTAGCTGGTCGCGTCGGGTGGCGCTGTGTTATCCTCAAAGCTGGCAAATAACTTGTTTAGTTTGTCTGGCAGCAAGACGTCGGTGACCGCGACGTGGCTGCTTTTCTTATTGTAGTCCGTGATTGTCTGTAAACCCTGCCACATACGTCTCGTGACTGAGCCGTTTAATTGCGACTCCACTTTGTCTCGATATTGACGTTTTGTCTGTTTAATTCCCTTGCGGAGGGAAAGACCACTTTGTGAAGTAAATTAGGTGATAAAGTATGTGAAAAGGAGACTGGAGTGCGACTTTTAATTTGTTAGTTTATTATGGTCATACATCTTTATATACACTTGAGTCATTTCCTATGGCAAAGCTTGTGGGCTTTTGCTTACAGTTGTTCTTGGTTAATATTCAAAAATAACTTCAGTTTTGGGAACAGAAATTACTCAACACACAGGTGGCATAAGCACAAAATCCACCTTTAAAATGATAGATCAGGTATATTTGTGTGGAAACTTGCATAGGAAAGAGCTCCCTGATAATTTAATATTTGCGCAGATATTGCTTATAGCAGACCTGCACTCTGGAAATAGGTATGTAATGTGTATGATCAATTCCCTGATCTAATACCTTTGTTACATAGTGGTTAAGTTGCTATATAAGCCGTGGTTACGTTGCTATATAAACCGTGGTTAAGTTACTATATAAGCCATGGTTAAGTTGCTATATAAGCCATTGTCATTTCAGCCACAGTTCCCAGTATATCGTATACATAAAATAAACCTTTTTGGTTAGCAAAGGTAAACAAGAATGTAATTCAAAACCCCTCCTGGAAGACGTACAGAATTACCTAACCATACAAGCTCACTCTTGTACTACATAGTATTTTCTATATTATAAACTGGGTGGTTCGAGCCCTGAATGCTGATTGGCTGATAGCCGTGGTATATCAGACTGTATACCACAGGTATGACAAAACATTTATTTTTACTGCTCTAATTATGTTGGTAACCAGTTTATAATAGCAATAAGGCACCTCAGGGGTTTGTGATATATGGCCAGTATACCATGGCTAAGGGCTGTGTCCAGGCACTCTGCGTTGCGTCGTGCTTAAGAACAGCCCTTAGCCATGGTATATTGGCCATATACCACACCCCCTCGGGCCTTATTGCTGAAACATATCACATGATGTGATATTAGATTGGAGTAGTGCAACAGCTTAGAGCTATATTAAATTAGATAAGCTTTCATCCATTTTTTATGCCCATGGCATAACATATTTAGCCGTAGAGTCTAGTAAATTAGATAACCAGCTAATAGGAATGCTTTCACATTCCAGGGGTGAAAGGTTAAACGGCTCCAGCACACGCTTAAATAACAAGCATTAATAGAGGAAAGTACTGCTATTCTGATGCATTAGGATGAAAATGAATATTACAAAACTGATCATAGCATCACTATCGCCCTGCCCTTGTTGCTTCAAATTAATAAAAGGCGTTTGTGTCTACCTACCCGTTTGTGTCTACCTACCCATACCTGCTTCAACAGATAATTTGCTAATTACATTCAACCTGCCCCAAAATGAATTGACATGTTGTCAGACACTTGATTAGTAGTCCATTAATGTACTGAGAGTCCCAAATTAAAACCAAACATATGCACATAGGAGGAATATCAAGGACGCAATGGGTAGAGGACATGCAGTGGCAGATGCTTTTCAACGAAGCTGTATGAGACCCTGGCTGAGGAGGCTATGGGTCCTCATTCTCCATGCTTCTCCCAAAATGTGCACTTGCACACTTTCTTGCATGGCTTTTACAATGGTGGATACTTCCTCCAGCCAATGCTTACACCAATCCTATGCTTTAAATCCATGACGGGAGTGTGCAAGGTCTGCTACTGCTACTACATTTCTGGAAAAGGGTTGTGAATCGTGACGTAGCCAGAGTTGGAGGTCATTCTAAGGGTGACTGGGGTCAGATCTTAGAGGTCAGATCTTGGAGGTCAGGAGTGTGTCCCAACAATATCTCCTTAAACGCATTGGATTGATGAAGGCATAGGCTAGCTAGAGGAAGTTAACCACCATATTTCTCATACCGGTCATTTCCTTTCAAATCAGTGAAGGAATGTGAACAAGTGCACACTTTGGGAGGAAGGAGAGACAATTGGGACATAAGACCGATTTTTGGAGGTCAGGGGTCACCACAGCTTGATATCCAGCAGCTGCAGGTCTCCCAGGATCTCCAGCTCGGTAATACGGCTCAGGTCCTGGACACGGTGCTTATAGTCCAGATGGTGGACCCCGTTCACCGCTACCTTGAACTGGTTGGCCTCACACAGGATGATCATCTAGAACGAGCAACACACGGGAGAGGATATGAGGGGTAGAATCAGATGAAGTATTCAGACGTGGTCTTGCATCAGGCGGCATCACTCCTCCATAATGGAATGAAAGTCATGCTATCTGACATAAGACAATGCGATTCAGAATGATTCAGTGTAATGCTGTATCTTTCCATTGTTGGGCCTTGCTGTGAATTAATGCAGATACTGGCATTTCAAACTGAACTTTTCGGTCTTAAGACTATTGATATGACATTTTTATTATGTATTTTTTTTACCCCCTTTTCGTCATATCCAATTGGTAGTTACAGTCTTGTCCCATCGCTGCAACTCCCGTACGGACTCGGGAGAGGCGAAGGTCGAGAGCCATGCGTCCTCTGAAACACAACCCCGCCAAGCCACACTGCTTCTTGACACAATTCACGCTTAACCCGGAAGCCAGCCGCACCAATGTGTCGGAGGAAACACTGTACACCTGGCGACCGTGTCAGCGTGCATGCGCCCGGCCCGCCACAGGAGTCGCTACAGCACGATGGGACAAGGACATCCCGGCCGGCCAAACCCTCCCCTAACCCGGATGACGCTGGGCCAATTGTGTGTCGCCTCATGGGTCTCCCGGCTGCGACACAGACCGGTACCAGGATCTGTAGTAACGCAGCTTGCACTGCCTTAGACCGCTGCGCCACTCGGGAGGCCAGCTATTTTTATGAAAGCAACCCTGAAGTGGTACTGATAGTTCCCAGACATTTCAGGTGAATCCAGGGTCGTATTCACTAGACACCAAACGGAAGAAAATGGACGGAAACAGAGAGGGACTACCTGAACTTGACCAATAAGAAACTTGCTAAATGTTTTCTGTTGCCCAACGTTTTGCTAATGAATACACTCCAGTGGAGTACAGAGGGAGAGGGGGGGGTGGGTTACCTCAAAGTACTCCCCAGGGGAGAAGGGGAAGCTGGGCAGGGTGTTCTCCTCGGGGCCCCAGCACTCGGACAGGTAGGAGTTACGGATGAACACACCGGCCTTCATACGGGGGTTCAGGTGGAACGCTATGTCCTCCGTGTTACCGACTCTCAGGTTCACCAAGAAGCTACAAGTTAAATTCAAAAGTACATTTAACAGTGAACGACAAAACACTGCATTTCATCAATGTTATTGAACTGTTGCTACATTTCAGAGAATTTGTGGATAAAGAATGGTGTGGAATTTGAACAGAGTAATGTGAATTCTATTTTATATATTTGGACAATCCTTTCATGTCCCCTAGCCTGCTACATACATACCTGTGTGGGTACAGGCTGGTCTGTCCTTTGATTGTGATAGTATGTCCTACACTCAACCCATTGGTCAGTTTGCCCCTGAAGGGCAGACTCTGCAAAAAAATATCTCAAATTACTTCTGTCAGCAGGCCACACAAATAAAAAGCAGTTCATATGTCAGACGAGGAAAGTATTCAAATGGTGCATCACAAAACAGACTTGGTATAGAGTAACGTATTGAGCCTTAGCTAGTACCAGAGCGTTGTATTGCAAATATAAGGCTCTAGGTAGTACAGTACATGGCACCAAATCTTCCAGGCTCTGATGACCATGACGTTGTGGAAAATTACATGTACATCAAAGTCCTTATTAGGATATTTGTCCATGTGTGTAATAGGTGATTCAATAAGATAATTTCCAAAGGCCCAGCTGTTGTGGCACCAGGGTGTTGAATTTGATTTGAAAAAAATAAATAATGTTTTGCCAATTTCATTCTAATCAAATGTGTGATGTATTACATTGGCAGCACAGCTGCTTCATATTACAATCATTTAATATATTTTGTAATAACAACTTACCAAGTCATCTGACATTGAAAGCACTGCCTGTCAGAAAGAAAGTAGATATTTTGCTTTTATTACAGAGATTATTTTTTTGCTCACATTACAGAGAAAGCATACTTTACTTGAATGTAATGTTATACGTATTGGATTAAACAGTCCATGCAGTGTGTTAAACAATCCCATCGCTTGGAGTCAAAAAGGCTCCCCTCCAAAAGCACCACAACCGTGTTAGCAGTCTTAGCAACAATAGATTTCCCTTTATTTCATGTTGAAAAAGCAACTTCCTTACATTGGCTAGTGGGCCTCTGTTGTTCACAACACCAGGTGGAGGTGGACCGGAGTTCTGCAATTTGAAGTGACAAAACAAAACTTCTACCACCCATGGGTCACATCATCACAACAGGTCAAACTGATGTTCGGAACTTAAATCTCCATCAAAGGCATGCAAGTCTTCTGTAGAATTCAACTTGAGGTGCATAACATTTGGCTATAGGCCTTGAAAGCATAAAGCCAGTTAGGCTATAGCTAGATTATATAAAATATTTCATACCATCTGACAAATAACAATGAAGTTAGGATGAGTTACTTACAGAGCTGGGGATGAAGCCGATGGCCTGAATCTGGACCTTTCCAGATATGGCCAGTGTGTCCACCTTATCCAGGTCCAGTCTGTGTTTATACTGCAGTACATGAGCACCGTTCACTGCCACCTAGAGAGAAGAGATAACACTGAGACAAACAGTTTGAGAATCCTCTAAAGCAGAGGTGTCAAACTCATTCCATGGAGGGTCTAGTGTCTGTGGGTTTTTGTTTTGTCCTTTCAATTAAGACCTAGACAACCAGGTGAGGGGAGTTGTTTACTATACTGAACAAAAATATAAACGCAACATGTAAAATGTTGGTCCCATGTTTCATGAGCTGAAATAAAAGATCCCAGACATTTTCCATACGCACAAAAAGCTTATTTCTCTCAAATCGTGTGCACAAATTTGTTTTCATCCCTGTTAGTGAGTATTTCTCCTTTGCCAAGATAATCCATCCACCTGACAGGTGTGGCATATCAAGAAGCTGATTAAACAGCATGATCAATACACAGGTGCACCTTGTGCTGCGGACAATAAAAGGCCACTAAAATGTGCCGTTCTGTCACACAACGTCTCAAGTTTTGAGGGACCGTGCAATTGACATGCTGACTGCAGGAATGTCCAACAGAGCTGTTGCCAGATAATTTTATGTTAATTTCTCTGACATGCCGCCTCCAATGTCCTTTTTGAGAATTTAGCAGTACATCTAACTGGCCTCACAACCGCAGACCACATGTAACCATGTCAGCCCAGGACTTCCACATCTGCCTTTTTCACGTGTGGGATCGTCTTATGGAGAGGTGGTTCTGAGGATTATTTCTGTCTGTAATAAAACCATTTTGTGGAGAAAAACTCATTTTTATTGGCTGGGCCTGGCTCCCTAGTGGGTGGGCCTATGCCCTCCCAGGCCCACCCATGGCTGCGCCCCTGCCCAGTTATGTAAAATCAACAGATTAGGGCCCAATTTATTTATTAAAATTGACTGATTTCCTTCTATGAACTGTAACTCAGTAAAATCTTTGAAATGGTTGCGTTTATATTTTTGTTCAGTATAATTAGTGACCTTAATTAATCAATCAAATACAAGGGAGGATCGAAAACCCGCAGACACTCGGCCCTCCGTGGAATACATTTGGCACGTGCTCTAAAGGCTTCCATAGCCTCTCTGCTCCAACATAAGTAACAAGTAACAAGCTGATTCCTAAGAGGAGCAGCAAGATGGCTAGTTAGCTTGCCAGGCTCGTATTCACTAGGCAAATGGAAGAAAACAGACTGAAAAAGGGAGGGACTAGGACTTCCACACCTTGTCCAATGAGAAACACTTGTTTTAGTTTTCCAATGCAAAACGTTTTGCTACATTTTGCTAAGGTGTGCTTTGCACTATGAATATGCCCTAGAAGAGCCAGCTCTGTTGCTCGGTTATCTACATGGAGGATATTTCCAGATCTGATATAGAAACCCTAAAAGCTCGTACAATGTGGTAAAAAGCCACAAATAAACTCTCAGTGATATACAATGCATTCGGAAAGTATTCAGACCCATTGACTTATTCCACATTTTGTTACGTTACAGCCTTATTCTAAAATGGATTCAATTGTTTTTTCCCCTCATCAATCTACAGTCGTGGTCAAAAGTTTTGAGAATGACACAAATATTAATTTTCACTAAGTCTGCTGCCTCAGTTTTTATGATGGCAATTTGCATATACTCCAGAATGTCATGAAGAGTGAACAGATGAATTGCAATTAATTGCAAAGTCCCTCTTTGCCATGAAAATGAACTTAATCCCCAAAAAACATTTCCACTGCATTTCAGCCCTGCCACAAAAGGACCAGCTGAATCATGTCAGTGATTCTCTCGTTAACACAGGTGAGAGTGTTGACGAGGACAAGGCTGGAGATCACTCTGTCATGCTGATTGAGTTAGAATTACAGACTGGAAGCTTTAAAAAGGAGGGTGGTGCTTGAAATCATTGTTCTTCCTCTGGTTACCTGCAAGGAAACATGTGCTTTGCACAAAAAGGGCTTCACAGGCAAGGATATTGCTGCTAGTAAGATTGCACCTAAATCAACCATTTATCGGATCATCAAGAACTTCAAGGAGAGAGGTTCAATTGTTGTGAAGAAGGCTTCAGGGCGCCCAAGAAAGTCCAGCAAGCGCCAGGACCGTCTCCTAAAGTTGATTCAGCTGTGGGATCGGAGCACCACCAGTGCAGAGCTTGCTCAGGAATGGCAGCAGGTAGGTGTGAGTGCATCTGCACGCACAGTGAGGCGAAGACTTTTGGAGGATGGCCTGGTGTCAAGAAGGGCAGCGAGGAAGCCACTTCTCTCCAGGAAAAACATCAGGGACAGACTGATATTCTGCAAAAGGTACAGGGATTGGACTGCTGAGGACAGGGGTAAAGTCATTTTCTCTGATGAATCCCCTTTCCGATTGTTTGGGGCATTCGGAAAAAAGCTTGTCCGGAGAAGACAAGGTGAGCGCTACCATCAGTCCTGTCATGCCAACAGTAAAGCATCCTGAGACCATTCAAGTGTGGGGTTGCTTCTCAGCCAAGGGAGTGGGCTCACTCACAATTTTGCCTAAGAACACAGCCATGAATAAAGAATGGTACCAACACATCCTCCGAGAGCAACTTCTCCCAACCATCCAAGAACAGTTTGGTGATGAACAATGCCTTTTCCAGCATGATGGAGCACCTTGCCATAAGGCAAAAGTGATAACTAAGTGGCTCGGGGAACAAAACATTGACATTTTGGGTCCATGGCCAGGAAACTCCCCAGACTTTAATCCCATTGAGAACTTGTGGTCAATCCTCAAGAGGCAGGTGGACAAACAAAAACCCACAAATTCTGACAAACTCCAAGCATTGATTATTATTATTGATGTTATTATGAATGGGCTGCCATCAGTCAGGATGTGGCCCAGAAGTTAATTGTCAGCATGCCAGGGCGGATTGCAGAGATCTTGAAAAATAAGTATTTTTAATGTAATTGCATAAACTTAATGTAATTGTCAATAAAAGCCTTTGACACTTATGGAATGCTTGTAATTATACTTCAGTATACCATAGTAACATCTGACAAAAATATCTAAAAACACTGAAGCAGCTAACTTTGAAGACCAATACTTGTGTCATTCTCAAAACTTTTGACCACGACTGTACACACAATACCCCATAATGACAAAGCAAAAACGTATGGCTTCCATCTGGCCACTCTACCATAAAGGCCTTATTGATGGAGTGCTGCAGAGATGGTTGTCCTTCTGGAAGGTTCTATCTCCACAGAGGAACTCTGGAGCTCTGTAAGAGTGACCATCGGGTTCTTGGTCACCTTCCTGACCAAGGCCTTTCTCCCCTGATTGCTCAGTTTGGCTGGGCGGCCAGCTCTAGGAAGAGTCTTGCTGGTTCCAAACTTCTTCCATTTAAGAATGATGGAGACCACTGTGTTCTTGGGGACCTTCAATGCTGCAGAAATGTTTTGGTACCCTTCCCCAGATCTGTGCCTCGACACAATCCTGCCTTGGAGCTCTACGGACAATTCCTTCAACCTCATGGCTTGGTTTTTGCTCTGACATGTACTGTCAACTGTGGGACCTTATATAGACAGGTGTGTGCCTTTCCAAATCATGTCCAATCAATTGAATTTACCACAGGTGGACTCCAATCAAGTTGTAGAAACATCTCAAGGATGATCAATGGAAACAGGATGCACCTGTGCTCAATTTTGAGTTTCATAGCAAAGGGTCTGAATACTTATGTAAATAAGGTATTTCTGTTTTTAATTTTTAACATATTTGCAAACATTTTTAAAAACCTGTTTTCGCTTTGTCATTATGGGGTAGTGTGTGTAGATTGATGAAGAAAAAAAATTATTTAATCCATTTTAGAATAAGGCTGTAACGTAACAAAATGTGGAAAAAGGGAAGGGGTCTGAATACTTTCCGAATGCACTGTATTTGGCTTTTACCTCAGAAGAACATAAGAAACCTTCTGAAGCCAACCTCAACCACTGAGGGAAGTGAAAAATATATTACACTGAATTATTAACACGGCATGCGGCAAAACTGACTTAGCACTTTCCCCATGCTTAATATACAACCACCTGACTGAACCGTGACACAAAAAACAAGGAAATGAAAGTGAATCTTTGAGTCACAGGATGTGTCCCAAATGTCACCCTATTCCCTATATAGTGAACTAGTTTTGATTAGGGCACTATGAACTCTTATGACTGTAAGTCGCTTTGGATAAAAGCGTCTGCTAAATGGCATATTATTATTATTGTCAAAAGTAGTGCACTAAATAGGGACTAGGGTGCCATTTGGGATGTAAACACAGGCTTTTGCCTGAGACAGGGGAGGGAAGTGATAGAGGAAAACTTTTATTTCAAGCGCATTCCTTTCTCTACATTAAATGTATCAGTGTGTTGCATGTTGGAAACTCTCTCAAAAAGGCCAAAAAGTACCTAAACCTATTCCCACAAAACCACGAGCCAGTCTTTTCAATTAACCATATTGTTATGAATAATTATGGACCTGAACATTGGTCCAGGACAAAGGCTATATAGATCAGGGGAATCTGGGGCTGTATGTATCAAGCATCTCAGAGTAGGAGTGCTGATCTAGGAGCAGGTCCCCATAGTCCATTTAATCTTATTAATTGTGATTAGTAATACGCAAAACGGATCCTAGATCAGCACCGCTACTATGAGACGCTTTACGAGTATGGGCTTAAAGGCATCGATCTGATCGCTAGTCATCCTCACCTTAAACTCGTCTTTCTGCACCAGGACGATCATCTCAAAGGTTGACCCCAGTGTGAAGGCCTTCTTATGCAGGATCTCCTCCTTGCCCCAGCTCTCTCTCTGCAGTGTGTTGCACACGATGCAGGGAGATCTCTTAAAGCGAGGGTTGAAGTGGAAGGCTATGTCCGCTCTGGGCTTTGTGCTGTTCCCACAGGTGAAGTCCACCTGAAACCTGGACACGCACACAGCTGTAGTTTGCTATAAGCTACCTCTTCATCAACTTCCATCAAATTTTCTGAACTGTGAATCCTCTTTCATATGACTGCATGACTAGAGACATGTGACAGTAATGTGATGTCATTCTTGAGACGTGTGTGTAGTGTATCCTTAATCAACCCCATACCTCTCACAATCACTGGGAACAGTGCCTTGAATGAGCACCATCTCCCCAGGCTGTAAACCTCCCAGGATTGTCCCAGCAAAGGGAATGGTCTGTGAGTGGAGTAGAAGGTGTTGATTGATACCCAACTAGTCAGGCTAGGTTGTTGTTTGAATGCATAAGATATGAGTGTTTCAGTTTAACATAAATTATGAGATATTCTACTAAAGTGCAATTATGACCTGATGCTGCGTTCAAGACATGGAAACTCTGAACCTCCGAGTTAAAATCGGCGCACGTTTTTTTTTTTTTTGCATAGAGCTTCCTATTGTTTGATTCTGATACTTTCAAGTGGAACACTGAGCTCATCATTCTACAACGCGTTTCCAAGTCGGACATTTCCCAGTTGTCTTGAACGCGGCATGAGCTCGCGAAACTAGTTTCTGCTGTCAAAAACGTTGCACGCACGCGCCTGGCCTACATTGACACTTCAGAAAGGTACAGTACTTGAGGGACTGTTCGTGTACCAAACCATGTTTTTCAGCTTCCTATCAACCTGGTAAATGATAGAAGAGGCATCGCTGTATAACTAACGTTAGCTGTTAGCTAGGCAACTGACAGCTGAATTCAATATTATCTCGCTTTAGTTCATGTATGAGCAAGTATGATTCGCAACAAAACAAATAAGCATCTCACCGGATTCAGAACAGTTTGTTTCGGGTTCGTGATCGACATAGTTGACGGGTTCAGAAGAAAGCGTTAAAATGGGCGCAAGAATGCGAACGTCCCGAGCTTTTCATTAACCGTCCGGTTACTTCCTCATACGATGTAAAACAAACGTCTCTCAACCAATGAAATTCAAAGGCCCGCCTTCGCTATGTGACAGCTGGAATCGAGGCACTGACGGCCTCAGCCTTCAAAGCGGTTTTCAGATTGTGCTTTTCATGACATTTTGTTAATTGCAGCACAATTTTGGGGGGGTATTAGTGCGTTTGTATTTATAGACGTGTTGGTTGTTTAACCACAACCGACGCGCGCGCAAGCACTGGCCAAAACATGAGATTGGACATGTAAGCTATATTTCGTCGCCAATGTAAGCCAATGTGAATTGAAAACAAACACATTTGCACAATGGCCCCTTTTGTCTCCAATACATCGTTACAGTTCGTTAGCTAATTTTAGCATTAACATGAAATCAGTCAAAACAAGAGATTATTAATAAGATGAACCGAGCTGAAAGGAGCCATTTACGATTACCTACATGGACATTTGTCATTCTTGCTAGCAACCTGGCCATCCAGAATCGAAACTTCTGCCCCATGGAAGCGCGCAGCTTTCGTGACGTTTTCAACCAACCCAGCCATTGTACGATTTGTTTAAACTAAATGTTGAATACTGTTTGTTAGTAGCCTACTTTAACTGCTCAATTTCTGCCTCAAATTTGGTGTAATCCCAGTGTTCCTTGTCAGTCCTTTTGTCACCTTAAATGCCAGTGGCTGAAAAAGTACCTAATCGTCATACTTCATTAAAAGTAAAATAAACCTTAATAGGAAATGACTCCGGTAAATGCGTCAGCCAGAAAAATACTTCCGAGTAAAAGTGTGTTTTAAACGTAGTGGTGCAAAAAGTTCTCAAATGCCTTACAGTAAAAGTAACAAAAGGAATGCTATACATCATATTCCAACCCAGACTGCACGATTGTTTTGAGGACAGCCAGGGGCACACTCCAATATAATTTCAAAAATACAGTTGCTTAACGAGTCCGCCAGATCAAAGGGAGTAGGGATGACAACGCGTTCTATTGATGGGTGTGGAATTGGGCCACATTGTCTGCTAAATGACTAAAATGTCAATATTGCGCTCCTGCCTGAGCCTTCGAAATGTAGTGGTTACTTTTGGGTAAGGGAAAATTTAAAAGTATATTTTCCTGTAGGAATGTAGTAGAGTACAAGTTACTGAAGTACAGATATCCCCAAAAAACGACTTAAGTTTATTTACACACCATTGAAATTATATTCTTATTAGCTACTCCAAATGAACGCAAATGCAATTACAGGGGTCAGCTTAATTTAACTTTAATTCCAAGAGTTGAATCTTTAGCATTCCCATCTGTAACCATAAGTAGGCAGTAACTAACAGGAGAAAACACTGGGCAAAAATTATTAAAAATTGCTACTGCATGTTGAATTTTTATATTTTATTACAAAACAGAAACCCAGATAAAAACAATTTAAAAAAGCTACTATACAAATAAGTCATAAAACCAGAGTTGTACTGCAGATAGGGTGGGTTGTGAATGGTAATGTGCATTTGATGTCTGTGGCCCCAACAATTAAGACTTAGTGTGTGTCCCAAATCGCACACTACTTTTGACCAGGGCCCATGGGGGCTCTGGTCAAAAGCAGTGCACTATATAGTGAGCCATTTGAGAAGCATCCTTAGAAATGGATGATGGGAGCTAAAGTGAGGTAGTCCAGTGGCATGTAGCCTGGCCCGTGTCCTCTTCAAGTGTTGAAAGTGTCAATGTCTCAAGAGCTTAGCAGTGCTTTAGAAGTCAGCATCCAGCCGGAAGGAGTTGTCTGTGGTGCCAGACATCACACCCATCCTCTGGTACTCCCCTACTCGCTTCTCAAAGAAGTTAGTCTTACCCTCCAGTGAGATGTTCTCCATGAAGTCAAATGGATTCTCCACTCTGTAGATCTAGAATGTAAGAGTTAGAGGAAAGTTTGTCTCTGCTTGTTAAATGCTTCCGTTTGAGGCAAACCCAATTTAAAAAACTGTACATTGACATTTAGCATAGTTTTCCAGACTTACAGTAGAGAGTGCCTACATTTTAAAATGTTGATGCGTTTACTATAGCTTTACAGGCAAGAGACGCAGTCAGGCGTCTATATCGTGTTGGCACCCCAAGTCAGCAGACCACATGCCCACTGAGCTGAGCACTAGCACCAACACTCAGCTCCCATTATCAGCTGAGGTACGTACCCCTGCGCTTCTCATCATTGCTAGCCCATTTCAGATTTAACTTACAATCAAATTGCATGGACCCATGGAAAGTTACAACTAAAACATGGTTTGATTGGATTTAATCCCTTCTCCATATCAAAAGGACACATTTGTCACGAGGAAAGATTATCAATGGGTTTGGCTCAACTCAGTCCTCTCCTCCCTCCTATTGAGAAAGGGTAAAGATAATTGAGGAGAGTAAACAAATGTGCTTGTATGACATAAGCCTCCTTTTCCACTCACGTGTCAGGCAAATTACATTTACAGGGGTGGAATCCCAAAATAGGTCTGTAAAGTTAAAAAACTAATTTAGCTAGTTGTGCTAGACATTTTATAGATAAAAGGATAAGTAGTGTAGTTTTTAAATATGTGCACGCTTTCCAGCAGATTCAAAGGGGGTGTGGCAGATCTCAAAACTCTGCTGCGAAGGATTCCGGCAGGATATTTGAGTTTCCTCGGCGAGAGGAGGACACTCCTCCGTTCGCATACTATCTAATTGACATTCCTCAGACACTCAAAACCACTTATCGGTTTCCAGGTCACGGAGGAGAGGACGTCTTTTGCCCAAATCTCCCAAAATGTGCTTCCAAAATGGCACCCCATTCCCTATATAGTGCACTACATAGGGAATAGGTACCAAGCCATGGACCATAATCTCACCTTGTCAAAGCCCAGCTCCAGCATTAGCCTGTCAGCCACAAACTCAATGTACTGAGTCATCAAGTCACAGTTCATACCAATCAGCTTTACAGGCAGGGCTTTTGTCAGGAACTCCTGAAATGTGAACAAAAATGAATTAGATTTATACAAAACTTAAGATTTTCCTGTGTTTTATATACACTTCCACACTGGAATAACTGACAAATGACCTTTTAGTGTAAAAGTCGTTTTAAAAGACTGCCTGAAATTTCAGCTGTTTTGGTGGAATGGATTGGTGATTTAACCAGGCAGTAAATTAGTTACACCAATAAGACAAAACCTCTGCCAACAGCTAGTTTTCCCTCAGACCACTCCCAGCCAAATGTTTGCTTGAGAAATTGCTGTTTGCTAAGAAGTCATGTTTCTTTGCCATTTTAATTGAAAACAATCACAGTAAGGTACTTAATTGTTACCCAGAAATGACTTAGAGGAAAAACTGCTGCATTGGACTTTTAATCTAGGTCAGGGAAACATGCCCTTATTGTTTAATCAACATACCTGCTCAATCTCCACTGCGTTCCTGATCAGATTGGTGACAGTCTCCTTTGAGGGCTTATTCACCAGGTGCTTGAACATGAGGCAGGCGAAGTCACAGTGCAGGCCCTGGATTTATATGGAACTAGTTAGTAAGATAATGCCAAGTAGTCATGAAGAATGTTGCTTTTTCAGTTAAACAAGCACATGAACGGTATCACAACGTCATGCCGTTTTGTAACCAAATACAGTTGTAATGACATAACTTCAATCAGGTTTGCCTGCTGGGATCATAGGTATAGAGGAGTCAAATCAACATAGTGAAAACAAACACCCACCTCGTCTCTGCTGATGAGCTCGTTGGAGAAGGTCAGGCCAGGCATGAGCCCCCTCTTCTTCAGCCAGAAAATGGCAGCAAAGGATCCAGAGAAGAAGATCCCCTCAACAGCAGCAAAGGCAACCACACGCTCACCTGAAATACAAACACAGCCCATTACAAACTTACAATCACAACCCAATCATGTGCAGGTTGTTAGGAAAAATACATGTATATACCAAATTCAGCGCTTTTGTTGCCGATCCAGTTCAGGGCCCAATCAGCCTTCCTCTTCACACAGGGGAGGGTTTCAATGGCATTGAAGAGGTAGTCCCTGTATGACAAAGAAAAGTACATTAGGCACATTCTCACAAAAAGTTGAGGGCTGCACTATAAAATGCTTAGACCTTTTAAAAAGTGCAATATGTAGAAATCACTCTGTCATTTCCTGGTTGCTAAAATGCTATGTTCTACTAATTGCAGCTTATGTGACAAAACATGCAATGTATAGTTTAGAGAATCATTGTACCATCTAAACCGCTGTGAAATCTTTTCAATAACCAAACATTTTATTTTCAGCTTTTTGAAGCTGGTGTACAAAACCAAAAGTGAAATATTCAAAAACGTAACTTAACGGGAAGCATAGAAATAGATCACATAGTACAGATCTACTGCTTATTAGACTTGATTTAAATTAGAAATCCAGATCTATAACTCATATTTCTATGCAAATTAGGTCAGCCAAAAAGTTACATGTTGCGCATTGGTGGATTATATTTTACTATCATGAGGTTCAGTCAGGCGTCTATATCAGGTTAGCATCCCCCAGTCAGCAAAGAACCAGCACCAACACTCAGCTCCCATTATCAGCGGAGGTACGTACCCCTGCGCTTCTCATCATTGCCAGAAAATACAAAAAGGTGGGTAATCACTTTGCTAGATATGGGTGATTTCCCTGCACTACCAACTAAGAGCTTGACTGACAGTCTGACCTCTCTTTGGGGTCTTTGATGTAGGTGTCAATGAGCAGGCTGTACATCTCAGAGTGGATGTTCTCCATGGCAATCTGGAAACCATAGAAACATCTTGCTTCTGTCACCTGGACTTCCTGTGTAAAGCGCTCCACCTAGTAGCGAAATATGAAATTAGATCAGTGATTTCTTGACAGTGTGCATCGTTAAATATTGATTGTTGTATTGTATACACAAGAGCAATTTACCAGGTTCTCATTGACAATTCCGTCGCTAGCAGCGAAGAAAGCCAGTATGTGAGAGATGAAGTATCTCTCCTCGTCCTTCAGAGACTCCCAGTGCTGTGTGTCTTTGGACAGATCAACCTGGAAAACAAAATAATGATAAAAAGCTCATGAACCAGCTCATGTATCATTTACTTACGCAAACACCACTGTAATGATGCAGCAACTTGGACATACCTCCTCTGCGGTCCAGAAAGAAGCTTCTGCCTTCTTGTACATCTGCCAGATGTCATGATACTTGATGGGGAAAATTACAAACCGGCGTGGATTTTCCTTCAGGAGTGGCTCTTCTTCAGTGTTGAATTTCTTGGCATCTTTGGACTTTACCAGAAAGTTACCAAAATACACATTGTTTTATTCTATCATTACTAGTCAAATGTTGCAGAGGTATAATAGCATATTCCTCAATGGTTAGACTATTCAAAGGTGCATAGAATTGAAGGGGAAATACATGCATGTAATAAGAAAACAAGGCATACCAGTTTATGTAGAATGTCAAGGTTCTCTACAGCCCAACGTTAGATGGTTGAGCTATACTATGTATCATTAACTTGCTAGCAGTAGCTAGTGTGTCCAAGACAAAGGCTTTCGTGACATGACTGGAATGGAAGGCTAGTTACTAGCCTTATGAAAACACTTGAGTAGCCAGTTTGTGTAACTAACCATTCAAACAAATGCTTGCCTTACTTGAGTTACTCGCCAACTACCATAAACCTCACATATAACATTATGCGACATGATTTGATGACTCGCCAGCTAGTTAGCATGGCCAACACTATTAGCGCCAAATAACCACGTTCTAGCAAATTACCAGGTTAACGTTAATTACGCCAATCATCAAGCTGCAAAATGGTCACTGTGTATAAACTGACCATTTCTAGTAAAAGTAGCCATTGTTCACTCACCTCAGAATCGTCAAAGATTTTGCGCGCGGTTTTCGAGGCCAGAATCCGGGTCATGTTCAGGCTGGGAGGCTGCATTTGGAGAAATTACACGGTTTTATTTGACAAATTAGGTACTTAAATAACTAACTGGCTTGCTTACTTTACATTCAATTGAATAATGTGCTGGACAGAAAGGCAGACGTGACAACTAGCTAGGCAACGTTAGCTGCTATTACATCGTAAACCAGTTGAGGTGACCGTTTGCCTGACCACTTTAGATCAACCACCGACATCAAAAATAACTAGATAAAAGTTAGCCCACGTCCCAATTTCAAACTTACCGTGTTTTCCTTGTCAACGAGTGAAATGTTGTCCATTTGAGTGGCGATAGCGTTTTCATTCTTCTTGTCGAGTGGTGAGCGAGTTGCAAGCATCTTTAATGACAGACGAATTATACAACAGAATAAATTAAAGTTAAACGTCAGTAAAATTGCAAGGAAATAAGAAAGGAAAAATAAATATATTCACAACTATCTGCAGTACAACTTGATTTCGCTGACTAGATCAACGTAACAACTAAACGCAAAAGACTCGAGTTCCCCCTATTTATTGAAATTCTGGCGGTCGATTCCAAGCAGCCAATAGAAACAAAGATTTTGTTGGCATTTACATTTCTGGGTGGGTGAAGCCAATCAGATTGCACATCTCTCACATGTGTAATTCCAAAAATTGCGGGAAATTTCAAAACCGCCATATAAAATCCGAAGAAGAAGAACAGCAACACCGCCACCACGGTTGATAGTGTTACAAAACCGGGAAAGGAAGAAATTACAAAATGTCAGGAAAGGCGCGCTAATGTGAGACAATAGCGCTAAGCCATTAGTTATAAATATATTTGACTATACTATGTTTTTAAAACGTTGAATTACAAAATAGAATGTCATAGATAAAGTTAGAAATGTGTAGAAAAATGCAACGACGAACAGCAAGTTGGATGGCTGGCTAGTGTGGCTAACTAACTAACAAGATTCGACAGTGTAACATTTAACTGCAGTCAACATATGTTATAGCTATTTTATAACACTAGCTAACTAACTTGCTTGCAACTTTGGTTAAGTTGTCATTATATAATAGGTTGTATTTATCTTCCCGCCACTACGCCTACGGATGTAATCCATACTGTTGATGTGGCCAGCTGGCGTGTTTAGCAAACCTACATTTTAATTAGTCGACAAAATGAGGCTAAACGTTTAAATGGCTGTAGTTAGCTAGTTTTGTTCGTTCTCTATCTAGCTTTTAACAGGGTTTACAGGAGGGATGTTTGTTTACAGTACATGGCAGACAAAAGCCAACTTTCCCAAGTTGCTGATACTTTGTTACTCATTTACTGATATTTTAAGCACAAAGAACCCCTCCCCGAAAAGAACTTGCAAGATTGGTATGCCTTTACCAATCTTTTCCGTAGTTAGCTTGCTACGTTAAATTCAACTAGTTGCAGAGGGCCATCTCAAACATGACAATTGGAAATAAATAAATGATGAAAACAATTTCTATGGATGAAACAGTTGTTTTACATATATTTTGGTTTCATTCAAGTCATTCATATACATATTTTGACACTGCTCGTTTGTTTTGTCAGCTGCTGCTGGGAGCAGAGTCAAAAGTAGACAAAAGACTGAAGACAGTGAAGTTGGCCCATGATGTTCTGTTGGAATTAAACTCATCTCCATCTATTGGTTGGGAGGTAAGGTTGCACAGAAAACTAAGAGGAAGGTTTGTTATTTGTCTTACCACTGATTACTTTATTGAAATACATATCTGCAGTTCGACTTTGATAGTGATAACATTTATTTCTAACAAATTGTTGCTGTTGGACAGAATATATATTTTTATGGGTGTGTATGTGTTTAGCTAACACTCATAGACAAACCAAAGACTGAAATTATTATGCAAACGCATTCTCAACCTTACATAACCTCGGCTATCCCCCTTTGCTGAATGAAAGGACAAACCATATTTAATCTTCTCGTTGTAACAGATGGGATAATGGGACAATTCTGAGTACAACGCATTTCTCATCCCTGGATTGAGGTACGTTTTCCGAGACATACAGTGAGCTCCAAAAGTATTGGGACAGTGAAATGTTTTGTTGTTTTGGCTCTGTACTCCAGCACTTTGGATTTGAAATGATACAATGACTATGAGGTTAAAGTGCAGACTGTCAGCTTTAATTTGAGGGTATTTCAATCCACATCCATATCGGGTGAACGGTTAGAAATTATAACACTTTTTGTACAGGACCGAGTTTGGGAAACCCTGTTGTAGGGGACCAAAAGTGTTGGGACAAATTCACTCATGTGTAGTATTTTGTCACATATTCCTAGCACGCAATTATTACATCAAGCTTGTGACTCTACAAACTGGATGCATTTGCTGTTTGTTTTGGTTGTGATTCAGATTATTTTGTGCCCAATGGAAATGAATGCTAAATAATGTATTGTGCTATTTTGGAGTCACTTTTATTGTAAATAAAAATAAAATGTTTCTAAACACTTCTACATTAATATGGATGCTACCATGATTACGGATAGTCCTGAATCAATCGTAATTATCAGGGGAGGTTAGTATTTTTTATTTTTTTTTTGGGGGGGGGGGGGGGGGGGGGGGGTGATATTTATTACATTTACATTTTAGTCATTTAGCAGACGCTCTTATCCAGAGCGACTTATGCCTCTGACTTTCTCACTCATCATTATTCACGATAAATTCAGGACTATCTGTAATGATGGTAGCATCTACATTAATGTAGAACAAATTGAGTAGAAGTGTTTGGAAACATTCTATTATTATTTGCAATTTAGGGGGGAGTAGTGGTGGCTATTCATTTACATTTACATTTTAGTCATTTAGCAGACGCTCTTATCCAGAGCGACTTACAGTTAGTGATTACATATTTTTTTTTTATACTGGCCCCCCGTGGGAATCGAACCCACAACCCTGGCGTTGCAAACACTATTCAGCATGATAAATGTCCATTGGGGTGGGGGCAGGGTAAATGTCTGTAGGGGGGGGGGGGACAAGGTATCAGGCTAGTGGTGGCTATTCAGCAGCGTGATGGTCTGGGAGGAGAAGCTATTGGCCAGTCTGTTAGCTTTTGCCAGGAGCCCATGACTGCCTGCGTCTGAGTGATGGAAGCAGGGAGGCTGCCTTCCTGCGACACCTGGTGTTGTACAGTCGTGGTCAAACGTTTTGAGAATGACACAAATACTAATTTTCACAAAGTCTGCTGCCTCAGTTTTGATGATGGCAATTTGCATATACTCCAGAATGTCATGAAGAGTGATCAGATGAATTGCAATTAAACAAAAAAACATTTCCACTGCATTTCAGCCCTGCCACAAAAGGACCAGCTGCTGTCATGTCAGTGATTCTCTCGTTAACACAGGTGAGAGTGTTGACGAGGACAAGGCTGGAGATCACTCTGTCATGCTGATTGAGTTAGAATAACAGACTGGAAGCTTTAAAAGGAGGGTGGTGCTTGAAATCATTGTTCTTCCTCTGGTTACCTGCAAGGAAACATGTGCTTTGCACAAAAAGGGCTTCACAGGCAAGGATATTGCTGCTAGTAAGATTGCACTTAAATCAACCATTTATCGGATCATCAAGAACTTCAAGGAGAGAGGTTCAATTGTTGTGAAGAAGGCGTCAGGGCGCCCAAGAAAGTCCAGCAAGCGCCAGGAATGTCTCCTAAAGTTGATTCAGCTGCGGGATCGGGGCACCACCAGTGCAGAGCTTGCTCAGGAATGGCAGCAGGCAGGTGTGAGTGCATCTGCACGCACAGTGAGATGAAGACTTTTGGAGGATGGCCTGGTGTCAAGAAGGGCAGCAAAGAAGCCACTTCTCTCCAGGAAAAACATCAGGGACAGACTGATATTCTGCAAAAAGGTACAGGGATTGGACTGCTGAGGACTGGGGTAACGTCATTTTCTCTGATGAATCCCCTTTCCAATTGTTTGGGGCATCCGGAAAACACCTTGTCCGGAGAAGACAAGGTGAGCGCTACCATCAGTCCTGTGTCATGCCAACAGTAAAGCATCCTGAGACCATTCATGTGTGGGGTTGCTTCTCAGCCAAGGGATTGGGCTCACTCACAATTTTGCCTAAGAACACAGCCATGAATAAAGAATGGTACCAACACATCCTCCGAGAGCAACTTCTCCCAACCATCCAAGACAAGTTTGGTGACGACCAATGCCTTTTCCAGCATGATGGAGCACCTTGCCATAAGGCAAAAGTGATAACTAAGTGGCTTGGGAAACAAAACATCTACATTTTGGGTCCACGGCCAGGAAACTCCCCAGACCTTAATCCCATTGAGAACTTGTGGTCAATCCTCAAGAGGCGGGTGGACAAACAAAACCCCACAAATTCTGACAAACTCCAAGCATTGATTATGCAAGAATGGGCTGCCATCAGTCAGGATGTGGCCGGGGGACAGATTGCAGAGGTTTTGAAAAAGAAGGGTCAACACTGCAAATATTGACTCTTTGCATAAACTTAATGTAATTGTCAATTGTTTTATTATTTATTTTACCTTTATTTAACTAGGCAAGTCAGTTAAGAACAAATTCTTATTTACAATGACGGCCTACACCGGCCAAACCCGGACGACGCTGGGCCAATTGTGCGCCACCCTATGGGACTCCCAATCACGGCCGGTTGTAATACAGCCTGGAATCGAACCAGGGGGTCTGTAGTGACGCCTCAAGCACTGAGATGTAGTGCCTTAGACCGTTGCGCCACTCGGGAGCCCAATAAAAGCCTTTGACACTTATGGAATGCTTGTAATTATACTTCAGTATACCATAGTAACATCTGACAAAAATATCTCATAACACTGAAGCAGCGAACTTTGTGAAGACCAATACTTGTGTCATTCTCAAAACTTTTGACCACGACTGTAGGTGTCCTGGAGGGCAGGCAGTGTGCACCCAATTGTGCGTTTGGCTGAACGTACCACCCTCTGTAGCGCCTTGCGGTCAGCGGCGGCGGAGTTGCCGTACCAAGCTGTGATGCAGCCCGACAGTATGCTCTCGATGGTGCTCCTGTAGAACACTGTGAGGGCCCTCGGGGACAAGCCGAATTTCTTCACCCTCCTGAGTTTGATTAGTCGCTGTGGTGCCTTTTTCACCACGGTGTCCGTGTGGTTTGAACATTTCAACTCCTCAGAGATGTGTACGCTGAGGAACTTGGACGTTTTTGACCGTCTCCACGGAGGCCCGGTTGATGAGGATGGGGGCGTGCCCAACCTGGTGTGTTGTGTGTCCATAAAGTTACGAACTGGAAACCTGAAAAAGCTTTCCTTTATTCACACACATTGTAAATTATTTATTTCCACTGAGTGGCGCTGTTGTCCTATATTTTAGTGGGAGTGCTTACATGGACCTTTCAATATTTTGCTTTTGTGAATGTCGGTCAGTAAGGCAAATGGGCGGGTACTGTGTTAGCCAGTTAAAATCCTCTGATCATATTCCAGCTGAACGGTTGTTTTCCAATTGGTCGCGCCCCCCTTAGCACGCTAAAATACTGCAATGTGATTCGAGGAACGTTGTTACTGGGTGGTGTGGGGAGACTGGTATTCGAAATCAAACGGGATCGAGCGCGATTGTGTAACAGAAGACGCAATAATATCGTCAACACTGCTGAGATTGAGAAATAGCAAGCGTTGGGTGTTTCATCATTATGTTATTGAGAAAATATAGAGCAGACTACCAAGTTTAGTAGTGTATTTTATTATGGGGAAAAAACAATGGGACAATTGCCTACATTGAATGCTAGTAAAACTACACATTGGTACAGCACTTTTCAAAAAATGTGACCATGGCATATGTATAGAATTTATTCATAAATTGATTACCCAATTATTAGTATGGTGATGCTATATAAAGTGGAGTATTTATTAAGTAATAATATACTGTATCTGTAAAAAAAAACAATCAAGCTATCAAAATCAGCACTTTTTAAAACAAATATTTATTAATAAATATGCAAAGCAAGAAAGTAGGTAGTATCACAGTGAGGAATAATGTCCACTTACACATTTTAAAATATCAATAACATATATTCAATAAATGCAGATTGGAATACACAACATTCATATATAGATATTCATATATACATATTTATAATCACAGAGACATAGTAAGAGAGAAGCGCGATGCAAAGGCTTTGGCAAAAAGAGTGCATACATTTTGCTAAACATTACATACTGTATACATATTACACATTGAAAGTACAAAACAAGCATAATAAAAAAAATCCAGTGCAAGGTCAGTTTGTATCTGTCAATGAATGAGTAGCAGCCTATTGTTTTTGTTTCATTTAAACCCTGGTCTTGTGTGGTTGGTGGTGGGATATTGTCCTGAGATGACCGTACGGCCTGAGACCCAGCTAGTTGGGGGAAGGAACCAGCACACTGAGAGGACTGCTGGAGCCACTCAACGGACCCTTAGATGCCGCCATCTTGTTGACTTCAGCCGGCCACGTGGAGGTCCTCTTGGTGGTCATGTGTCGGCGAGCATGCTTGGTCAAGTGGTCGCTGCGCATGAAGCGCCGATCGCAAATGTTACACACAAACTTCTTCTCGCCGGTGTGTGTTCGCCGGTGGCGGGAGAGCTCGTCGGAGCGGGCAAACTTCTTGTCACAGCCCTCCCAGTGGCAACTGAATGGTTTCTCACCTGGACGGCATGGGAAAAATGGAAGCCATAAGTACATCAGTGGAAGACAACCCACTACCTATTCAACATGACCATTAATCAAATTACCATTGGTTAGAATATCCAGTAAATTGTCTTAACACGTGTCGTGGGGAGGTAGTACCTACCAGTGTGAGTTCTGAGATGGGCCTTGAGGTGGGAACTTTTGAAGTAGGTCTTCTTACAGCCCGGGAAATTACAGACGTAGTTCCGTCTGCGGGAGATGTCGGCTTGTGTGGCATTGCTACTCTGCCCTGAGGGCATGTAAACTGGAGCTGGGGCCAGGGGCAGGAGCTTGGTGTTCCCGAGGGTCATGACAGTCTGTTGGCACAACGAGGCCTGGGACACAGGTGACTGGGGAACCACAAACATCACCGTCCCCCGAGTCACTGAGGAGCCCACCAGCTGCAGCGGCTGGGGGAAGGAGGATGGTGACTGGGCTAGTATGGGCTTGGGCCCCCCCTGGGTCTGCATTTGGACCGGGCCCTGGTGGACAAACGCAGAGATCATCCCTGTCCGCCCGTTGACTGGAAACACCTGGCAGAGGACCTGGGAGCTTGGGATGGGGGGCGAGGACCTGGAGGTGGCTGTGGTCTGGGATGGGGACCTTAGGGTGAGAGGACTGGAGGGGCCTGTGCTGCTGTTAGGTGAGGATGGACTAACGTCCTTCTCTACCTTAACACACGGACCAGTGCTGCAGCTTTGTGGTTCAGTCTGCATGGGAACGGTCTCGGCCAAAGAGGCTGCTGTAGGGTTTCTGTTGGAGGTGGTGTGCTGTATCCCTATGAGGGACTGAGGTGGAATGTTGATGCTGTGCTGTGAGAGGGCCCTGTCAGCAGTGTGCCGGATAACGCTGGTCACCATGGCTCTGCTGGGTACCTCTTGAGCTCCAGAGCTCTCTAAGAGGGGGGCCGTGCCAGGTTGTTGGCCCAAGGGAGGGGCATTCCTGTGGGGCAGACCTGCACAGAGTCTTGGCCGGGTTAAGACTGGTCTGGGGCCTGAGCTGGAGCTGGCCAATGAGGTGGTGGTGGTGAGGACAGCTGTGGTGGAGGAGGTCTCGGCCAAGATGGGGCTCTGAGGGGGGGTCATGCACTGGAAAAAAGAAAGAGAAACATGAATTAAAGCAGGAGTCCGCAGGTCGTGGGTGACCCTATGCCGCCCCATTTCTTGTGTAGTGTTTTCACTTTGAACAAAAACAAGGGGGTTGAGCCCTGAGCCGCCTTGGGCTGGCCTTCTGGGCTAGGTGTGTCTACGCTAATACCGCCTACTCGAATGACCCTGCTGCCCCGGAGTCCGTGTTGCCAACTTAGCGACTTTGTTGCTATATTTAGTGAGTTTGCAGACTCCTACAGACACTTTTACTGGTAAAATGATCTAGTGACAATTTCAGCTACTTTTCAGGCTGCCTTTGGGGAGTTTTGACACAGAAGGTTTCTATGATTTTCATAGCATTTAGCGACTTTCCCCACTCAATTCTGCCACAAACAAGAGTGGGAGAAGCTGTCTGTGCAACAGAAGTCACATCAATGGTGCACACAGAGGCAGAGAAGCACAAGGGGAGGGGTTGTGTGACAGGAGAGGGGGCGAAGTCAGGGACTGCAGCTGTTCCGCAGCAAGGCAAATTGGTGCTGTGATGTCGTCGCAGCAACGTCATCTAGCGACTTCTAGCTTATTCGAGGAGCCAATAGCGGATCTCACTGAAAAATAGTTGCCATTTTCTGTTATGCTTTGTGATTCAATAATTATTTGGTTGGTAATCAACAAAATAATTAGCTATGTTTGCCTATTCAGCACACTGCCTGCCTATATACAGCATTGATAAAATAAAAGAAAATTTTATTTGCCACATGCGCCGAATACAACAGGTGAATACTTACAGTGAAATGCTTACTTACCAGCCCTTAACCAACAATGCAGTTTTAAGAAAAATAAGTGTTAAGTAAAAAATTGATAAGTAAAAAATAAAAATAATTAAAGAGCAGCAGTAAAATAAAATAACAGTAGGGATGCTATATACAGGGGGTACCGGTACAGTCAATGTGCGGGGGCACAGGCTAGTCAAGGTAATTGAGGTAATAGGTACATGTGGGTAGAGTTAAAGTGACTATGCATAGATCATAAACAGAGAGTAGCAGCAGCATAAAAGAGGGGGTGGGGTGGGTGGGGAAATTGCAAATAGTCCGGGTAGCCATCATTAGCTGTTCAGGAGTCTTATGGCTTGGGGGTAGAAGCTGTTAAGAAGCCTTTTGGACCTAGACTTGGCGCTCCGGTACCGCTTGCCGTGCGGTAGCAGAGAGAACAGTCTATGACTAGGGTGGCTGGAGTCTTTGACAATTTTTAGGTCCTTCCTCTGACACCGCCTGGTATAGAGGTTCTGGATGGCAGGAAGCTTGGTCCCAGTGATGTACTGGGCCGTACGCACTACCCTCTGTAGTGCCTTGCGGTCGGAGGCCGAGCAGTTGCCATACCAGGCGGTGATGCAACCAGTCAGGATGCTCTTGATGGTGCAGCTGTATAACTTTTTGAGGATCTGAGGACCCATGCCAAATCTTTTCAGTCTCCTGAGGGGGAATAGGCTTTGTCGTGCCCTCTTCACGACTGTCTTGGTGTGTTTGGACCATGATAGTTTGTTGGTGATATGGACACCAAGGAACTTGAAGCTCTCAACCTGTTCTACTACAGCCCCGTCGACGAGAATGGGGGCGTGCTTTCCTGTAGTCCACAATCATCTCCTTTGTCTTGATCACGTTGAGGGAGAGGTTGTTATCTTGGCACCACACGGCCAGGTCTCTGACCTCCTCCCTATAGGCTGTCTCATAGTTGTCGTGATCAGGCCTACCACTGTTGTGTCGTTGGCAAACTTAATGATGGTGTTGGAGTCGTGCTTGGCCATGCAGTCATGGGTGAACAGAGAGTACAGGAGGGGACTGAGCATGCACCCCTGAGGGGCCCCGTGTTGAGGATCAGCGTGGCAGATGTGTTGTTACCTACCCTTACCACCTGGGGGCAGCCCGTCAGGAAGTCCAGGATCCAGTTGCAGAGGGAGGTGTTTTAGTCCCAGGGTCCTTAGCTTAGTGATGAGCTTTGAGGGCACTATGGTGTTGAACGCTGAGCTGTAGTCAATGAATAGCATTCATTCAATGAAAAATTATCACGTAGGTGTTCCTCTTGTCCAGGTGGGAAAGGGCAGTGTGGAGTGCAATAGAGATTGCATCATCTGTGGATCTGTTGGGGCGGTATGCAAATTGGAGTGGGTCTAGGGTTTCTGGGATAATGGTGTCGATGTGAGCCATGACCAGCCTTTCAAAGCACTTCATGGCTACAGACGTTGAGTGCTACGGGTCGGTAGTCATTTAGGCAGGTTATCTTAGTGTTCTTGGGCACAGGGACTATAGTGGTCTGCTTGAAACATGATTCCTACCTAGTGTGAACTACCCACCAGAACGACTGAATACCCAGCATGGTCAGACAAGTTAACAATGGCTCATCTGCATGACATATCGGTAGACTATGGGCCATCAAGTCATAGGATGTACATTAGCATTACACATGTTACACTGGTTACAGCACAATACCACATCCTATGTATGTAAAAGACACGGTTGTGACTGGCTTATTTGGTGGTAATGTCTTCCCTCCCCCCATTCAGCTGTAGTTAACAACCCACTAGAAGACCAGTTCTTAAAGCCTTTAGCCGTATCCTTATTCTACTCCTCCTCTGTTCCTCTGGTGATGTAGAGGTTAACCCAGGCCCTGTAGCCCCCAGTATCACTCCTACCCCCCAGGCGCTATCATTTGTTGACTTCTGTAACCGTAAAAGCCTTGGTTTCTTGCATGTTAACATCAGAAGTCTCCTCCCCAAGTTTGAGTTATTCACTGCGTTAGCACACTCTGCCAACCCTGATGTTCTAGCAGTGTCTGAATCTTGGCTTAGGAAGGCCACCAAAAATTTAGAAATGTCCATTCCAAACTACAACATTTTCCATCTAGATAGAACTGCCAAAGGGGGCGGAGTTGCAATCTACTGTAGAGAGAGCCTGCAGAGCTCTATCATACTATCCAGGTCTGTGCCCAAACAGTTTGAGCTTCTACTTCTAAAAATCCACCTTTCCAGAAATAAGTCTCTCACTGTTGCCGCTTGCTACAGACCCCCCCCTCAGCCCCCAGTTGTGCCCTGGACACCATATGTGAATTGCTTGTCCCCCATCTATACTCAGAGTTCGTACTGCTTGGTGACCTAAACTGGGATATGCTTAACACCCCGGCTGTCCTATAATCTAAACTAGATGCCCCCAATCTCACACAAATTATCAAGGAACCTACCAGGTACAACCCTAAATCCGTAAACATGGGTACCCTCATAGATATCATCCTGACTAATTTACCCTCTAAATACACCTCCGCTGTCTTCAACTAGGATCTCAGCAATCACTGCCTCATTACCTGCGTCCGTAATTGGTCCGCAGTCAAACGACCACCCCTCAACACTGTCAAACGCTCCCTAAAACACTTCAGCGAGCAGGCCTTTCTAATTGACCTGGCCCAGGTATCCTGGATGGATAATGACCTCATTCCGTCAGTAGAGGATGCCTGGATGTTCTTCAAAAGTGCTTTCCTCTCCATCTTAAATAAGCATGCCCCATTCAAGAAAATTCAGAACTAAGAACAGATATAGCCCCTGGTTCACCCCAGACTTGACTGCCCTTGACCAGCACAAAAACATCCTGTGGCGTACTGCATTAGCATCGAACAGCCCCCGCGATATGCAACTTTTCAGGGAAGTCAGGAACCAATATACACAATCAGTTAGGAAAGCAAAGGCTAGCTTTTTCAAACAGAAATGTGCATCCTGTAACTCCAAAAAGTTTTGGGACACTGTAAAGTCCATGGAGAATAAGAGCACCTCCTCCCAGCTACCCACTGCACTGAGGCTAGGAAACACTGTCACCACCGATAAATCTACGATAATCGAGAATTTCAATAAGCATTTTGCTACGGCTGGCCATGCTTTCCACCTGACTAACCCTACCCTGGCCACCAGCTCTGCACCCTCTGCTGCAACTTGCGCCCCCCCCCCCCCCCCCCCCCCCCCCCCCCCAAATCAGCTGGGCTAGACAATCTGGACCCTTTTCTTTCTAAAATTGTCGCAACCCCTATTACTAGCCTGTTCAACCACTCTTTCGTATCGTCTGAGATCCCCAGAGATTGGAAAGCTGCCGCGGTCATCCCCCTCTTCAAAGGGATGACACTCTAGATCCAAACTGTTACAGACCTATATCCATCCTGCCCTGCCTTTCGAAAGTATTTGAAAGCCAAGTTAACAGATCACCGACCATTTCGAATCCCACCGAACCTTCTCCGCTATGCAATCTGGTTTCCGAGCTGGTCATGGGTGCACCTCAGCCACGCTCAAGGTCCTAAACGATATAATAACCGCGATCGATAAAATACAGTACTGTGCAGCCGTCTTCATTGACCCGGCCAAGGCTTTTGACTCTGTCAATCACCGCATTCTTATTGGCAGACTAAATAGCCTTGGTTTCTCAAATGACTGCCTCGCCTGGTTCACCAACTACTTCTCAGATAGAGTTCAATGTGTCAAATCGGAGGGCCTGTTGTCTGGACCTCTGGCAATCTCTATGGGGGTGCCACAGGGTTCAATTCTCGGGCCGACTCTATTCTCTGTGTATATCAATGATGTCGCTCTTGCTGCTGGTGACTCTCAGATCCACCTCTACGCAGACGACACCATTTTGTATACATCTGGCCATTCACTGGACACTGTGTTAACAAACCTCCAAACGAGCTTCAATGCCATACAACACTCCTTCCGTGGCCTCCAACTGCTCTTAAACGCTAGTAAAACTAAATGCATGCTCTTCAATCGAACGCTGCTTGCACCCGCCCGCCCAACTAGAATCACTGACTTAGAATATGTGGACAACTACAAATACCTACGTGTCTGGTTAGACCGTAAACTCTCCTTCCAGACTCCCATTAAGCATCTCCAATCCAAAGTTAAATCTAGAATCGGCTTCCTATTTCACAACAAAGTCTCCTTCACTCATGCTGCTAAACATGCCCTCGTAAAACTGACTATCCTACCGATCCTTGACTTCGGCGATGTCATTTACAAAATAGCGTCCAACACTCTACTCAGCAAA